ATATTCTTGCATTGAATATTGCATAGAACTTTGACTAAAGTTGCAAAAGGAATCGAACCTGAAATTAAATTGCTATTTGTGAATTAATTAAATTGTTAAATTCGGAATTTATTAATTCTGAAATTTTGATTTAATTATCTGTTGCATTTTTCAGAAGTGTTTTTAATATATTTGATATATGTTGGATTAATATATATTTGATATATTTCTAATATTTTTGGTATGATGATTCAGGTTTGGATGTGTGCAAATTGAATCAAAAAGTGTTACCAAAAATTAGAACATTTAAAAAATGTGTCTAATAGTGAAAATCAAATGAGTTGATACCCCATGTTGGGAGTGGTCTATCATTTATGATTTTGTCCCATACCATTAGTGGTTGAAGGGTTATTGGTAACAAGTATAGTGAGTTGACATACCAAATTTATTTTGGTAATGGTCTTCCACTTGTTATTGTACCAAATTCTGATGTTTATCAGATTGTCAAATTAGTGCCTAGTATTGTAAACATAAGACTAATGTTGGACAAAGTCTATGGAAAAGTTTAAAATTGGTTAAAAAAGATAATTATCTTTCTAGCCATTCTTTAATACTAAAAAAAAAAAATGTGAAAATGCAAAGTTGCATGAATTTTGAGTTATCTCAAGAAATGTGAGGGTAAAATGTTGTTTACCACATAAAATTATTGACAAAAGTTGTTTTTTAGTCTTTTTGAGTCTTGTCTAGAGAGTCAAGTCTAGAGTTGAGTCGTCCAGTGTCTAGAGTCATTTCTATTCATGTGGGGATTGTTGGAACTCATTTTTGATAGTATGTTATATGTCAATAATGAAGTTTGTTTGAATGAGAAATGGAGGTCCAAGTGGATTGCTTGTATAGCATAAAATGTTACATTTTATGAAATGTCCCACATTGGAAGTTTGAGGTTAAATCCTCTTGTATATAAAGTGGAGAATTTAAATCAAAGTTTAAAAGCTTGTGTATTAATAGAGAAAGATGATTACCGGGACGGGACTTGTGTCTCGGGCCTCGGGATTGGTAATCGGGCCAAGGTCCATAAGATTATTCTTTTGACCAGAAATTATTTTGTTGAATTTTTGTTGTTGATGAAGTCAACAAATATCTTCTCTATTAGTTTGTTTCAAGTGACAATTAAGTGCATAATCAATATTATTGATTTTGTAACTTAAAACTTAAAGTCATATTGAAAATGTTATGTGAGAATTAATTCTCTAATCTCTCCACTAATGGCCATTCGTTTGTTGAAAGCTTAGGCTATATAAAGACATTAACATGTGATCAAACACTAAAGAAACCCAACAATCTCTTCACTTCTCTTCTTTTGATTTTTTTTTTCTTATGAGAGTACATCACAGAAAACATGGTTCGCAAGCTTATGTATTGAGTAATGCAATCATAAGAAGTGTGCAGTTTTATCCTGGGATTCGGAACGCTATGAAACCGTCATACTACGGGGCGTTTACCGAATTAAGGAAAGAGATCATATCTCGACTCTGCAAATCCGATTTTATTTTCCTTAATTCTTGTTTATTTGTATCATTTTAATATTATAATTATATTAATTTATTGATATTTATACTTATATTTTAATATTGTAGAAATTGCGTTCTTACAATTACATACATACTTGAACATATAGAGATACACAAATACGAATTTTCAGGGTAATCTTTTCTTGCAGAGAATATGAAAATGGGGGAGCGGTTGCTGATTATTATATAGTAGGTGATTCTTTTCTGTGACTCTTGCTGTGCACGCTATCGTGATCTTCAGAAAGATGTTTATTGTTTCTTATCAATGCATTTAGCTAATCAACAAACAATTGAACAGACGACAACAACAATGACCGAATCTATACTATAATTTTGCAATAAACATTTCACAAAAGGCCTCGAAACTACCTCAGACACGCAGAGAAGGCGTGTTCCTGTTGATTCTTTATCGGTTAGTGGAGCGAACGCTAATCCAAACACTACACAGTTGTCCTCTTGCGATGGAGGAAGTCCCTGAGCCGTAATCGAAACTCATTGTCCACCATTCTTCAATCAAAATAAGCAAATTTGTAAAAGTTTAGATACAAGGTTGATGAAGAAGAATCGGAGAACAATAAGAGCCGTACCCGTTGAGTGTTGGCAGATGTAGGAAGACCGATAGTTAATCACATACTATGAGAAAACTTCTTTTTCTTTCAATTTTATGAGAAAACTTGTTGATCGTGACCCATGTATCACTTCTACTCCTATCAATTCTACCCTTGTTAAAGAAGTCAAGATGCTCAAGGAACCTCATTTGGAGACAGATTCAAGGATGAATACATTGCAATTAGAGATTGAAACCCTTAGGAACATCTTAAAGGAAAACTTCCCCTCTGATTTTCCACCAAGCCAGCAGCAGTAGTGTCTTTTCCACTAAACATCTTGAAGGAAAACACTTGAATCCTTTTTTTGTTTTTGTTTTAATGGCTTGTATCATCCTTTTAATTTCTGTTCTTTTTAAGGAAAAACTTATAATATTTTGTAAAAATGCTATATTTTATAAATATTTTCGTATTTGTTATAAACTATATAATTTAATAAATAAAAAGAAAGAAGATGTGGGGCCATGAGTGGGGTCAGGTGATAGACGAGAGGGAGATGAGAGAGAGAGCAAGTGATTTTCTTATTGCTTTTCGTTGGTGCCTTATATCTGTTACAATGAAACCAAGACTCCCTATTTATACTAAGAGTAAGTCGGTGGAAATATGTGATGAGTCATCAATTTGTATTTATCTCAACACTCCCCCTTGACTCATCATCAGCATTGTGAAGTTGCATGCAGCCTCGTTAAAACCTTATTATAATTTGCATGGCCATTTGCCATTGTGAAGTTGCATGCAGCCTCGTTAAATTGGTGGTATCAGAGCATGGTTCATGATCATGCTCGGGAACAAGGATTTTAAAACGTTTTATCGAGTCAAAAAGGAGTCGCAAAAACTACCTTAGGTAATCTGGTCTGTCTGCAGCATATAGGTAGAATGTTTAGGTTGTGGTTAAGCATTGCTTGATGTTGCTTATAATTTCTGATTGATCATGCATGTTCTTGTTTGATTGTTGCATGGTCAGTATAGAGGTTATGGTAACATTATGCAATGTGGTAAGCCATATTTGAGGTGTCTATGGGTGTTGATCATCCATAGAATAGATGGATGCGGATCATCCATGGGATAGATTGTGTTGAATAGGAACCCTAATGTTTGCTTTGTGGTGATAGCTTGAAGTCATGAGTGACTGGTTTGTGGATGATGAGGGGTCGTGGTTTAGTACTGGGCAAGTATGGACAGCTGAGTCTGGATCGTCGAGTTCAGAACCGTCGAGCAATTCGGAGCACTGGATCGTAGTGACGGACTTGGAACAGCAGACACTAACAGATCATGATAGCAGCAGTGATTGGGACGAGGACGTATATCTTATGCCGAGAGACAACGTGCAGCCCAGCACAACGGTGAATGAGTATGGCGAACACATGACATGGCCAGTACATTACCCTGAGGAGGAGAGAATGGTGCCATCTACTCAGATCATAGAGATCAGTTCAGGCGAGACTACACCAAACTCTTGGGATAGAGATAGTCCACCAAGTGTTCTACCGCATATACCAATGCCGCATGTATTTGCACCGGGAGGTGGAGTATACCCGTACATGCCAACGGAGGATAATCCAACGGACTACGTGTACCCGTTCATTACCACTGGCGTAGAAAGCAATGATCCAGCCGTTGCAGTTCAAGTCAATAGTGAAGTCTTCACAAACCAACCTGAAGAACCGGATACGCCGGAACCAACATGGGAGGATTATCTTGGACACCAGAACGTATCACCCACGTACTGGACAAGGAAACTCAACGAGATCGCTGGATACACATCATCAATGGAGCATGGAGAAGGAAGCATACCTCAAGATCAAGGAGAAGCTAATGCGATATGGTGTACAATGTATGGAGAACAAGATGCACCAAACTCGGTGGCAGGCAATGAATCAATATCAAATACCGGATCTTAACCAAACCACGGAGGAAGGTACCGGAGAGAATGAATGGCCACAAGATGATGAAGGTCTTAACCTAGCAAGAAGGTGGGATGAGATAATCGCCACAGAATTGGAGAATCTCAGAACAGAGGGTAATGGCCAAGAGCAAACTGTGTCACGCCAAAGGGGAAGGCCTCCCAGAAGACTCGCGAGGATGAGAGTCCCAGCACCGTCTCAAGTCACGCTACCATGCGATCAATGTGGAGGACGGGACATCATAGCCGAGCATGTCCCAATGTGCGAGCTAGATCAAGGATGAATGAAAGGCAGAACATTTGCCTTACTTGTGGAGAGAAAGGACCATTTCTCAGCAGACTGTCCAAGGAACTGCCCCAGTACTAGTCAACCCACCCGCTCAACCACAAGGAGAGAGAGGCGACCAGGGAGTGGAAGCCGTAGAATGTAAGATAGAGTCTAGGAACCCTAAACCACATGCCGAGAAAAGGTATTTTTCGGGTTCTAACTCAATCTTTGAATGGTTTATTTTCTTGCTTGCTTGGTATAGTAAGTAGGATTGTTTGGTGGTTTAAGTTGAGTTTGGTAGAGACATCGTTTAGGAAACCCATGTTTTGGGAAACGATGTGGTGAAAGGAGATTCCGATGTTTCTATTTCCAGGGGGAAATGAAACTAGAGCGGATATCCTTGGAACCAAGTTGGTTCTGGTAAAGTAGTTTTGGGTATTAGCACATCGAGTAGGAACCCTTAAAGGGAAGCGATGTGTTAATAGAAGGAAATTCCGTGAATGCTGTTTCCAAGAGGGAAATAAAGCTAGGACGGAAATCCTTGAGTAAGAGGTTAGGTGGTTAGCGAAGTTAGGAGAACCTCGCTAGAGTGGTCAGACCGGGATCAAGACCAACAAGGGAAGTGTTGGTTAAGGTACGGTTTTGACATTAGATAACCCATAGTTAAAGCCGGGATGGATGGTTATGGGAATGGAGATTTGAGCAAGGAGGATCAGAGGAGATCAGTGGAAGAGGAGTCTGCAAGGGGACAACGTGAAGACAGAGTAAGAGGAGTCTGCAAGGGACAACGTGAAGACAGAGTAAGAGGAGGCAAGGCATCTTCAAAGATGGGGAGAGACACCGGAACAATGGAACGTTCCTACTCTCTACAACTGGAATTCGGGGACGAATTCTATTAAGGGGGGGAGAATGTGATACCCCGTATCAAGACCTAAAACATCCCAAAGGCCGGGATGGGAAGATCAACACTCTGGGATTGGAAGACAAAGACGTGGGATCTAATCCAGAGATCACAACGAAGACTTGGATCAAGACAGGATCAAGAACGATCGAGCAGAACTGAAGATACAGCAAGATTGTCCAGGTGGGACGATCATTGTACGAACATGGGAAGAGTCGACAGGACGACGAAATATCAAAGTTCTCCAAATCAAGAAGAGAAGAGTTGGACGACATAAGAGACCATTCTAAGAAGTTTGGTCGAAGCAGAATGCAAATCGGACGAGCAGATTGAGAGATGGGACGGACGCCCAAGATCTATCCCGCAACGACTGCAAGAAACGTAAATGTTCGGGATGGAGGTATTCCGCACATTTCCAAGCAACTATGTGGAAGCTCAGAAACATGGAAATGAGAGAAGGATTAAAATAGGAGATTTTAATTCTCAAGCACGACGGGGACGAAACCCTCCAGACAGGGAAACGTACGAAACCCTCTGGACGAGGAAACGTACATTTGGAGCAATCTTGTTCTAAGCCAATCAAGTGGTGACACCAGCTACTTGGAGAAGATAAGGATGATCTAACCAATATGGAGAAGACACTCAGCTACTCAGATGGAGCCAAAACCATTCAGCCAATCATGTAGCAACATCCAGCTACCGAATGAAGACGAAGCAAGCCTAAACCAATTGGGCAACGACACCAGCTGCTAAAGAGGAGAGAGGGCGTGGATAAGCTCCAAGAAGACCTAATGCTATCAGGGAGAGACACCCAGCTGCTCATGAGAGACAAGAATCGTCCAAACCAATCAGACGGAGACATTGAGGTGCTCAATGGAGACGAAATGACTTGGACGAATCAGGATGCAACACCAACTACTGAGAGAGAGTATAAGCTTCAGGAGTGGATGAGAAGCAAGTGGAGAGATGCAGAAACGGATTGGATCAAGAGCTGACCAATCAGACAGAAGCACCCAGCATCTTAATGGATAAGATGAGTTATAACCAATCGGCACGACACACCACATGCTTGGGGGAAGTCGGCTCATTGGATGAGCATTGAGAGGGGATAGGAATGACGTGTGTCATGTCCTGAGACGCCCTAGAGGCCACCAATCAAAGCTACCTAGCCTAGACCGCCTGGATGTCGCGTTCTGAGGCAGTGTAGGTCGCCACCAAGCAAAGCTATGCTAGACCTAGGTCTCCATGTGTCTGCGCATGACTGGAGACGTCCCAAGAAGCCAGGCAGCCTCCTGAACTCCTATAAATACGCTCCTCCAGCCCCAAGTCCAAACCATTCCATTCCCAAAGCTAGAGAGCACCTGAAAAGTGATTAGAGAGTAATTAAGAAAGTTTTCTTAATTAAGTGAGGTTAGTGGAAGATTAGAGTAGGTCAAGATCAAAGCTTAAGGAAAGCTAGGATCTTGAAGTCTTCTTAAAGTGGTGAGTCTTGGTGTTATAGTTTTAGTCTTTTGGATCTTTGTGTGTGTATGCAGGTTGTATGAACACCAAAGCATGGGAGATGCTTTCTGTTCATATTGGTTATTGGTTCTGTAGTATAACTCTCTAAACAATAAGGTTTAGTAAAAATTGTGGAGAGTTATGCTGCAGAAATTTATATAATGTGTTGTGAGGTTGTGATGGGTAATCTTCTAGGAGAGAAGTTATGCCGTCAAATCTCTTGTGTGTTTATATGAGGTTTGCATTGTTGTGAGGTTGTGTCGGGCCAGATCTCTTTTGTGTGTGAGGTTGTGTTGGGTAACCTTCGGGGAAGGATATGCCAACAGATCTCTTTTCTGTGTAAGATTGTGATGGGTAACCTTCGGGGAAGGTTATGCCGTCAGATCTTGTTAGTGTAGATGCATATCTATACATTAGGTGATGTGAGATTGTGGATGGCTATGCCGCCAAATCTCATAGATGCATCGGTTGTGGGGTTATAGCATGGCTATGCCGCTAAACCTCGAGTGCATACTAACATGGTGGTGCGTAAGGCCCATATGTTGAGTATGACTCCGATGTGGAAAGATCACGGACGGCTGAGCCGCCAGATCTTTCGAGGTTCGTGTGGGTACTCTTCCGAGGCAAGGGAAGCTCTGCCGCAGAACCGGTGGTATGAGGCATAGTGGTGCGTAAAGGCCCATATGCTAAGTACTGAGAACATGTGGCGTGTCTAACCACATGTTGTCTAGGAAGGTGTAGTCAAGCGCATTCTCGCACGTCAGAGCCCAACCGGATTGGCAGCGTGGAGGCTGTGCATGAAGGGAGGAAGACTCGGAGGATAACCTGGTCAGCTGCCTTGGCCGAGTATGGTACCATATGACGATATGGGATCCAACCAGACATTGGCATGGTGCGCCAGTAAGGCCAATAGATGGAAGGATGAACCGGGTACCGCGATGGACTGTAGTGCCCGGGTGAAGGCGTTCATCTAGTTTCTGTGTGATTCCGGATGAGCGTGAACCTTCACAGGCGTGGGCAGAGAATGTGGCTAATGCACCTAGGCGCCTTATTGCATATAGAAAACAAGTATTAGATACTTGTCTAGGTTTGCATGGGCATTGCATATAGATTGCTTTTTGATTGTTGTTATAGTCTTGGATTGATCGTACCTGTTCTTGTTTGATTGGGGTACGGTTAGTCTTAAGACTATAGCATCAATATTGCATGTGATTGCATATGTTGTGTTGTGCTAACCTCATTGCAGGTGGAGGCGGGGTTACAAGCCCGCGGCGTTTGTGTTTGGAGTTTAGGGAATCCCCCTTGTATAGAGGTCCTAGACTCACTGAGTAATATTAGATTACTCATTCCTTTTGTTTAATGTTTTCAGGTGACCGTAGAGGTGTGAAGTAGAGCGGACCGCTGCAGGCAGTAGGCGCCAGAATAGTTTTGTGGTATGTTTTTGTAAAATTATGGTTTGTTGTTTGGTTTGGAACTAAGGATCGATCCGCATGTTTTTAAGTCGGATTTTGTAAGCACTCTGATATTTTAATAAAGGAAAGTTTTATGTAAAGACCTTATGTTCCAATGATATTAGCTTGGTCCGGGCTAACACAACTCCTGACCGAAGTACGGGTTGGCAAGCCTTAGGCTTTGGTCAAGAGGGTCGAGTTCGTGGGACGGGCTGACCTGGGCTCTGATTTGTTCTTAGTCTGGGATGGCCTATTCGGCGAACATCGACATTTTGTGGCGCTTCTCGGAACGTCTGTGCCTAGGACGGTTCGGGGGTGTTACAAAATGGTGGTATCAGAGGTCTATAAATAGACTAAACCGCATATGTCACAATTGTCGAGGTCCATCAAGTAATCCGTCCCAGGTCTAAGAACACATCAGAGCCCAGGCCAGTTAACCTGATGAATACGACCCTCTCGACCATTGGTTAAGGCTTTGCAACCTTTACCTCTAGTCTTGAGTTGTGTTAGCTTGGACTAGCTAATATCATTCCAGTAAGCCGGGTTTTGCAAAAACATAACTTTATATTTCAAACATTGAAAACATGTTCTTACAAAACCTTATCCTACATTGCCGGCATGGCCTAACGCCCAAAAGAAAGACATTACAATACATTACCCGAAATCGAGTTTTTAACAAAAGCCAAGCAAACTACTCCGGTCTTCGAATGTTCTGCCTCCCGCCCACGGGCTATCTACTCCAAGCTTCCTGAAACACAAATAATCATCATGAGTAACCTAATGTTACTCAGTGAGTTCAGACCCTCTATACAAAGGTTATTCCCCAAACCCAACCCAAAAGAAACAGAAACGCCGCGGGATAAGAACCCCGCCACCACCTGCATCAAAGTTAGCACATCCAATATGCATAGCATATGCCACAACATGCAATTTAAAAGCAATCACACATGCAATTAAAATGAAATCATCACTAAGGCAAGTACTCATGTACTTGACCCTTACTCTACACTCCACTGCTTCACCGGTGAAACCTCTAACTGGTGTACCAAGGGAACTCATTACACGCACACGCGAAGCACCGCGCCAGGAAACACACAGTAACCTGACCGGCCCTCACTCATCGACCTAACCTCATTGTTAGTCGGATGTCGTATGATATTAACTCGGCCCTAGGCTGCAATCCCGTCTCTCCGAGTTCTTCCCACACCGTTGTAATAGGCTGGGGCACCTCCTAACAATCGCACATGAAAGGAGTTGTGCGTGAATGTCTTGAGTACACCACCCTAACCACACATGAATGTCTCACTACATTCATGTGCATACTTCCATATGAATGTCTCACTACATTCATATGGACCTGGCCCCGCTTATGGTTACACCATAAGTGCCGGTACTAGCATATGGGCTACGCCCTAATATACTTGTACCCCCGGTTCTGTGGCAGAGCTCTCCCTTACGTGAAAGATTACTCTCAAGCAGAGCTTTCCCCGCGTGAAAGGTTACCAACCAGAACCTCCACAAAATAGATCTGATGGCATAGCCATCCAGATCCTCACCACGAATGCATAACCTGCATTCAAACACTCAAGAGGTTTGACGGCATAACTTCTCTCCTAGAAGATTACCCGCCACAACCTCACAACAATTCACAGAAATTTCTGCAGCATAACTCTCCACAATTTTTACTAAACCATTATTGTTTAGAGAGTTATACTACAGAACCAATAACCAATAGCAGGAAATAAACTATAACCTAGCTACCGGAACTCACAGATTTTAGACGACCCGGCTGACCCCGACCCTAGCCTCCCCGCTCTAGCCCGATGTTGATCCGCCTCTGGATCTTCTTCTCTTCTCCTCTTTCTTCTTCTTTCTCTTCTTCTCCACGCCCTTTCTCTTTCTCTTTCTAGTTTCTCTTTCTAGTTTTCAGTTTGTGGTGTGGTTTGGAAGTGAAGACCAAGGGGGCCTTTATATAGGTTTTCCGGAAGCTCGAGGTGGCGTCTGACAGCTTCAGAACGCGACACCTTGCTTCTGCATGCAACCAATGGCATGGCAGCACGCCTGGAGCTGCTTCTCCCATCCCCATCCACTTGGGTCGAATGGCACCTTCCCATTGGTCCATTCCCCAAGCTGCTGGATGGCTGAACGTGATTGGTTCGTTGAGGATGACATCTCCTCCTTGTTCCTATCTTCCTGGATCAAGTGGCTCCTTTCCCATTGGCTCCTTCCCTCAGCTGTTGAGTGCCATCACGTGATTGGCCTAGAACTCCTTCGTCCTTACTCAGTAGCTGAGTGTAGCCTTCTCATTGGTTCAGACCACTCTTATCCTTTAAGCAGTGGTGTCAACATCCCGTTGGTCTTGGGATGATGTGCTCCTTCCCACGTTTCTTCTTGCAGAGGGTTTTGTACGTTTCCCTTTCCAAAGGGTTTTGTACGTTTCCTTGTTCGGAGGGTTTCGTTCCCGTCGTGCTTGAGAATTAAAATCTCCATTTTAATCCTTCTTCATTTCCATGTTTCTGAGCTTTCACATAGCTGCTTGGAAATGTGCGGGATACCTCCATCCCGGGACATTTGTATATCTTGTGGGATAGATCCTCCGTGGGATGATTGTTTTAACTATCCGTCGCTTCACGTGCTTAGCCATCGTGAGGGGTATTACATTCTCCCCTCCTTGATAGAATTCGTCCCCGAATTCTACTAAGGCTGTGATGTCTCTCCTCCTTTTGTAGAGCTGCGTTGCTCGTAGAACTCAGGATAACTTCTTCGGAAGTGTTCCTCATCTTCCCAGGTGATCACTTCACGGTTTTGTCTTTCCCAAAACACTTGAATTTGAGGAATCTCAAGGTTCTTGAGCTTGCGGAGTCGGCGGATTCCTAGCCTCACTGGGCCCTCTGGAATGGTAAGGTTAGGTTGTAACTCCTCTACTCGCTCCGGCTCAATAGCATTGGGGTTCTGTATATGCCTCCATAGCATAGATACATGAAACACAGGATGTAGATTCATGTCTGCCGGTAAGTCTAGGCGATAGGCTACTTCTCCCACACGCCCAATAACTCGGTATGGACCTATGAATCTCACAGCTAACTTCCCCACTCTTCCAAAACGATCTTTACCTTTTTGGGCAGATACCTTAAGGTATACCCAATCGCCAATAGTAAAAATCACTTCTCGCCGGTTTTGATCAACATACTTCTTCTGCTGATCTTGCGCCTTCTTCATGTTTGCCCGGATTGTCTGAAGCTTTTCCATGGTTTTTTCAATCATTGGAAGTCCAAAGACTCTCCTTTCTCCAATCTCAGTCCAGCACAAAGGAGTGCGACATGGTCTTCCGTAGAGTGCCTCATACGGTGACATACCTATGCTGGAATGATAACTATTGTTGTAGGAAAACTCAATCAAGGGTAGATGATCTTCCCACATGCCAGCCCAATCCAGTATGCATAGCCTGAGCATATCCTCCAGCGTCCGGATGGTTCGTTCCGTCTGACCATCAGTTTCGGGATGAAACGCTGTACTCATGTGTAGTTCTGTCCCTAAGGCTCCTTGCAAAGCTTGCCAGAATCTTGCAGTGAACCTTGGGTCTCGATCAGATACAATGTCTGTTGGCACTCCATGTAGTCTCACTATTTTCTTGATATATAGGTCGGTTAAGATCTCCACCTTATCTGTATCTCTAACAGGTAATAAGTGGGTTACCTTGGTTAGTCGATCTACTATCACCCATATAGTATTATTCAATCTTCCTCTTGCTATGGGTAATCCCGTGATGAAGTCCATAGCAATGGAATCCCACTTCCATTCTGGAATAGGCAGATTTTGAAGTAGCCCTCCTGGTACTTGATGCTCTGCCTTGATTTGTTGACATACTTGACACTGAGAGACATATCGTGCCACGGCCCTCTTCATTCCTGGCCAATGGTAATATCTCCGGATGTCCTTGTACATCTTGGTGCTGCCGGGATGAATACTAAGTGTGGATTGGTGTGCCATCCTTAGTATCTCTTCTCTTAGTTGTTCTCCTTCAGGTACGGTAATCCTACTTTGCAGCAACACGGTTCCATCTTCAGCTAAATGGTACTCTTCATTATCTCCTTCACCTTCTTGAATCCTTGTGATGATTTTCGTGATCTTATCATCCTTCTGTTGCTTCTCTCGAATCCATTGCACCAAGTTGGCTTTGTTGATGGCCTGAAGCCCTAATCTCTCGCTGGATTCTCCCTCTAAGGCAGATAAACTTACTAACTTCAGTTCATGCCCTAAAGTCTCCAGATCCTTCTCAATACTTATTGATGTCTTCCTACGACTTAAGGCATCAACTACCACGTTAGCTTTACCTGGGTGGTACTGAATCTTAACGTCGTAATCAGCAATAAATTCCATCCAACGTCGTTGGCATAGATTGAGATCCGCTTGAGTGAATAGGTATTTAAGACTTTGATGATCCGTAAATACCTGAACACTTTGTCCCCGTACTAATTCAGTGCCAGATCTTCCAATACGTGCGATATGCTACACTTGTGGAGAAAAAGGACATTTCTCCCCAAATTGTCCTCACAAGATCGTTGAGGTTGCGAGAAGACCTAGGAGCGTCGACCTGACCAATGAACGGATCCCCGACCAATCGTCTGACAAGCACGGGTGAGGTGTACGCGTTAGACGCATAAACATCAAACCTGTTGGGATCGGTAAAAGATCCTACCATAGATAGATAAGGGTGCTAACTCTAACTTTTTAAGTTATTGTTTGGGTGTGTTTGTTTGTGTGAATGCTTGCTTGGGTAGTAGGTATATATTAGTATTGTGGTATGGTGCTAGGGAACAGTATGTGTAGGTGGTAACCTGACACATATTTTGTTCAATTCGGGAAAAACACATGGTATTGTGACTTCTGAAGTAGTATCTTGTTTAGGAGACGCTTTTAAGTTAGAAATGGTGGAGGATCTTGTGTTATACTCTAGAGACCAAACCCTTAATGCGTCGAGTGTAGTGTTTATGTTGTTTTGCAGGAACAGACCTTCAACGCTGACCTACTAGTTCTACCCCTAGCCCGCTTCGAAGAAATCCTGTGCAAGGATTGGTAATCTAGCTACAAATCTCAGCTAGACTGTGGGAGAGAAGAATCATCTTCAAAGGGTCTCAACAATAGATGATTGCGTACTAAGGAATCAGTCCTAGTAGCAATGTTGTTAGGATCAGATCTGCGAATGGAAAAGCAGATGGAGAGAGGAGAAGTATATCTCTGTGATTGGTGTGGTGGAAAAGAAAGAAGACAAGAAGTTAAAAGTGGAGGATATCCTGGTGGTACAAGAGTTTGGGGATGTATTCAAGGCGCTGACAGAATTATCCATGCCACGGAGGAATCCATCACTATAAGCCTGGAGTCAGGAACAACGCCAGCATCAGGGGTACCAGACAGTATGACGCCAACCAAGTAAGGAGAACTGAAGACGTAACCAGAAGACCTAATGGACAAGGAGTTCATGCGGCCAAGTTTATTACCATGGAGAGCACCGATCTTGCTTCTCAAGAAGAAAGCAAAGGCGATGATGAGGAGTATCACCTAGCCGAAGACGGGACCATCCTACTTCAAGGAAGAATCATCATTCCAGAAGGAAGGAATCTAAGAAGAAATACTAAGTATGGCACACCAGTCTTTACTTAGTATTCATCCTCAAAGCACTAAGGATGAAGAGAGAAGTGGCGCAACATGTCTCCCAATATCAAGTTTGTCAAGAAATCAAGGCGGAACACCAAGTACCAGGAGGGTTACTTCAAGATCTGCCTATTCAAGTGTTATGGAGAAGCTAAAACCGGCGAGAGATAGTCTATACCATTTGAGATTGGGTATACCTCAAAGTATCCACTCAAAAGGGTAGAAATCATTTTGGGAAGATCGGGAAGCTAGCAGTACGGTTCATAAGTCCATACCAAGTCATTGGGCGAGTGATATACCTCTATTTTACCTACTTTTTATGCTATTTTACTATGGTTTTCTAATGGTTTTCTAGTGGATTCTTGTGTTAAAAGGTAGTTTTTATGGATTTATAGTGCAAAGAGTCATTTTAGGTAAAAAGGTGCATTATGGAGCAAAACAGAGATTTGGACTCTAAACCAGTTCAATGCCCTGCATCAACTTTGGATGGAGCTAGAAAAAGATCTACTCAATGGATTTCATCAAGACCAGTTCCCTGCGTGCTCTGATTGAGTTAACTTTCCAACGCAACTGGAACGGCCTCATTTGGATGAGTAGAAAAGGAGTTATAGCCAAAAGAGTGAAGACTGCTCCAGAGCTCTATCGAGAATCAGCGCGCAGAACCGGCTGGCCGAGGAACGAATGTTCCGCGCTCGGCCAAAACCGATTCCGTCCGACTGAAGTCTCGGCCAAAGTTCATCGGCCGATCACGTCACGACCCGGGAAACTGTCCCGCGGTCGGCCACGCCACAACGCCACGCCACGCCGCGCACGACCATGCCGCGCGAGCCGGGAAAAAGCCTCGCGGCCGCGCAACCCTCGCGTACCACGGCCGATGCGCCGTCCGAGCCGGGAAACAACGTCCCGCGTCCGGCCGAGAAACCATCGGCCAATCCATTCCCGTCCGACCGCCGACCGATCGAAACATCCGGCCACGACCGTTCCGACTCGGCCACGACCCGACTGTCCGGCCGACGTCCCGACCGACCGTCCGAACGCCGCGGTCGACCCGAAGCCGTTTTTGAAGCCCAATCCGCACAATTCAAGCCCAAAGCCGGCGCCGACCTAGCTAGATTAGGTTAGCCGCTTTTTCATACTTAGTGCATTATAAATACTTCTTTTTAGCCTTGTAACTCAAGAAGGAGAGAGACCACAATCTATTTTACATCTTTAATAAAGTTTTGCTTGCTTTTACTTTGTTCTTGCTTGTTACTCTTTCTAGAGAGGATTCGAATCTCTGTTCTTATGAATATGAATTCGTGTTCCTTCTCTATGTCTGAGTAGTTTACTTGTTAAGTGATAGGAAGTCAAAGGATAGCATTCATGTATGCTTGATGATTGATCACAATTAGGGTTTTACTTATAATCTCCATCTTTGCTTATACTTAATGCTTGTTGTTAATCTGGCCAATTAGCATATGCCTTTAGGTTGATTTGAGCCTCGACAGTGCTGTATCATTCGCCTGAACTAGTATTTGGTGGGCAATCTCTTTTAGACTGCGAAAGTTGATCTACTTGTAGGTTGTGAACAATTGAACTTAATCGAACTAATGCTTGATTTAATCACCTAGGGACATACCAAAAGTTTAGCGACTAGGTAGATTAACAAAGGGGTCGGAGCCTCGACAGTGGAATGATCATACCATAGTGTTTCAAGTTCTAGATTGGCACCTAATTGTGTAACCCTAATTGATTGATTTCTGCTTCTGAATTGCTTATCTTAAGACTATCCTATTGCTTAGCCCTTTCTCTCCTATTGATTTCACTTTCTATTACTTGCATGCTTTACTTTCTCTGCACTCAACCAACTTATACTTTTGCCCTAGCTCGATCTCAACTCATAGCTTGTAGTGTGCAATCTGGTCCTCGTGTTCGATACCCGTTTACTACTTCTGACCTGTGCACTTGCAGAATCAGGGATAGGAAAGGGGAAGACCTGATCCCGCGATCAAGTTTTTGGCGCCGTTGCCGGGGACCAATTCGTCACCTACAAGTTCCTGCAAGAGAGCTAGTCTAGGGTTTCATCTTTCCTTTTTGTTTTGTTATTTTTCCTTTTTCTTTTGATTTGGTTTTTCCTTTTTGTTTTTGAGCTTTTCAGGTTTTCCTAGTTAGATATGGAAAAGGATTCACAAGTCCTTGTTCCTATAAAGGCGATTCCACTTCGCCAATACCACCTCAAAGAACCTCTTGGACGAACAAGAGATGTCAAGCCCTCAAGCACCACCACCTTCTTGGGATAGTCCTCCAAAACTATCCTCCTTGAAGACAAAGAAGAAACTTCTTCCCTACCTTGAAGCAGCCGACATGCCCAAGCTCATCATCAAGCTGACTGAACTCTTCCTTCATCTATACACCTAAGCACTTATAAGAACTAAAACAAGAAAGATTAAAGGAAAACAAATATATACAAAGATAACCATGGGACTTCCTCCAAAGTCCCATAGCTTGACTTTCATAACCTTTTAGGCTAAGGGGGCGTCCGGAAGAGGAGTTGAGACTCCTTCTCCTTGAATGCGTTGGCCCAAATATGGTTTGAGCTTGTGGCCGTTCCTGTGAACTCCTCGCCATTCTGGTTGAGCAAAGTGACAGCTCCATAAGGAAGGACTTCCTTAATCTCAAACGGGCCCGACCACTTGGACTTGAGCTTCCCAGGGAACAACTTAGCTCTTGAGTTGAAAAGCAGCGCATATTCTCCAACCTTGAAGACTTTAGGCAAAATTTTCTTGTCGTGAAATGCCTTAGTCCGTTCTTTGTAAATCTTGGAGCTCTCATATGCGTCCAGCCTGATCTCTTCCAACTCATGTAAGTCGAAACCCCTCTTCTCTTGGGCAGACCTGATGTCGAAGTTGAGGAGTTTGATTGCCCAAAGCGCTCTGTACTCAATCTCCACCGGAAGGTGACACGATTTCCCATAAAGGAGCGAGAAAGGCGTCCTTCCTATTGGCGTCTTATAGGCGGTCCTGTAAGCCCAAAGAGCGTAGTCTAACTTAACTGCCCAGTCCTTCTTGGTCACTCCCACAATCGTCCTGAGGATCCTCTTTATCTGCTTGTTCGACACTTCCACCTGACCACTTGTCTGAGGATGGTACTACCTTATGCTTGACTCCATACTTTTTCAACAAGTTCTCGAAGACTTTGTTGATAAAATGGCTTCCTCCATCGCTTATTACAACCCTTGGCACTCCATATCTCGGGAAGATGATGCTTTTGAACAGCTTGAGCAGAACCTTGGCGTCATTCGTTGGGGAAGCGATTGCCTTGACCCACTTGGATACATAGTCAACTGCCACTAGGATGTATCTATTCCCATGAGAAGGTGGCTCAAAGGGGCCCATGAAGTCGATGCCCCATACATCAAACACTTCCACCTCAAGTATCGGGTTTTGTGGCATTTCATTGTGCTTGGAAATGCTCCCTTCTCGTTGGCATCTATCACACCTTGCAATGAAGTCGTGAGTGTCTTTGAAAAGGCTTGGCCACCAGAATCCGGCTTGAAGAACCTTGGACGCTGTTTTGAAAGTCGCAAAGTGACCTCCGTAGCTCGATCCGTGACAATGCTCGAGTATTCCTTCTACTTCTTCCTGAGCTATGCACCTCCTAAACAGACCATCTGATCCTCTCTTGAATAGGTATGATTCGTCCCAAAAGTAATGTGAGATGTCCATGAAGAATTTCTTCTTCTGGTAAGGAGATAGGTCCGCTGGCACTTCTCCACACACCAAGTAGTTGGCATAATCTGCATACCAAGGCGCCTCTTTTTCCTTAACTGCCTTTGACTGCTCTAACCGAACTGCCAAACCTACGCTTTTCCCAAGACTTTCCACCAAGAGCAACTGTTCCTCAGGCAGAGTATCGTCGATAGGTGCTGGTCCATTGACCATCATCCTTGAGAGATGATCCGCAACTCCGTTCTCAACCCCTTTCTTATCCAAAATTTCGAGATCGAATTCCTGCAGAAGAAGTATCCATCTCAGGAGCCTTGGCTTGGTGTCCTTCTTTGCCAACAGATGTCTCAAGGCTGCATGATCAGTGTAGACTATCACCTTTGAACCCACAAGATAACTCCTGAACTTCTCGAATGCAAAGACTACTGCCAAGAGCTCTTTCTCAGTTGTTGCGTATCGTCCTTGGGCACCGTCCATGGTTCTGCTTGCGTAATATATCACGTGGAGTTTCTTGTCTATCCTTTGGCCAAGCACAGCTCCCACGGCGTAGTCACTAGCATCACACATGATCTCGAAAGGGTAGTCCCAGTTTGGTGCTTGCACAATCGGGGCCGTGACCAAGGCAGTCTTGATCATCTCAAATGCCTTAAGGCACTCCTCGTCAAACATGAACTCAGTCTCCTTGCACAAGAGGCGTGTCAAAGGACGAGCTATTTTGGAGAAGTCCTTGATAAATCTCCGATAGAAACCAGCGTGCCCAAGGAAACTTCTCACGTCCTTGACTGTCTTTGGTTGAGCAAGCTGACTCATCACCTCAATCTTTGCTTGATCAACCTCTATTCCCTTTTCTGATATCTTGTGTCCAAAGACGATCACTTCCCTGACCATAAAGTGACACTTCTCCCAATTGAGCACTAGGTTCGTGTCCTCGCAGCGCTTGAGAACCCTGCACAAGTTAGACAGACAAGACACAAAAGAACTGCCATAGACAGAGAAGTCATCCATAAACACCTCAACAGTGTCTTCAATCAAGTCCGAAAAGATGGACGTCATGCACCTTTGGAAAGTCGCGGGGGCTTTCACCTTTCGGTAATCTATGCACATTCGGTGACCGGTTATGGTTCTGGTTGGGATCATTTCGTCTTTTTCGTTCTTGACTACTGTGATTCCACCTTTCTTGGGCACACAGTGTACCGGCGAGACCCAAGTACTATCCGAGATAGGGTAGATCACGCCGGCGTCAAGCAACTTAAGGATTTCCTTTTTCACCACCTCTTTGAGGTTGGGATTTAAGCGTCTTTGGTGTTCAATAGATCCTTTTGATTCGTTATCAAGGTGAATGCGATGAGTACAAAGCTCAGGAGATATGCCTTTGATGTCCTCTAATGAGTAACCAATTGCTCTCTTGAACTTCCTCAACTCATTAAGGAGGGAGGTTAATTGGGGTGGGGTAAGTTCTTGGTTCACAATTACGGGATAAGTTGAATTTGGTCCAAGAAATGCGTACCTTAGCCCATCTGGTAAGGTCTTGAGGTCCACCTTTGGGGCTTTGACCTCGCTCCAGTCATCGTCAGAAGGTTGCTCGAGGTCGTGCTCTGCCTCTACCTTGTGGATTTCCTCAACTCTCACGGAGCGTCCTATGATTTCCTCAACCACGTCATTGGGAACAGTCCCTCTGTGGGAGTCTAAGAGTTGAGCATACTCCAAGGATTCGGTGTTGAAGTAGCTCTTTTCCTCTGCCTTCTCAGTCAAGGCAAGCTGAAGCTGGTCCGCTGTGGCTAACTCCTCTAGATACTCATCTGCAAACTGATCCAAAGTCTCTACCCAGAAGAGCTGTCCATCAATGGTTGGTTTCTTCATCTATCTCTTGATGTCGAAGCTGAGCTTGAAGTCATCTCCAAAGTTTAGCTCAATCTTCCCTCTCTGAACATTGATGATAGCGCCAGCGGTTGCCAAAAAGGGCCTTCCCAAGATCAGCGGATCTTTGGGTTCTTCATCCATCTCAAGGATAACAAAGTTAGTGGGTATCTCCACGTTTCCCACTCGCACGGGCAAGTCCTCGAGCATACCCAATGGGATGCATACTGATCTATCCGCAAGTACCAAGGAAACGTCGCACTTTTGGTACTTCTCGAACCCAAGCCTCTTAGCTACTGTGAGTGGCATCACGGATACGCCTGCTCCAAGATCACATAAGCTTCGGTTGAATGCCAGAGGACCAATAGAACAAGGAAGAGTGAAACTGCCTGGGTCCTCAAACTTCTTCCCAACTACTTTCCTTGTTATGATTGTGCTACATTCATGAGAAAGAACGACCATACCCTGAACTTCTTTTCTTCTCTCGGTTACAGCGTCCTTGAGAAATTTTTGATAGAGAGGGATGAGCATACATGCGTCCAAGAAGGGCATTGTAATATCAATCTCCTTTATTTGCTTATAAAACAAGGCTCTGGCTTTCTCAAGCTGTTGTTTCTTGAATCGGACAGGGAAGGGAAGTTGCGGTTTGTAGGGAGGAGGAACGAAAGCTGGGGCTTTCTTCTTCTTTTGGACTTCCTCTGGTGCTTTCTCTTTCTCTTGAACTGGTGGTTCCTCTTCAGTTACAGGTGCTGGGGCTTCCATTTCAACTGAAATATCCTCCTCTTGTTCCTCAATGTCCTCATTGACTGGTGCGAGTCATGTTCTTGGAGGTAAAGCGCGTCCACTTCTCAATGTAATTGCGTGTACGTATTCCTTGGGATTCTGCTCTGCTTTACCCGGAAGTTGACCTTGCGTTCTGGATGAGGAAGCTGTTCCGCCTTTGTGTTCAAGCTGATGGATTCTGCTTGTGAGGGCTTCAATCTTAGTCTGAAGGTCGTGGTGTGAAAAGTCTATTCTCCCGTTGATCTCAGATAGTCGCTTGTTGAGATCCACGTTTCCGGTAGACTGTCCTTGAAGTAGTTGCTGAAGCATCTGCTTCACTCCAGGTTCTTGCGGACCTTGCTTAGCCTCGAATCCAGGTGGAACAGAGGTGTTTTTCTGATAGCCTTCTTGGAAATTTTTGTTGTACCCATCACGTGGTTTGATTGGGTAAATCTTTCCTTGACCAGACGTGTTGGCTTGAGGAGGATAGACTTGGTCTTGGGGATTCTCTACATTCGTGCTTCGATAGGACATATTGGGGTTGTTCTTGACGTCTTCAGTGTAATACTCCTCCTCTTGGTCGTCATCACGCTCCTCCAGCATATGCACTGACTGCTTTTGCTGGACTATAAGCAGACTGTCAAGCTTGTCGTTGATGTACTTGCATTTTACATAGTTTTAGCACATCTTTTATGCATCTTTTGCATAGTTTTAGCTTCCATTTGCATCATATCTTGTTCCTTTTCTCTTCTTATGCATTCATGTTAGTTTTAGGTTGCATTTGCATACATATGCATGTTTGGTCCTTTGAAATAGGTCTTTTGGAGCATTCTGGAGCATATGGGACATAAGGAGCATGGAGGGACTTGGCACATGGAAGCAGCTCAACTGGATACGCAAAGGAAGAAGGGAGAAGCCATCTTGAAGACCAGCTCGACCGTCTACTCGACCAACCGGTCGAGTTCCTCAACTCGACCGGCCAAGCTTCAACTCGATCGAGCTGAGAAGTCAACAGTCAAACCCGAAAAATGTTGCTTCCCCCTTGACTTTCCTTTGACCCTAAACCTAATCCTCTTGTATTTAAAGGCTCTAAGCCACGAAAAAACCACCAAGCTTTAGATTATTTTGTTTTAGTTTCTTTTAATTTATTGTCTTTTACTTTTTAGAGACTAATCCCATCTTTGTGTTCTTGAAGCTCTTGCTTCTTGAATCCTAGATCCTGGATAATCTCTTTGTATTTGCACTTGCTTATTTCAATAAAAGTTGTTTAATTTCATCTCCTCTTTCTTATGATGTCTCTTTTATTGCATTTGCTTGTGTTTACATTCATGTGTAGTGAGTAGTTACCCATTGGGGTTTGAGATGGGATAGATTAGAGGTTTCATATGCTTAATCCTTCTAGCTTATGGTCTTAATCTAGATTCTCTCTCTTTTGGATAGATCTTAAGGCTACATGACCACTACCCCTGGCTTGTAAGTCCTTAGGCGACTCCCCACACGAAAGTGATGGCATTCGCTGGAAAAGATCCACTAAGAGCTCCAATATCTCTTGCTCTAGAAATAGAGGTCTAAGGGGTTGGATGGATTAGTTTGGGCAATGATCCTATAGCCTCCAAGGTTTGATTCTCACTGGCTAACCCCCTGTTTCTGAGATCATTCCTTGGTTGATAGCCTCACCTTGGGAAAGGGTTGGCTAGGCATTGAGAAGCCCAATATCAAGAGAAGCCTTGATACAAGGAGTTTTAAGAGCTAGATTGATTAAGTGTAGATTCCTTTGATTGCAAAACCCTGTCTTGAACCCTAATTCTCTCTTATCTTGTTAAAGTCGTCACCTTTAGCTTTGTTTGTCTCAACTCGTCCCTAAACTCGATCGAGCTGGTACTTTGTTCTGACTCGACTCGAGTCTTGGTCGAGCTGCTTCTGCTTTGTTTACTTTTGCATTGCATTTCTTTTATTTAGGTTGTTAGTGTTACTTCAAATCTTTACTGCTTGCTTGACTTTCTGGTTGTTTCATATTCTCAAAGAGTGACAAGTTTCCCATTTTGGATTGATAACCTCTTGTACTACATGACTATGATGGTTAAGAGGAATTGATTGATTGTGATTGCACCATTTCATCTTTATTCACCCTGTTGCATTCCACCTCATCTCATTTCATTCATTCATTCACATCCACACAAAATCCTATCATCAATTTGGCGCCGTTGCCGATTTGGGAATATTTTTGTTGCATTTGAGTTTCAAACACACTTGGACGATCAAGCTATACCACCCCTGTTCTATTGTACTGCTGGGTTTTTGTCTCTTTTTGCAGGTGTATGCGAACTCGATCGAGTCGGTCTACTGAGGACTTGGTCGAGCTAGACTTACAACGGGTAGAAAGAGGGTTCAGAGGTCACAGAGGGTACAAGAGGAACCTGAGGTGCTTGTTGCTGATACAATGGATGTACCAGAGGGGAATGGAAACCCTTTGGGAATGGACTCGGTCGAGCTAGGCAAACTCGACCGATTGGTCAAGGAGATGCTCCAAACCGCCACCAACAGAGACAAGGGATTGTTCCACCACCAGTGCAGAACCACAACTTTGAGATCAAGCTGGGAATGATCAACCTTGTCCAGAACAAGATGTTCCATGGATTGCCAAGTGAAGACCCCATTGACCACCTTGATGAGTTTGATAGGCTTTGTGATTTGACAAAGATCAATGGTGTCTCTGAAGATGCCATCAAGCTGAGACTCTTTCCTATGTCTCTAGCTGACAAAGCTCACCAATGGGAGAAGAGCTTGCCCCATGGCACAATCACCACTTGGGATGAATGCAAGAAGGCCTTTCTTGCTAAGTTTTTCTCCACCGGTCGCACAGCCAAGCTTAGAGGAGAGATATCCAGCTTCATCCAGCGAAACAATGAGACATTCGCAGAGGCTTGGGAGAGGTTCAAAGGCTACACAAGTCAGTGCCCACACCATGGATTCAACAATGAATCACTACTCTCCACTCTTTATAGAGGATGCTTGCCTAGGTATAGGGAGATGCTAGACACAGCTAGCAATGGGAACTTCCTCAACCAGGATGTAGATGATGGCTGGCAACTTGTGGAGAACATAGCTAACTCAAATGGAAGCTATGGAGAAGAGTATGATCGCACCAACCGGAGCTCGACCCACCACTCGATCGAGTCAGACGAAAAGTTGAGAAAAGATGTTAAGGCATTGAATGAGAAGTTGGATAAGCTGATCCTAGCTCAGTCCACAATGAAGAAAGTCAACTTTGTGTCTGCTGAGGAGATGGAACCAGTCCAAGAAGGGGAGGATACACAATTTGCTGAGGTGTGCTACATGAGCAATGGGCAAGGAGGTTACAACAAAGGATACTATAATTACAAGTCCAACCCTGCCATGTCATACCGCAACACTGATGTTGCTAACCCTCAGGACCAAGTATATCCTCAACAACAAGCAGCTCGATCGAGTCAGGTGCCACAACATGGGTATGGTCAAAAGAACAATTACCAAGGACCACAAGGCACTTTCCCTGGACAACAAATGAATATCCCACCAGGCTTCCCCCACCAACCGCCCCAGCCTGCACCTTCACAAGAGAATGAGCTCAAGGCAATGCTAAAGCAACTACTTCAAGGGCAAGCTGATGGGGTAGTGGACACAAGCAAGAAGCTAGCTGAAATAAACTCTAAGATCGAGAACCTCAACACAAGGGTTTACTCTCTGGAGAATCATGCTTCTTCTGTTGCTGCTGCTACAAAGCAAGGACAACTACCTGGTAAAGCTATTCAGAACCCCAAGGAACAGTGCAAGGTCATCTTCACTCAAGAAGGACTTGTTGAAGAAGAGGATCAAGAAAGGGTCATTGAAGATTTTTGTTTACTGCTGAATGATGAAGAGATTGTTGCTGCTGAGGCTCCTGGAGTCCAGATTGATCAACCAGAAGTGCAGGCACCTACTGTGGCCATTCACACTTCACCAGTTGAGCTCGCACGACAAGCTCGATCGGCAGCTCGATCGAGTCCAACTCTAGCTCGATCGAGTCCGACCTCTTCTGTCCGACAGCCTGTTTTGCTTGATCCTTACCAACCGGTTGCCGCTTCCTCGTCTCGCCTACTTAGTCAAGGTCACAAGGAAGTGATTCACAAGTTCAGAAGAGATCTCAGTGGGATTGGAATTGAGTTGCCTCCTATGGATAGCATGAGTGAGGCATTTGATCAAATGCAAATGGTCAAGGATGTTCTAGCCAACAGTGATAAAGTTTCAGAGGTCCTACAAGAGTCTACTCATCAGTTCAACCTGCTTACTTCACCCACCTTCCTACCAAAGGTCAAGGATCAAGGGAAATTCACTCTCCCTTGCACACTTGGGCATCTTGAGATTGACAATGCCTTAGTGGATTCTGGAGCAAGCATCAATCTGATCTCTCTCTCCATGGCAGAGAAGCTAGGCATTGCTGGAGCCTTGCAGCGCCCTACTACTTCAATCATGTTTGGAGATGCAACTTCTAAGTCTCCTCTTGGAGTGTTCAAGAACTATCACTTGAAAATTGGAGAATGCATCATCCAAACTGATCTCACTGTGATGGAAATGGAAGAAGAGAAGGATTTACCTCTGTTATTGGGAACCCCTTTCCTTAGTACAGTTGGCGCTTCAATAGACTTTCACAAGCAAGAAGTGATCCTTCACAAGGTGAATAGTTTGGTGTCATATCGCTTGCAGCCTAGAGGTTCAGACTTTTGTGCCACAATTGACAGTACCACTCTCAGTTCTAAGAGTCATGGAGCTACAAAGGTTGTGAAGGAAAGGGTTGACAAAGAACCAAGAGTTGGGAAGGATAAGGATGAGAGAGGACCAAGGATTGAGAAGCCACGTCTTGAGAGGGCTAGAGTTGAGAAACCACGTCTGATAGGCCACGAGCTGATAGACTTGTTCAAGCCCCTTGTGTGCTTGATGAAGAGAGCCTTCAAGCTTTGTTTGATGAGCCACTAGGAAGGGCTCTAAAAGAAGGGGAGGATGTAGCCTCTAAGGCAAGACCAGGGATAAAAGAAAGGATCCACCAGCTCAGGCCCCTTCAGTCAAGCCATCTCAGCTCACAATGACTTTGTTCCCCACCAAGTTTGAAAATGGGAAGATTGAGTACAAGATAAGGTACAAGGGGAGATCAAGGCCATTCTCTAGAGCCAAGGCCTTGGTGACTTCAGAACAGTCCAGGGACCCAACCAAGCTAAAGGAGCTTCTGTCTCAAGTCCTCACTATCACCCTTGATGGTGGGACTAGCTCAACCAATGCCTAAGAAGGTAAAGGTCAAGCTATGGGACCTTAAACAAGCTCACTTGGGAGGAAGTCCCATGTTTATCCTTGTACATATTCTATTTATGCAATTTCTATCTATTTTTGTTTTTAACCTTTGAATAAGTTAAGTTTAGGTGTCAAGGAGCCAGCTCGACCGACAGCTCGATCGAGCTAGAAACCAGGGCAACTCGATCGAGTTCCACAACTCGACCGAGGTAAGTTTTTGAATTTCAAATTCATAACCGTTTTCTTGGTCAAGGGAGTGGGTCCCACAAGCTGATTTTGGTCCCCCACTACCCTAATTTGATCAGAAAACCCTAGCTTCTTGTCCCCTCTTTATTTCATCTTTTAATCTCAACCACACATCTCAAACACTCCCTCTTCCCCATAACTCGATCGAATCCACTTCTCCACTCTCCCACACTTAAAATTTCTGAAACTCTCTCTCTCTCATCACCACAAGAAAATCGAATTTCAACTTTCTCTCTTAAGTTTTTGCGATTTCTCTTGTTCTTCATTTTGTTTGTTTTAGTTTACTGCTCTTCAATTCATCATTCAACAAGGTATGAACCCTAAAACCCTTGATTCCTCCATCTCGATTTCTATTGCTTGTTTCTCTTTGATTTTTGATTGCATGTGTCCCTTGTGGACTTGTTCTTGAGTAATTGCTTCTCATTTCTCTCTGTATAATCTTGTTAATTTGCCTCACCTCACCTCTGTTTTGCCTTAAACTTGTTGCATGTGCTTGAAAATTGAATTTGAGTTTGGTATTGGTTAAGATGCTTAGTGCTTCACTAGAATTGCTCATTGTTCCATTTACTAGTTGTTCTTGGTTCAATTTGATTGATTAGCATCCTTTCCAGCTCTTAATACTTGAATTAGGTTCGGTTATACTCTGTTTTCACCCAGCTCGATCGAGTTTGTCACTCGAGTTTTTTGACTCGATCGAGCTGAGTGTCGAGTTGACCAAACCGATCATTACAACTCTAATTCTTTGTAATCTTTGATGCATTTCAGGTACTTTAGTGAAGAAACAGAGTAACAAGGATGACAAACAGTGAGGGAAGCGCGCTTCACAGAGGAGAATGGTTGAGGGTGAATCAAGCAATGCAAGGGAAAGAAGGCTTAAGATGCAAGCCGATTTGGAGAGGATGATCAGAGGATGGAAGAATCTGATGCAGAGGATATGTCTACTCTGAGGAAGTCTGAGAGTGAGAGATTGAGGGAGGAGAGGAGAACCAAGAAGAGGAATGACCCATTAGTAGTGAGAGTGAGCAAGGGGAGTTTGAGATTGGAGTGAACCTTGTTCAAGAGGAGGGAAATGGTTCTCCAAGTGAAGAAGGAAGTGATGAGACTGAGAGTGAAGAGGAAGGAGAAGAGGTGAACAATTGGTTGATGAAGTGAGCAAGAGAGAACCAAGATGAACCATGGAGGAGTTGAGCCACAAGAGGAGGAAGAGAACTCCCCATGTACCAAGAGCACTACAATGCTCTCTTCTCCATGGACTTTGTGGAGACCAAGTACCCACATGATGACACATGAAGGCTTGGATCTTTGAGGATGTGGAGTTGGTGCTCAAGAACATGCACTTGGAAGTTCTTCTCTCACCGCATGGAGTCTTACAAGGAGCTCACTTGTGAGTTTTTGGCTCAATGAGGTATCACATTTGATGAGCTCGATCGAGCTGAGTTGGACCAAGGCTGGGGGTCACGTTCTTGGCAAAGGGAGAGAAGAAGATGGTGACCTTTAGGCAGCTTGAGATACTGTTTGGGTTCACTATGGAGAAGGAACCATGGAACATCAAGGAAGAAGAACTCCAAAGAGTTGGGCTACAATCGCTGAAGAGGGGTACTCTTCCTCAAGGTCCAAGGCTGCCAGATCAGAGCCCAGTGCTTGAGATATGTCCACAAGGCTCTTGCCAACACCTTCTTTGCAAGGAAAGCCACTGGACAATCAATGAGGGAGAAGTGAAGCTCCTTGACATGGGAATCAAGCCCATCATCTCACGCACAAGGATGGGAAGAGATCAGAGGAGATAGGGCACACGCAGGGAACTCATGCCTCTCCTTGAGCAGCTCCACTACAAGTCACAGCTTACAACACTAGGCACCAAGAGGAAGAAAGCTTAGTGTTGGAGGGGTCATCACACCTATCTTTGTGCAGCTGGAGTCCAACTGGACAAGAGAAGGTCTACTCCACCAGGTTGGATGGACATCAAGTTTTGCAAGACCAACCTCTCATTGAGCACAAGGAGTTGGATGGGAGGTTCCAATTCAAGTTCACCATCCATTGGCTGGCCCTCCAAGCTTCTTCTGCCCAACCCTGAGCTCACCACAGTCTAGGAGGTGAGAACATTGACTTCAGACCCCCTGTGTACACATTAGTTGGGCATGAAGCGGATTTGCGAGAAGAGGAGCCTGAGCTCGATCGAGCTGAGGATCGAGCTGAGATCAAGCTGAAGATCAGTCCAGGAGAGTGCGGATTTGGGTGAGCCTGAGTGCTATTACTTTGAGGAGTATGAGGCTCCAAGGATGAACCCCTCTGTTGTGGCTGCCCACAAGAGGATTGGACTTCTCCAAAAGTTCAACAAGTGGCAAGGGAAAGCCATGAAAGATGCAAAAGTCCATGGACAAGATGGTGAGCAAGATCAAAAGTTTGGAGAAGAAGGTTTCTGGTTCTTCAAGCAAGAAGAAGAAGTCCAAGGCCCCCACTTCCCTAGGAGTAGTCACTCCTCACCACTCAAGGAGGCTCTCCCAAGAGCCTCACAGAGCCTCTTCTTTCGAGCCAAGGGAAGGAGAAGACAACACGCAGAGAAGGAGGAAGACTTCCAAGGCCAGACGCTCCAGCTCGACCACCGGACTCGATCGAGTCCAAACAGAGGAAACTCAACTCGATCGAGCTGAGGGTCGAGTTGACCTGGAGGAGCCCCTGTTTGAGAACCCTGGATTCGAGTACGATCAACGCAGTACCAGGACTTCTCCCAGACCAACTGGACCCCTACAACAGCTTCGAGCAAGCACAGCTCCACCAAGGCCAAGGGAGCCACACACTTTGAAGATGAAGAAGAAGAAGAGAGGAGCAAGCTCGATCGAGTGAGCCGAACCCAGTTGCATGGAGTGCTCCTGATGGCCGTCTACCATCTCCAGACCACGACCTAGCCTCCCAGTTCTTTGGGGGGCACTGAGGTATCCAAACACCAACCCTTGTATATACCATTTCATATTTTCTTGCATTTGTTCTTGTTTTTCTTGGTTTTGCCCTCTTGAATCTTTCACTAAATTTTTCTCACACAAGGGACTGTGTGATTTAAGTTTGGGGGAGGGTTCAAGAGATGATTTAACCTTGTTTTCTTTGTTCTTAGTTTTTCATTTATCTTTTGCATAGAAAAACCAAAAAAATCATAAAATTTTCAAAAAATCCAAAAATATTTTCATCTTTTTGCATTCATATTTGTTAGACTTGTTTAGGATTGCATTTTTCACTTGCATTGTTGATTTGACTTTGAAAACTTGTCCATCTTTTGCGATTTCTTGAGTGCCCTGTTTTTAGATTCTTTTGTGCATTAGGGTGAGATTGATTGAGCAGCAAGAACCATGTTTATCTTGATCATATCACTGCATGCACATCTCATTCAACCATTGCTGTGATTTGATGCATTTCCCTATCTATTGAACCATAACTTGATCTTTAATTACCAATGCTTGCATTTGATTTCAACTCATGGCTACCACATACATATCTGGACATTCTTTACCTATTTTCATATCCCTTTTGCTTGTCCAGATAGCTGATCTCTATCTTTGAGACAGTTACCACACCTTAAACCTAAGCCTTTTCATTTCAAACCCCATATTATCTCTTGTGCGAATGTGAGAACCTTTCTTGGCTTTGCTTAGCATAAGGTGTTGTGTTTAAACCGGCAGGGGCAGTAGTTCTAGTTGTCTAGTTCTCTTGGGATTGTTTTCAGGCTAAGTTTGGGGGTGCCAACTCGAGCTCGATCGAGTTGGGTGTAAAAACCAGAAAAGTGGTAAAAGTTGGGAAAAACCCAAAGGAAAAAGAGTTTAGTTAAGTCCAGGGAGTTGGCAGTGTTAAAAAGGGTCTAGTAAAGGTTTGGGAAGTTAAAAAAGGAAGTAAAAAGGGTTCTAAGTAGAATGAAAAGAAGGCAAAGCCTCAAGTGTCAAAAAGAAAGAAAAGTTCCCTAAGTGTTTAGAAAATCCCAAACCGCTAGATGTTACCTCAAGAAGCCTCTCCCTAGGAAGTTCTTAAAAGAAAAGTGAGCAAAGCTCCTCAGTTTCAAAGGCGAAATGCCAAAAAGGGTAGTTAGGATTTTGTTCTAAAAAGCTCTAAGTGTTGAACTCGATCGAGTTAGGATTAGGCGGCTCGAGCTGCTGTTCTTGCATCATCTTTGGTTCTAACACTTAGCCTTCTGCCAAAGCAAAGCCACTTTCTTGAGAGATCCCTGTTACTAAACCACCATACAAAAGAGACCCTCTTTGTCTCTTAACCCATAAACCCTTGAAACCAAATGAGTTGATTGATCTTGCATGTTTTTGGTTCACTGTTTTTGCTTAATGAATGTTAAAGGGATTTGCTGATTTGAATGCATTGTTTGAGTGACTGTGAAGTGGGATTGATGTTGATAAGCATGGTTAAATCTTAATGAATATCTCTCACCTTGTTGCATTCTAGAATCTCTAAGTTGGACATTTAGCAAATCGCTTTTGAGGACATGTTTTTAAGTGTTGAATCAGCTTATTTTCAAACCTCATCTCTTTCTTGTTCTATTTGTTTGCTTGAGGGCAAGCAAAGTTCAAGTTTGGGGGTGTTGATGTACTTGCATTTTACATAGTTTTAGCACATCTTTTATGCATCTTTTGCATAGTTTTAGCTTCCATTTGCATCATATCTTGTTCCTTTTCTCTTCTTATGCATTCATGTTAGTTTTAGGTTGCATTTGCATACATATGCATGTTTGGTCCTTTGAAATAGGTCTTTTGGAGCATTCTGGAGCATATGGGACATGAGGAGCATGGAGGGACTTGGCACATGGAAGCAGCTCAACTGGATACGCAAAGGAAGAAGGGAGAAGCCATCTTGAAGACCAGCTCGACCGTCTACTCGACCGGCCAAGCTTCAACTCGATCGAGCTGAGAAGTCAAAGTCAAACCCGAAAAATGTTGCTTCCCCCTTGACTTTCCTTTGACCCTAAACCTAATCCTCTTGTATTTAAAGGCTCTAAGCCACGAAAAAACCACCAAGCTTTAGATTATTTTGTTTTAGTTTCTTTTAATTTATTGTCTTTTACTTTTTAGAGATCTAATCCCATCTTTGTGTTCTTGAAGCTCTTGCTTCTTGAATCCTAGATCCTGGATAATCTCTTTGTATTTGCACTTGCTTATTTCAATAAAAGTTGTTTAATTTCATCTCCTCTTTCTTATGATGTCTCTTTTATTGCATTTGCTTGTGTTTACATTCATGTGTAGTGAGTAGTTACCCATTAGGGTTTGAGATGGGATAGATTAGAGGTTTCATATGCTTAATCCTTCTAGCTTATGGTCTTAATCTAGATTCTCTCTCTTTTGGATAGATCTTAAGGCTACATGACCACTACCCCTGGCTTGTAAGTCCTTAGGCGATCCCCACACGAAAGTGATGGCATTCGCTGGAAAAGATCCACTAAGAGCTCCAATATCTCTTGCTCTAGAAATAGAGGTCTAAGGGGTTGGATGGATTAGTTTGGGCAATGATCCTATGCCTCCAAGGTTTGATTCTCACTGGCTAACCCCCTGTTTCTGAGATCATTCCTTGGTTGATAGCCTCACCTTGGGAAAGGGTTGGCTAGGCATTGAGAAGCCCAATATCAAGAGAAGCCTTGATACAAGGAGTTTTAAGAGCTAGATTGATTAAGTGTAGATTCCTTTGATTGCAAAACCCTGTCTTGAACCCTAATTCTCTCTTATCTTGTTAAAGTCGTCACCTTTAGCTTTGTTTGTCTCAACTCGTCCCTAAACTCGATCGAGCTGGTACTTTGTTCTGACTCGACTCGAGTCTTGGTCGAGCTGTACTTCACTGCTTTGTTTACTTTTATTGCATTGCATTTCTTTTCATTTAGGTTGTTAGTGTTACTTCAAATCTTTACTGCTTGCTTGACTTTCTGGTTGTTTCATATTCTCAAAGAGTGACAAGTTTCCCATTTTGGATTGATAACCTCTTATACTACATGACTATGATGGTTAAGAGGAATTGATTGATTGTGATTGCACCATTTCATCTTATTCACCCCTGTTTGCATTCCACCTCATATCTTATCATTTCATTCATATCATATCACATCCACAAAATCCTATCATCAGTCGTTCAGCACCTTCAGTTCCTTTTTGTGCTTTTCCTCTGCTTCGATGGATCCTCTGTTTGTGCGGTCATGGTCTTCGCCGTATGTACCATTGCTCATTGCCATGTTTTCCACCAAAAACAGACCGTCGTCAACGTCTCTGGCCAAGAAGTTGCCTTGGCTTGCTGTGTCAAGCATCTGCCTAAACCGAGGCAGTACACCACGGTATAGAGTGCTTAAGAGTGACTCTTGAGAGAAACCGTGGTGTGGGCACTTCGACTGATATCCTTTGAAGCGTTCCCAGGCGTCTGTGAAACTCTCGGCGTGCTTTTGTGCGAAGCTTGAGATGTTGGTTCTGAAGCTTGCAGTTCTGACTGAGGAGAAGAACTTAGCCAAGAAGGCTTTCTTGCACTGATCCCAGCTTGTGATGGACCCTCGAGGTATCATTTTTTCCCATTGGCGAGCTTTGCCATCAAGTGAGAATGGGAATAAACGAAGTTTGGTGGCGTCTTCGCTTACTCCATTCTGTGTGATCAAGTCACATGCTCTGTCGAACTCGTCAAGATGGTCCAACGGGTCTTCCTCAGGTAGACCGTGATAGATCTTTTGTTGGACTTGATGCAGAATGTGCGGTTTGATTTCGAAGTTGTTGTGCACATTCGGCGGGGCTATGCCTTGACGGTTTTCGTGAGTGTTAGGTGCATCGCCGGCACCTATTTGACGGTGAGGTCGCAGAGGTGGATTGTTTCGCTGACCACCTTGTTGTTCCGGTCCGGGTGGGAATCCTTCCTGTTGGGGTTGGGCTGCCATGTCTCGGAACCTCTCGTCTTCTGGTTCGCGAAGTAACTCTGCGTGACCGTTTGTTTTGCTCTGCTTTGTCAAGATCGCTTGTACTTAGGAGGTTGTCTCGTCCTTTGGATCTGGTGTGCATACACCTGAGGTCAAAGAAGAGAGGTTTCACAGAAAGTTAGCGACTTTAGGCAAGATAGAGCAAAACCGACTTAATCTAAGGTTTTTCTTGAAAACGAAATGCTTAAAAGTCTCCACTTTGGCAACGGCGCCAAGTTGATAAGTAGGATTTTTGTATCAACTAATCTCAATCCATACCACTCATGTCATTGTAGTATTTGAGATGTCAATCCAAGTGGAGATTTAAACTTATCGAAATAAAGAAAAGGCAAAGATCAAGTTTCGATAAAAGATTGGGTTTTGTTTTGTAAAGATCTATGCTTTAAGCTAACAAGATGAAATAAAGATTTAAACTTTAACAATATAAGATAAAGGAGGCGTCTTGGGTGAGATTAGTTGGGATCAAACGAGCTCAACCTTCCTTTCTCAACACACCAAGACTCAAGCTTTGTGCTTAGACTTTGGGTAAATCCGCCACTCTCGTGGTCAGATCGCTTTGCAAGCTGAGAATCCAAAGCTAGCTCTCACTAGTGGACTCAAAGTTACAAGCTTTCACAAGATCTAGTCTAAAAGTGCACAAGATACATCCCAACAACCAATCTCTTAGGTTGGGAATGTTTCTCTCTATCGCTAGCTCTCTTAGGCATTAACGCAAACACCTTCTAGGTGTACTAGCCTAGATTCGCGACTTCAAGTGATCAAGAAGAAGCCGAGATATAAAGCTCTAGCTAAAGAAAAGCTGGTCAAGGGAGATTAAGGAAGAGGTTAACAGGAAGCTAAAGCTCTGACCTTTCCTAATCTCACCCTCGAAACCTCTAAAGAACTACTCGCTACTCATACTCGAACCGAAAGCAAAGAGGTAAAGAAAGCTAGAAATCATCATTAAGACAAGATTAGCAAACTAAGTACTTCTTAAACTTAAAAGATTCAAAGTAAAAGCTTACAAAAGATCTCCAAGAACAAACTGTTTTTCTTGGAGAGAAACTGGTTACAAGATAAAGATTGCCTAAAAATTAGGTCTTAAAGGTTTATATAGAGAAGGGAAAAGTGTATCCTTTGGTCAACGTTTTTGCTTTGACTTCACAGATGCGCGCAGCTTGAGCAACTTCCTCAAGCACTCTGTTTCCTTTTGCTCAAGGCTCTGTTCCGTCTTGCTTGTTTTGCCATCCGATTACTCCGATCTCCTTCTGGTCCATCTCCGATCATCACCTCCGGTCCCTTCCTTCGCCATAAGCTCCGAATACCTGATAAATGCACCCCAAATGCAATGGAAATGCAAAATGCTAACCTAAAGGCTAAATGATCCTAAGTAGACTAAAGCTACTCTAAATGTTATGAAATGGGACTCAATTATACACAGAACTATGCAGTATGAGAGGCTAAATGTATGCAAATGTTGAGTACATCAACACCCCCACACTTAGTCTTTGCTTGCCCTCAAGCAAACATCAACCAAGCATAAGAGTGTTCTCTGAGCAATAGAGTCAAGTGAAAGCCGAGAAGAGAAATTGATTCAACAACCTAGTTCCAAGGTCTAAAGCGCAAAAGATGTTCTCTACTTCAAAAATCTTAGCCGCACCTTCATAATCACAATCAATGACAACTAGCTCAACCTAAACATGCATTCAAATCCTCTACTCCTTTTGACATTCATTAAAAGCGTAAAACGGTGAATCAAAACACATGCAAGTCAAGTTAACTCGTTTGGCCAGTGGAAAGAGAGAGAGCAAATCATCAATGCAAGCTCAAGTCAAATGACAAAGGGAAGGGTTCTCTCAAAATGAAGTGAAACAGCTTCGGCATAATGCTAAAGGCGAGAACCAATTGGGAGGTACAAGGACAAATGATCATCTACCCGAAACCCCAAGTACCTTTTTGGTGACTCTCAAATCCGAAACTTCCTATTTCTACCCTTTTCCCTTTGGGTTCCCTTTTCCTTCTCTTTTTCTTAGAGCTTTTGAAACTTTTAGCGAATTTTCTAAGGCTTTTTGAAAGACAAACTCGAGAGACTTGGTCTAAACTCTTGCCCTAACCCATCTTTTCCTTTTGAAACTCTTTTTCTTTTTTTTTTTTTTATTTTCTGATGGGGGCTTTCTTAAACTCACAGACCAAGCTCAATCTACCTTAGCTGAAACGCCTCTTTTCTTTTTGCTTACAAGCTCTTTCTTTCTTTTTCTTTTTGAATCCCAACCCAAGACATTCCCAAACCCAAGTCCTAACCTAGTCTGGCCCAAAAAGCGTGGACCAGAATCTACATGATCACCTATCCTTGTCGGCTCAAGACCTAACACTTTATGCCAAGCTTTTTCCAAAAGGCCTCACAACACACAAGAACAACATTTGGTTTGAAAGGAAGGGTTGGTTAAGGGCAGGGAGTTCTACTTGAATCAACAAAGAAGGATGAACAATAATGCAAAGATGATTCAAGTATGTATAATCCAAAGATGATTCAAGCTTAGCCTCCGGCACCGATTTGGTCATGAAATTACCATTGCTCGCGGTATCGAGAGAAAGCTTGTATTTATGATCAATCCCATTGTAAAAGATGTTCCAAAGGTTACCTTCTGAAAAGCCATGGTTAGGGCAGCTTCTTGTGTACTCCTTGAATCTCTCCAAAGCTTCATAGAATGACTCCATTGAATCTTGCTTGAAACCAGAAATCTTGCTCCTTATAGAGTTGGATCTTTGCTTAGTGTAGAATTGGTTCAAGAAAGCTCCCTTGTATTCATTCCATGTTGTAATGGACTGAGGTGGTAAAGATTTTACCCATCTTAGCGCCTTGTCACTTAGAGAAAAAGTGAATAGCTTGCACTTGAAGTAATCCGGCGATACTCCATTAACACGAGTTGTGCTACATATCTCCTCAAAGGTGTCGACGTGATCAAGAGGATGCTCAGTGGGCAAACCATGGAATTGGTTTTGCTTCACCAAGGCAATGATCTGCGGTTTGATCTCAAAATCGTTCCTTGGAGGTAGAGGCGGTCGGATTGGATTCCGATCCATAAAGAAGGCATCGGACGAATCAAAGTCTCCCATAGTTTGGTGCCTTGGATGCTGCGCGTTTGGCACTCTCCTTGGAGGTGCGTGAGGTTGGTCTTGAGGCATCCCTTGGTTGTCACCGTGACGATGATGTCCATTTGCAAACGCCGGTGGTGGTCGCGGCGGGTTAAGAGGTGGCTGTAGCGGCTCAGCTGCATCGGGCGCGTTCGGATTGGGTGGAGGAACGTCTCTGGCCGGTGCTGGCTGGTCAGCTCTAGCTTCTGCTGGATTAGGAGGATCATTGGCTCTCCTCTCTTGGTCGGGCGGGTTGTGTGGCCTATTTGGCGCGCCTTCTCCGCCTGGATTCATTCTTTCTCTCCTTAGTCGCCTAAGTGTGCGCTCAAGTTGGTCAATGTCAAGATCTTCTTCAATGGTTGTATTTGGATTGGACCTTCTTGTCATGCACCTTAGAAACACACAAAGAGAGAGTTAAGTAAAATTTTTATGAGTTTTTAAGATTTTATGAAAAACAAAAACAAAGAAAAGTGAAAGATGAGATGAGCTAGTCTTGAAATCAATCAAGAGGTGTGAAGGAAAAGCAACTCCTCCCCGGCAACGGCGCCAGAAAGCTTGATGGCGGGTTTAGATTGCCTCAAATTTTCACAATTTATAAACCCAACTAATGAGCTGCAAGTGCACAGCCGTGTTGTAGTCGGGGTCGAACACGAGGAGGAAGTGTTCTCACTTAACACCTTGTGAGATTGGTTTGTAGCTAGCTCGCAATATGAGGTGGTTTTGGACCTAGAATGAGAAAAAACAAAAGAAATGTGAGTGAGTTGTAAACAATTTAAAACAAGAGTTAGGCAAAGGACAATCATATGGAGCAATGATGAAAAGATAGTTGCATGGGATGTGTGTAGAGCCGTCTTGAACATGAATCACTAGTGTATGGTCTTTCCACTGTCGTGGCTCCAACCACTATGTTTAAAACAACCTAATATACTCAGCTTTCGTTGGCTATTAGAATTGCAAACATGCATTACAAGGTTCAAGATTCAATTGTTCACAATAAACCATAACTCAGCTTTCGTTGGCTATGATCTATTGCTCACCAAATACTAGTTTTGAGATCTAGATTCAGCACTGTCGTGGTTCTATTTCTCTAAGATCAGATTACTAGATGTACGGTAGAGTAATCATGCATTAAGCTCAAGTAAAGGTGAAGATCCATAAGATAAATCCCAATAAGTTGCAACACAATCAAATCATCACGGCCACCATAGATCTCCTCGGCCTAACTAAGAGATCTACTCGGCCATGATGCAAACAAGCAAGCAAAGCATGATTGTAAACATTATGCAAGTATTAAAAGAGATAAAGGGATGAAGAAAGCTTCTCTATTGATGAACAAAGTCGGATTCTCCCTTGAAAACTCTTAAGATCAAGTTTATAGAAATGGAAACAATGAAAAAGAAAGAACAAGAGTTGAGCGGCGCCTCCTTCTTCTTGGACGATCTCCTAGGGCTTCTCTTCTCTTCTCTCTCTTCTCACACGTGAACTCTTTGATAATTTTCGGACTGGACTCGATTCTCTTCTTCAGCGGCTAAAAACATGTATATATGGGCGAAGTCGCGTAGGGTTTTCTTCATGCCGGAAAAGGAAAGTTTCCCGCGAGCAAAGCCTTCTTCTCCACGTCGTGTATGGGCCGACATTGTACCAAGGAAAGCTCCAAACATTAGCCAGGCCTCTTCTCTATTCGATCAAGGCCTTTGGCGCTGCTGCTCGGGCCATTAGACACTCCAAATCCTCCATGGGCTTCGTTTACTCGCTTACCGGACATGTCTCGGTAGAAAATAAGTCTAGGCCTCATAGTTGATCCAAATGGCTTCATTCCACTTCGACGTGATGCATGACTCAAGTATCTATCTTTCCATATCAAGATCGTAACTTTTGGACGTCGGGAACTCCTCCGCGCGCGGCCAAACTTCCGAAGCTTCGTTCTGCGCGCAGCGAGAACTAACACTTGGAGATAAAATGATCTTCTTGACTTGGAAACTTGCATGGATCTTGATTTAGGGCTCTTTTACTCCTTTTTGCATCCTTTTTGATTATTTCACCTACAAAGACTTCAAATCCCACAAATACAAGAAAACTACCTCTAAAGGCAAAGAATCTTGCAAAAACCGTTTGAAAACATAGTAATTATATAGTAAAATCATGTAAAATATGGTGATATCAGTGTTGATGCTCTCAAGTGCGGTTTTAGCCGCTGACTTCCTCCCTTTGATCTCGTGGTTCTTGAAGTGGAATTCTCCGGTTTTGTAGTCCATGAGGTTCTCCTCGTCTCCTGAGCTCTCTTCCACATCAGCTGCCCCTGGATAATCGTACTCTTCCTCCTCTTGGCCTTGTTCAAGAATCGTGTCGATAGGAGGTTCGAAGTCGATGTTCTCCCCGACCGTGATGTAGGTCAAGGGCTGGTTTGGCAGGAAGAAACTCGCAAGCCCGAAGTTGAACTGCCTGTAGGCGAACTGATAGTTGTGGCGTCCGCTGATGGGTTGACCTCGAAGATAGGTGCTCTTGCGGAGATACTGGATGTTTATCGCTTGAGGATCAACCGGCTTCTCAAGCGTGATTCCGCAGTTCATGAGGATCGGCGTTATGAGTCCTCCACAACTCAGCTGACCACTGCTTGCCTTGTGCACTTTGTTGAGAGAGAGAGCATACTCCCTGTAGCTGAGGAAGCTCTTGAGAAGATACGTCGCCACGCTGTTCCCTGATCTGTCCCCGACCATCTCAGTTCCATCCGGCAACGTGTGAATCACTTTCTTCATCCCTTCATTTAGGAAGAAGAGCTCCTTTTCGGTGACACCAGTAACGTCTCGCCTCGCATAGATGGTGTGAGCGAGGGCCTTGTGGACGTATCGGAGCACGGGGTTCCTGATGTGTGTGCTCTTGGCAGTGCTAGACATGTACTCGCCAACTCCGATCATTGCCCAGAAGGCTTGAAGCTCTGCTTGAGGCGTTCCAGGCTCTGTTTCTCGCCCATCTTTGTGTTCAAAATGAAACACATCTTCCAGCTCCTTGAAACTCATCCGGTACTTCCTCTTGTTGATTCGGAAGGAAAATTCCACTTCCGTTACCCTCGGGGACGATCTCGTCAGGCTCGTAGAAGTTAACTCGGAGAGTGGAGAGGAACTCGATGGTTTCCTTCTTGTATGCAGGCAGAGGGTTCATCATCAGCCTCGCAAGCTGCATTTCCTCGAAGAGGTAGTGGCAATCCTGAGAGATCCCAAGTTCCGCCATAGCCGTCAGGTCAGGGTATCTCGTCCCGACGAAAGACATCTGGTCGAAGATCTCGGCATAGTCCTTGCTCTTCATGACCGCTGACCCGCTTTTCCTACTGCCTGAGCCTTCCTCTGTCACCGGTTTCTTTCCTTCCGCCTTCTCCGCCGCGGCTCGAGAGAGAGTTCCTCTTGTTGTGGACACCATTGTTCCTGTGGAACAATCAAAATCTCACAAACAGAGTAAGTACTCTAGCCAAATAATGTCACTCGCAAGGCTTAGAGAAGAAACAGATCAAGCAAGTTGAGATTCGAGATAAAAATCAAAGCTTTAGACAGATCTCAACTAAAAAGGTCGATTAAAACCGGCGGTGAACTCAAATCTCGGAAAAACAGAGACATGCAAAACAGTTTTCAAAAATCCAAACTCAAAATCTCTCTTTCAACCTAAACCCGAAACAAATCTATCCTCTACTAAGCGGAAAATCAAAGCGGAATCTAGCTAAAGTCGGAGAAATTACCGGTTGAGCGCAGAAAACGGTTTGAAAGTGAAGAAGAAAGAGCGAAATAGTAGAGAGAAAGATGGAGATTTTTCTTTTCACAAATCGGGAAAAAGGAGAAGTATGAAAGAGAGAGGTTTGGCTTGTCTCGGTTTTGTAAAAGGTAAAGTAGGAGAGAGATGGGGTTGCGGAAAAATCGGAAGGGGATTTGGATTAAAACTGCTGTCAAATCACAACTTCCCCAATTGACTACTTTCTCTCTCCCACGTTCCCTTTTCTTCTCTTTTCTCTTTTCTTTTTTTTTTCTTTTCAAACCGAGACTAAAATCCGAATAAAATCCAAATAAAAACTGTTTTCTGTTGGGCCTTGTAAACAGAAATGGGCTTACCTGGCAACGATTTTTTAGAAAAACCTAAGTCTTTCAAAAATCGTTGCATCGTTCTTCTTGATCAATTTTCAAGCTTATCGTCAGGCTGACTGAACTCTTCCTTCATCTATACACCTAGCACTTATAAGAACTAAAACAAGAAAGATTAAGCAAAAATAAATATATACAAAGATAACCATGGGACTTCCTCCCAAGTGAGCTTGTTTTGAGTCCCATAGCTTGACTTTCATAACCTTTTAGGCTAAGGGGGCGTCCGGAAGAGGAGTTGAGACTCCTTCTCCTTGAATGCGTTGGCCCAAATATGGTTTGAGCTTGTGGCCGTTCACCGTGAACTCCTCGCCATTCTGGTTGAGCAAAGTGACAGCTCCATAAGGAAGGACTTCCTTAATCTCAAACGGGCCCGACCACTTGGACTTGAGCTTCCCAGGGAACAACTTAGCTCTTGAGTTGAAAAGCAGCGCATATTCTCCAACCTTGAAGACTTTAGGCAAATTTTCTTGTCGTGAAATGCCTTAGTCCGTTCTTTGTAAATCTTGGAGCTCTCATATGCGTCCAGCCTGATCTCTTCCAACTCATGTAAGTCGAAACCCCTCTTCTCTTGGGCAGACCTGATGTCGAAGTTGAGCAGTTTGATTGCCCAAAGCGCTCTGTACTCAATCTCCACCGGAAGGTGACACGATTTCCCATAAAGGAGCGAGAAAGGCGTCCTTCCTATTGGCGTCTTATAGGCGGTCCTGTAAGCCCAGAGAGCGTCGTCCAACTTAACTGCCCAGTCCTTCTTGGTCACTCCCACAATCGTCCTGAGGATCCCCTTTATCTGCTTGTTCGACACTTCCACTTGACCACTTGTCTGAGGATGGTATGGTGTCGCTACCTTATGCTTGACTCCATACTTCTTCAACAAGTTCTCGAAGACTTTGTTGATAAAGTGGCTTCCTCCATCGCTTATTACAACCCTTGGCACTCCATATCTCGGGAAGATGATGCTTTTGAACAGCTTGAGCACAACCTTGGCATCGTTCGTTGGGGAAGCGATTGCCTCGACCCACTTGGATACATAGTCAACTGCCACTAGGATGTATCTATTCCCATGAGAAGGTGGCTCAAAGGGGCCCATGAAGTCGATGCCCCATACATCAAACACTTCCACCTCAAGTATCGGGTTTTGTGGCATTTCATTGCGCTTGGAAATGCTCCCTTCTCGTTGGCATCTATCACACCTTGCAATGAAGTCGTGAGTGTCTTTGAAAAGGCTTGGCCACCAGAATCCGGCTTGAAGAACCTTTGGAAGCTGTTTTGAAAGTCGCAAAGTGACCTCCGTAGCTCGATCCGTGACAATGCTCGAGTATTCCTTCTACTTCCTCCTGAGCTATGCACCTCCTAAACAGACCATAAACACCATCTGGCACTTCTCCACACACCAAGTAGTTGGCGTAATCTGCATACCAAGGCGCTTCCTTTTCCTCAACTGCCTTCAACTGCTCTAACCGAACTGCCAAACCTACGCTTTTCCCAGACTTTCCACCAAGAGTAACTGTTCCTCAGGCAGAGTATCGTCGATAGGTGCTGGTCCATTGACCCTCATCCTTGAGAGATGATCCGCAACTCCGTTCTCAACCCCTTTCTTATCCAAAATCTTCGAGATCGAATTCCTGGAGAAGAAGTATCCATCTCAGGAGCCTTGGCTTGGTGTCCTTCTTTGCCAACAGATGTCTAAGGCTGCATGATCAGTGTAGACTATCACCTTTGAACCCACGAGATAACTTCTGAACTTCTCGAACGCAAAGACTACTGCCAAGAGCTCTTTCTCAGTTGTTGCGTATCGTCCATGGGTTCTGCTTGCGTAATATATCACGTGGAGCTTTCTTGTCTATCCTCTGGCCAAGCACAGCTCCCACGGCGTAGTCACTAGCATCACACATGATCTCGAAAGGGTAGTCCCAGTTTGGTGCTTGCACAATCGGGGCCGTGACCAAGGCAGTCTTGATCATCTCAAATGCCTTAAGGCACTCCTCGTCAAACAGGAACTCAGTCTCCTTGCACAAGAGGCGTGTCAAAGGACGAGCTATTTTGGAGAAGTCCTTGATAAATCTCCGATAGAAACCAGCGTGCCCAAGGAAACTTCTCACGTCCTTGACTGTCTTTGGTGGAGCAAGCTGACTCATCACCTCAATCTTTGCTTGATCAACCTCTATCCCCTTTTCTGATATCTTGTGTCCCAAGACGATCCCTTCCCTGACCATAAAGTGACACTTCTCCCAATTGAGCACTAGGTTCGTCTCCTCGCAGCGCTTGAGAACCCTGCACAAGTTGGACAAACAAGACACAAAAGAACTGCCATAGACAGAGAAGTCATCCATAAACACCTCAACAGTGTCCTCAATCAAGTCCGAAAAGATCGACGTCATGCACCTTTGGAAAGTCGCCGGAGCGTTACACAATCCAAAGGGCATACGTTTATAGGCAAAAGTTCCATAGGGACATGTGAAGGTGTTTTCTCTTGGTCATTAGGGTGGATGGGGATTTGAAAGAATCCCGAATAGCCATCAAGGAAGCAATAGAAAGGATGGTTCGCCAACCGCTCAAGCATCTGATCGATGAAAGGCAGTGGAAAATGATCCTTCCTAGTCGCCGCATTGAGCTTTCGGTAATCTATGCACATTCGGTGACCGGTTATGGTTCTGGTTGGGATCATTTCGTCTTTTTCGTTCTTGACTACTGTGATTCCACCTTTCTTGGGCACACAGTGTACCGGCGAGACCCAAGTACTATCCGAGATAGGGTAGATCACGCCGGCGTCAAGCAACTTAAGGATTTCCTTTTTCACCACCTCTTTGAGGTTGGGATTTAAGCGTCTTTGGTGTTCAATAGATCCTTAGATTCGTTATCAAGGTGAATGCGATGAGTACAAAGCTCAGGAGATATGCCTTTGATGTCCTCTAAAGAGTAACCAATTGCTCTCCTGAACTTCCTCAACTCATTAAGGAGGGAGGTTAATTGGGGTGGGGTAAGTTCTTGGTTCACAATTACGGGATAAGTTGAATTTGGTCCAAGAAATGCGTACCTTAGCCCATCTGGTAAGGTCTTGAGGTCCACCTTTGGGGCTTTGAGCTCGCTCCAGTCATCGTCTGAAGGTTGCTCGAGGTCGTGCTCTGCCTCTACCTTGTGGATTTCCTCAACTCTCACGGAGCGTCCTATGATTTCCTCAACCACGTCATTGGGAACAGTCCCTCTGTGGGAGTCTAAGAGTCGAGCATACTCCAAGGATTCGGTGTTGAAGTAGCTCTTTTCCTCCGCTTTCTCAGTCAAGGCAGCTGAAGCTGGTCCTCTGTGGCTAACTCCTCTAGATACTCGTCTGCCAACTGATCCAAAGTCTCTACCCAGAAGAGCTGTCCATCAATGGTTGGTTTCTTCATCGATCTCTTGATGTCGAAGCTGAGCTTGAAGTCATCTCCAAAGTTTAGCTCAATCTTCCCTCTCTGAACATCGATGATAGCTCCAGCGGTTGCCAAAAAGGGCCTTCCCAAGATCAGCGGATCCTTGGGTTCTTCATCCATCTCAAGGATAACAAAGTCAGTGGGTATCTCCACGTTTCCTACTCGCACAGGCAAGTCCTCGAGCATACCCACTGGGATGCGTACTGATCTATCCGCAAGTACCAAGGAAACGTCGCACTTTTGATACTTCTCGAACCCAAGCCTCTTAGCTACTGTGAGTGGCATCACAGATACGCCTGCTCCAAGATCACATAAGCTTCGGTTGAATGCCAGAGGACCAATAGAACAAGGAAGAGTGAAACTGCCTGGATCCTCAAACTTCTTCCCAACCACTTTCCTAGTGATGATTGCGCTACATTCCTGAGAAAGAACGACCATACCCTGAACCTCTTTTCTTCTCTCGGTTACAGCGTCCTTGAGAAATTTCTGATAGGGAGGGATGAGCATACATGCGTCCAAGAAGGGCATTGTAATATCAATCTCCTTTATTTGCTTATCAAACAGAGCTCTGCTTTCTCAAGCTGTTGTTTCTTGAATCGAACAGGAAAGGGAAGTTGCGGTTTGTAAGGAGGAGGAACGAAAGCTGGGGCTTTCTTCTTCTTTTGCACTTCCTCTGGTGCTTTCTCTTTCTCTTGAACTGGTGGTTCCTCTTCAGTCACAGGTGCTGGCTTCAGTTTCAACTGAAATCTCCTCCTCTTGTTCCTCAATGTCCTCATTGACTGGTGCGGGTCCTGTTCTTGGAGGTAAAGCGCGTCCACTTCTCAATGTAATTGCTTGTACGTATTCCTTGGGATTCTGCTCTGCTTTACCCGGAAGTTGACCTTGCGTTCTGGATGAGGAAGCTGTTCCGCCTTTGTGTTCAAGCTGATGGATTCTGCTTGTGAGAGCTTCAATCTTAGTCTGAAGGTCGTGGTGCGAGAAGTCGATTCTCCCATTGATCTCAGATAGTCGCTTGTTGAGATCCACGTTTCCGGTAGACTGTCCTGAAGTAGTTGCTGAAGCATCTGCTTGACTCCAGGTTCTTGCGGACCTTGCTTAGCCTCGAATCCAGGTGGAACAGAGGTGTTTTTCTGATAGCCTCCTTGGAAATTTTTGTTGTACCCATCACGTGGTTTAGTTGGGTACATCTTTCCTTGACCAGACGTGTTGGCTTGAGGAGGATAGACTTGGTCCTGGGGATTCTCTACATTCGTGCTTCGATAGGACATATTGGGGTTGTTCTTGTAGTAACCCTGGCTATGAATGTAGTTGACGTCCTCAGTGTAAACTCCTCCTCTTGATCGTCATCACGTTCCTCCAGCATGTGTACCGACTGTTTTTGCTGGACTATAAGCAGTTTGTCAAGCTTGTCGTTCAGCACCTTCAGTTCCTTCTTGTGCTTTTCCTCTGCTTCGACGGATCCTCTGTTTGTGCGGTCATGTCTTCGCCGTATGTACCATTGCTCATTGCCATGTTTTCCACCAAAACAGACCGTCGTCAACGTCTCTGGCCAAGAAGTTGCCTTGGCTTGCTGTGTCAAGCATCTGCCTAAACCGAGGCAGTACACCACGGTATAGAGTGCTTAAGAGTGACTCTTGAGAGAAACCGTGGTGTGGGCACTTCGACTGATATCCTTTGAAGCGTTCCCAGGCGTCTGTGAAACTCTCGCCGTGCTTTTGTGCGAAGCTTGAGATGTTGGTTCTGAAGCTTGCAGTTCTGACTGAGGAGAAGAACTTAGCCAAGAAGGCTTTCTTGCACTGATCCCAGCTTGTGATGGACCCTCGAGGTATCGTCTTTTCCCATTGGCGAGCTTTGCCATCAAGTGAGAATGGGAATAAACGAAGTTTGGTTGCGTCTTCGCTTACCCCATTCTGTGTGATCAAATCACATGCTCTGTCAAACTCGTCAAGATGGTCCAACGGGTCTTCCTCAGGTAGACCGTGATAGATCTTTTGTTGGACTTGATGCAGAATGTGCGGTTTGATTTCGAAGTTGTTGTGCACATTCGGCGGGGCTATGCCTTGACGGTTTTCGTGAGTGTTAGGTGCATCGCCGGCACCTATTTGACGGTGAGGTCGCAGAGGTGGATTGTTTCGCTGACCACCTTGTTGTTCCGGTCCGGGTGGGAATCCTTCCTGTTGGGGTTGGGCTGCCATGTCCGGAACCTCTTGTCTTCTGGTTCGCGAAGTAACTCTGCGTGACCGTTTGTTTTGCTCTGCTTTGTCAAGATCGCTTGTACTTAGGAGGTTGTCTCGTCCTTTGGATCTGGTGTGCATACACCTGAGGTCAAAGATGAGAGGTTTCACAGAAAGTTAGCGACTTTAGGCAAGATAGAGCAAAACCGACTTAATCTAAGGTTTTTCTTGAAAACGAAATGCTTAAAAGTCTCCACTTTGGCAACGGCGCCAAGTTGATAAGTAGGATTTTTGTATCAACTAATCTCAATCCATACCACTCATGTCATTGTAGTACTTGAGATGTCAATCCAAGTGGAGATTCAAACTATCGAAATAAAGAAAAGGCAAAGATCAAGTTTTGATAAAAGATTGGGTTTTGTTTTGTAAAGATCTATGCTTTAAGCTAACAAGATGAAATAAAGATTTAAACTTTAACAATAAAAGATAAAGGAGGCGTCTTGGGTGAGATTAGTTGGGATCAAACGAGCTCAACCTTCCTTTCTCAACACACCAAGACTCAAGCTTTGTGCTTAGACTTTGGGTAAATCTGCCACTCTCGTGGTCAGATCGCTTTGCAAGCTGAGAATCCAAAGCTAGCTCTCACTAGTGGACTCAAAGTTACAAGCTTTCACAAGATCTAGTCTAAAAGTGCACAAGATACATCCCAACAACCAATCTCTTAGGTTGGGAATGTTTCTCTCTATCGCTAGCTCTCTTAGGCATTAACGCAAACACCTTCTAGGTGTACTAGCCTAGATTCGCGACTTCAAGTGATCAAGAAGAAGCCGAGATATAAAGCTCTAGCTAAAGAAAAGCTGGTCAAGGGAGATTAAGGAAGAGGTTAACAGGAAGCTAAAGCTCTGACCTTTCCTAATCTCACCCTCGAAACCTCTAAAGAACTACTCGCTACTCATACTCGAACCGAAAGCAAAGAGGTAAAGAAAGCTAGAAATCATCATTAAGACAAGATTAGCAAACTAAGTACTTCTTAAACTTAAAAGATTCAAAGTAAAAGCTTACAAAAGATCTCCAAGAACAAACTGTTTTTCTTGGAGAGAAACTGGTTACAAGATAAAGATTGCCTAAAAAATTAGGTCTTAAAGGTTTATATAGAGAAGGGAAAAGTGTATCCTTTGGTCAACGTTTTTGCTTTGACTTCACAGATGCGCGCAGCTTGAGCAACTTCCTCAAGCACTCTGTTTCCTTTTGCTCAAGGCTCTGTTCCGTCTTGCTTGTTTTGCCATCCGATTACTCCGATCTCCTTCTGGTCCATCTCCGATCATCACCTCCGGTCCCTCCTTCGCCATAAGCTCCGAATACCTGATAAATGCACCCCAAATGCAATGGAAATGCAAAATGCTATCCTAAAGGCTAAATGATCCTAAGTAGACTAAAGCTACACTAAATGTTATGAAATGGGACTCAATTATACACAGAACTATGCAGTATGAGAGGCTAAATGTATGCAAATGTTGAGTACATCAGTCAGCTCTTGATCCAATCCGTTTCTGCACCTCTGCACTTGCTTCTCATCCACTCCTGAAGCTTATACTCTCTCTCAGTAGTTGGTGTTGCAGCCTGATTCGTCCAAGTCAGTTTCGTCTCCATTGAGCATCTCAATGTCTCCGTCTGATTGGTTTGGACAATTCTTGTCTCTCATGAGCAGCTGGGTGTCTCTCCCTGACAGGACTAGGTCTTCTTGGAGCTTATCCACGCTCTCTCTCTTCCTTAGCAGTTGGTGTCGTTGCCCAATTGGTTTAGGCTTGCTTCGTCTTCATTCAGTAGCTGGATGTTGCTACATGATTGGCCTGTACGATTTTGGCTCCATTGAGTAGCTGAGTGTCTCCTCCATACTTGGTTTAGGTCATCCTTATCTTCTCCAAGTAGCTGGTGTCACCACTTGATTGGCTTAGAACAAGATTGCTCCAAATGTACGTTTCCTCGTCCAGAGGGTTTCGTACGTTTCCCTGTCCGAGGGTTTCGTCCCCGTCGTGCTTGAGAATTAAAATCTCCTATTTTAATCCTTCTCTCATTTCCATGTTTCTGAGCTTCCACATAGTTGCTTGGAAATGTGCGGAATACCTCCATCCCGAACATTTACGTTTCTTGCAGTCGTTGCGGGATAGATCTTGGGCGTTCGTCCCATCTCTCAATCTGCTCGTCCGATTTGCATTCTGCTTCGACCAAACTTCTTCAGAATGGTCTCTTATGTCGTCCAAACTCTTCTCTTCTTGATTTGGAGAACTTTGATATTTCGTCGTCCTGTCGACTCTTCCCATGTTCGCACAATGATCGTCCCACCTGGACAATCTTGCTGTATCTTCACTTCTGCTCGATCGTTCTTGATCCTGTCTTGATCCAAGTCTTCGTTGTGATCTCTGGATTAGATCCCACGTCTTTTTCTTCCAATCCCAGAGTGTTGATCTTCCCATCCCGGCCTTTGGGATGTTTTAGGTCTTGATACGGGGTATCACATTCTCCCCCCCCTTAATAGAATTCGTCCCCGAATTCCAGTTGTAGAGAGTAGGAACGTTCCATTGTTCCGGTGTCTCTCCCCATCTTTGAAGATGACCTTGCCTCCTCTTACTATGTCTTCACGTTGTCCCCTTGCAGACTCCTCTTACTCTGTCTTCACGTTGTCCCCTTGCAGACTCCTCTTCCACTGATCTCCTCTGATCCTCCTTGCTCAAATCTCCATTCCCATAACCATCCATCCCGGCTTTAACTATGGGTTATCTAATGTCAAAACCGTACCTTAACCAACACTTCTTGTTGATCCCGGTCTGACCACTCTAGCGAGGTTCTCCTAACTTCGCTAACCACCTAACCTCTTACTCAAGGATCTTCCGTCCTAGCTTTATTTCCCTCTTGGAAACAGCATTCACGGAATTTCCTTCTATTAACACATCGCTTCCCTTTAAGGGTTCCACTCGATGTGCTAATACCCAAAACTACTTTACCAGAACCAACTTGGTTCCAAGGATATCCGCTCTAGTTTCATTTCCCCTGGAAATAGAAACATCGGAATCTCCTTTCACCACATCGTTTCCCAAAACATGGGTTTCCTAAACGATGTCTCTACCAAACTCAACTTAAACCACCAAACAATCCTACTTACTATACCAAGCAAGCAAGAAAATAAACCATTCAAAGATTGAGTTAGAACCCGAAAAATACCTTTTCTCGGCATGTGGTTTAGGGTTCCTAGACTCTATCTTACATTCTACGGCTTCCACTCCCTGGTCGCCTCTCTCTCCTTGTGGTTGAGCGGGTGGGTTGACTAGTACTGGGGCAGTTCCTTGGACAGTCTGCTGAGAAATGGCCTTTCTCTCCACAAATAAGGCAAATGTTCTGCCTTTCATTCATCCTTGANTAGACAAAAGGGATATTTCCTATTCTTAGAGAAAAATAAGGAAAGGAAATATTCCTTTGGAGATTTGGAGTAATCACCAAGACACAACCTTGTAGGGTTTGGCGGTTCGTCTATTGAGGATAAATAGAGGACTGATAAGTAGGATTTTTGTATCAACTACTCTCAATCCATACCACTCATGTCATTGTAGTACTTGAGATGTCAATCCAAGTGGAGATTAAACTTATCGAAATAAAGAAAAGGCAAAGATCAAGTTTGATAAAAGATTGGGTTTTGTTTTGTAAAGATCTATGCTTTAAGCTAACAAGATGAAATAAAGATTTAAACTTTGACAATAAAAGATAAAGGAGGCGTCTTGGGTGAGACTTAGTTGGGATCAAACGAGCTCAACCATCCTTTCTCAACACACCAAGACTCAAGCTTTGTGCTTAGACTTTGGGTAAATCCGCCACTCTCGTGGTCAGATCGCTTTGCAAGCTGAGAATCCAAAGCTAGCTCTCACTAGTGGACTCAAAGTTACAAGCTTTCACAAGATCTAGTCTAAAAGTGCACAAGATACATCCCAACAACCAATCTCTTAGGTTGGGAATGTTTCTCTCTATCGCTAGCTCTCTTAGGCATTAACGCAAACACCTTCTAGGTGTACTAGCCTAGATTCGCGACTTCAAGTGATCAAGAAGAAGCCGAGATATAAAGCTCTAGCTAAAGAAAAGCTGGTCAAGGGAGATTAAGGAAGAGGTTAACAGGAAGCTAAAGCTCTGACCTTTCCTAATCTCACCCTCGAAACCTCTAAAGAACTACTCGCTACTCATACTCGAACCGAAAGCAAAGAGGTAAAGAAAGCTAGAAATCATCATTAAGACAAGATTAGCAAACTAAGTACTTCTTAAACTTAAAAGATTCAAAGTAAAAGCTTACAAAAGATCTCCAAGAACAAACTGTTTTTCTTGGAGAGAAACTGGTTACAAGATAAAGATTGCCTAAAATTAGGTCTTAAAGGTTTATATAGAGAAGGGAAAAGTGTATCCTTTGGTCAACGTTTTTGCTTTGACTTCACAGATGCGCGCAGCTTGAGCAACTTCCTCAAGCACTCTGTTTCCTTTTGCTCAAGGCTCTGTTCCGTCTTGCTTGTTTTGCCATCCGATTACTCCGATCTCCTTCTGGTCCATCTCCGATCATCACCTCCGGTCCCTCCTTCGCCATAAGCTCCGAAACCTGATAAATGCACCCCAAATGCAATGGAAATGCAAAATGCTATCCTAAAGGCTAAATGATCCTAAGTAGACTAAAGCTACTAAATGTTATGAAATGGGACTCAATTATATACAGAACTATGCAGTATGAGAGGCTAAATGTATGCAAATGTTGAGTACATCAACACCCCCACACTTAGTCTTTGCTTGCCCTCAAGCAAACATCAACCAAGCATAAGAGTGTTCTCTGAGCAATAGAGTCAAGTGAAAGCCGAGAAGAGGAATTGAATCAACAACCTAGTTCCAAGGTCTAAAGCGCAAAAGATGTTCTCTACTTCAAAAATCTTAGCCGCACCTTCATAATTACAATCAATGACAACCAGCTCAACCTAAACATGCATTCAAATCCTCTACTCCTTTTAACATTCATTAAAGCTCAAAACAGTGAATCAAAACACATGCAAGTCAAGTTAACTCGTTTGGCCAGTGGAAAGAGAGAGAGCAAATCACAATGCAAGCTCATGTCAAATGACTAAAGGAAGGGTTCTCTCAAGAAGAAGTGAAACAGCTTCGGCATAATGCTAAAGGCGAGAACCAATTGGGAGGTACAAGGACAAATGATCATCTACCCGAAACCCCAAGTACCCTTTTGGTGACTCTCAAATCCGAAACTTCCTATTTCTACCCTTTCCCTTTGGGTTTTCCTTTTCTTAGAGCTTTTTGAAACTTTTAGCGAATTTTTCTAAGGCTTTTTGAAAGATAAACTCGAGAGACTTGGTCTAAACTCTTGCCCTAACCCATCTTTTCCTTTTGAAACTCTTTTTTCTCTTTTTTTTTTTTTTTTTTTTTTATTTTCTGATGGGGGCTTTCTTAAACTCACAGACCAAGCTCTTAATCTACCTCAGCTTAAAACGCTTCTTTTCTTTTTGCTCACAAGCTCTTTCTTTCTTTTTCTTTTTGAACTCACCCCAAGACATTCCCAAACCCAGTCCTAACCTAGTCTGGCCCAAAAAGCGTGGACCAGAATCTACATGATCACCTATCCTTGTCGGCTCAAGACCTAACACTTTATGCCAAGCTTTTTCAAAGGCCTCACAACACACAAGAACAACATTTGGTTTGAAAGGAAGGGTTGGTTAAGGGCAGGGAGTTCTACTTGAATCAACAAAGAAGGATGAACAATAATGCAAAGATGATTCAAGTATGTATAATCCACGAGTTGAACTTAACAAGCATGAGTATGATAATTGATGTTCAGGTTCAGGTTTCACTTAGACAAGGAGCAGATTCAAATCGCAGCAATGCATTCGGTTTTACTAAGACAGTCATGATGCTTTTTGATGATGCGGTTTACCTTAACTTCAAGAACTATCAAAAGCGCCAAACAACTTAGAACTAGGGCACTGAAGCAATTCCGCAACTCAATCAATCAGCTCAACAAACATTGCTCAGATGCAAATGAAATGATCTTAACTACATGCTCTGTTTTTGGTTTTTTTTTTTAGCAATGCAAAAATGAAAATTTTACATGATTTTCTAAAGATGTAAATGCATGAGACTCAAGGTTATGCAAAATATAAAATAAGAACATAAAGCACTTCGTCAAATACCATTGACCCTCTCCCCCACACTTAGTTCACACGGTCCCTTGTGTGATAAGAAGGCGGAAGAGAGAATCAAAGCAAAAGATAAGTGAAAATAAGAAAAAAAAAATGCATGATATTTACATGGTTGGGGTTCATACCTCTCAGAAAGAATCTGAGGAGGAGGATGATGTGGAATCACCCTTTGTGCTCGCTTGAGGTGACTTCGAGGCCTTCCTCTTCCTGGTTGAGGTCTCTGCCGTTTGGAATTTGGAGGAGCCTTCATCACCTTCTTCGGAGTCCTCGACTACGTCGTCGTCATGATAGGAACCGAGGTGTATCGGAGGAGTGTTGTCGGAGTCGTGGCTGGGAGACTTGCTCTTGCCCTTGGTCAGCTGCTTGATGCGCTTCCCCATCTTCTTCACGGTCTTGAGGAGGGACTTGATCGCTTTGTCCTGGAACTGGTTCCAGGCTTTTAGCGTGTTGATGCTCTCAAGTGCGGTGTTAGCCGCTGACTTCCTCCCTTTGATCTCGTGGTTCTTGAAGTGGAACTCTCCGGTTTTGTAGTCCATGAGGTTCTCCACGTCGCCTGAGCTCTCACCTTCGCCAGCTGCTCCAGGGTGAGCGTAGTCTTCCTCCTCTTGGCCTTGCTCGAGAATGGTCTCGATAGGAGGCTCAAAGTCTATGTTCTCCTGACCGTGATGTAGGTCAAGGGTGGTTCGGAGGAAGAAACTCGCCAGCCCGGTATTCAAACTGCCTATAGGCGAACTGATAGTTGTGGCGTCCGCTGATGGGTTTACCGCGAGGTAGGTGCTCTTGCGGAGATACTGGATGTTTATCGCCTGAGGATCGACCGGCTTCTCAAGCGTGATTCCCAGTTCATGAGGATCGGCGTTATGAGTCCTCCACAGCTCAGCTGACCACTGCTTGCCTTGTGCACTTTGTTGAGAGAGAGAGCATACTCCCTGTAGCTGAGGAAGCTCTTGAGAAGATACGTCGCCACGCTGTTCCCTGATTGTCCCCGACCATCTCAGTCCATCCGGCAACGTGTGAATCACCTTCTTCATCCCTTCATTTAGGAAGAAGAGCTCCTTTTCGGTGACACCAGTAACGTCTCGCCTCGCATAGATGGTGTGAGCGAGGGCCTTGTGGACGTATCGGAGCACGGGGTTCCTGATGTGTGTGCTCTTGGCAGTGCTAGCATGTACTCGCCAACTCCGATCATTGCCCAGAAGGCTTGAAGCTCTGCCTTGTGGCGTTCCAGGCTCTGTTTCTCGCCCATCTTTGTGTTCAAAATGAAACACATCCTCCAGCTCCTTGAAACTCATCCGGTACTTCCTCTTGTTGATTCGGAAGGAGAACCTTCCACTTCCATGACCCTCAGGCACGATCTCGTCAGGCTCGTAGAAGTTAACTCGGAGAGTGGAGAGGAACTCGATGGTTTCCTTCTGGTATGCAGGCAGAGGGTTCATCATCAGCCTCGTAAGCTGCATTTCTCGAAGAGGTAGTGGCAATCCTGAGAGATCCCAGTTCCGCCATAGCCGTCAGGTCAGGGTATCTCGTCCCGACGAAAGACATCTGGTCGAAGATCTCGGCGTAGTCCTTGCTCTTCATGACCCGGATCCGCTTTTCCTACTGCCTGAGCCTTCCTCTGTCACCGGTTTCTTTCCTTCCGCCTTCTCCGCCGCGGCTCTCGAGAGAGTTCCTCTTGTTGTGGACACCATTGTTCCTGTGGAACAAACAAAAACTCACAAACAGAGTAAGTTCTCTAGCCAAATAATGTCACTCGCAAGGCTTAGAGAAGAAACAGATCAAGCAAGTTGAGATTCGAGATAAAAATCAAAGCTTTAGACAGATCTCAACTAAAAAGGTCGATTAAAACCGGCGGTGAACTCAAATCTCGGAAAAACAGAGACATGCAAAACAGTTTTCAAAAATCCAAACTCAAAATCTCTCTTTCAACCTTAACCCGAAACAAATCCGACCTCTACTAAGCGAAAATCAAAACCAAATCTAGCCAAAGTCGGAGAAATTACCGGTTGAGCGCAGAAAACGGTTTGAAAGTGAAGAAGAAAGAGCGAAATAGTAGAGAGAAAGATGGAGATTTTTCTTTTCACAAATCGGGAAAAAGGAGAAGTATGAAAGAGAGAGGTTTGGCTCGGTTTTGTAAAAGGTAAAGTAAGAGAGAGATGGGGTTGCGGAAAAATCGGGAAGGATTTGGATTAAAACCGCTGTCAAATCACAACTTCCCCAATTGACTACTTTCTCTCTCCCACGTTCCTTTTTCTCTTTCTTTTCTTTTTTTTTTTCTTTCTTTTCAAACCGAGACAAAATTCCGGATAAAACTCGATCAAAAACTGTTTTCATTTGGGCCTTATAAACAGGGACGGGCTTACCTGGCAACGATTTTTGAGAAAGGCCTAAGTCTTTTCAAAAATCGTTGCATCGTTCTTCTTGATCAGTTTGCTCAAGCTTATCGTCAGGCTGACCGAACACTTCCTTCATCTATACACCTGAGCACTTATAAAAGCTAAAACAAGAAAGATTAAGCAAAAATAAATATATACAAAGATAACCATGGGACTTCCTCCCAAGTGAGCTTGTTTTGAGTCCCATAGCTTGACTTTCATAACCTTTTAGGCTAAGGGAGCGTCCGGAAGAGGAGTTGAGACTCCTTCTCCTTGAATGCGTTGGCCCAAATACGGTTTGAGCTTGTGGCCATTCACCGTGAACTCCTCGCCATTGTTGTTAAGCAAAGTGACAGCTCCATAAGGAAGGACGTCCTTAATCTCAAACGGGCCCGACCACTTGGACTTGAGCTTCCCAGGGAACAACTTAGCTCTCGAGTTGAAAAGCAGCGCATATTCTCCAACCTTGAAGACCTTAGGCACAATTTTCTTGTCGTGAAATGCCTTAGTCCGTTCTTTGTAAATCTTGGAGCTCTCATATGCGTCCAGCCTGATCTCTTCCAACTCATGTAAGTCGAAACCCCTCTTCTCTTGGGCAGACCTGATGTCGAAGTTGAGCAGTTTGATTGCCCAGAGTGCTCTGTACTCAATCTCCACCGGAAGGTGACACGATTTCCCGTAAAGGAGCGAGAAAGGTGTCCTTCCTATTGGCGTCTTATAGGCGGTCCTGTAAGCCCAGAGAGCGTCGTCCAACTTAACTGCCCAGTCCTTCTTGGTGACTCCCACAATCGTCCTGAGGATCCCCTTTATCTGCTTGTTCGACACTTCCACTTGACCACTTGTCTGAGGATGGTATGGTGTCGCTACCTTATGCTTGACTCCATACTTCTTCAGCAAGTTCTCGAAGACTTTGTTGATAAAGTGGCTTCCTCCATCGCTTATTACAACCCTTGGCACTCCATATCTCGGGAAGATGATGCTTTTGAATAGCTTGAGCACAACCTTGGCATCGTTCGTTGGGGAAGCGATTGCCTCGACCCACTTGGACACATAGTCAACCGCCACAGGATGTATCTATTCCCGTGAGAAGGTGGCTCGAAAGGGCCCATGAAGTCGATGCCCCATACATCAAACACTTCCACCTCAAGTATCGGGTTTTGTGGCATTTCATTGCGCTTGGAAATGCTCCCTTCTCGTTGGCATCTATCACACCTTGCAATGAAGTCGTGAGTGTCTTTGAAAAGGCTTGGCCACCAGAATCCGGCTTGAAGAACCTTTGGAAGCTGTTTTGAAAGTCGCAAAGTGACCTCCGTAGCTCGATCCGTGACAATGCTCGAGTATTCCTCTACTTCCTCCTGAGCTATGCACCTCCTAAACAGACCATCCGATCCTCTCTTGAACAGGTATGGTTCGTCCCAAAAGAAGTGTGAGATGTCCCTGAAGAACTTCTTCTTCTGGTAAGGAGATAGATCGGCCGGGACCTCTCCACACACCAAGTAGTTGGCGTAATCTGCATACCAAGGCGCTTCCTTTTCCTCAACTGCCTTCAACTGCTCTAACCGAACTGCCAAACCTACGCTTTTCCCAGACTTTCCACCAAGAGTAACTGTTCCTCAGGCAGAGTATCGTCGATAGGTGCTGGTTCCATTGACTCTCATCCTTGAGAGATGATCCGCAACTCCGTTCTCAACCCCTTTCTTATCCAAAATCTCGAGATCGAATTCCTGGAGAAGAAGTATCCATCTCAGGAGCCTTGGCTTGGTGTCCTTCTTTGCCAACAGATGTCTTAAGGCCGCATGATCAGTGTAGACTATCACCTTTGAACCCACGAGATAACTTCTGAACTTCTCGAACGCAAAGACTACTGCCAAGAGCTCTTTCTCAGTTGTTGCGTATCGTCCTTGGGCATCGTCCATGGTTCTGCTTGCGTAATATATCACGTGGAGCTTTTTGTCTATCCTCTGGCCAAGCACAGCTCCCACGGCGTAGTCACTAGCGTCACACATGATCTCGAAAGGGTAGTCCCAGTTTGGTGCTTGCACAATCGGGGCCGTGACCAAGGCAGTCTTGATCATCTCAAATGCCTTAAGGCACTCCTCGTCAAACAGGAACTCAGTCTCCTTGCACAAGAGGCGTGTCAAAGGACGAGCTATTTTGGAGAAGTCCTTGATAAATCTCCGATAGAAACCGCGTGCCCAAGGAAACTTCTCACGTCCTTGACTGTCTTTGGTGGAGCAAGCTGACTCATCACCTCAATCTTTGCTTGATCAACCTCTATCCCCTTTTCTGATATCTTGTGTCCCAAGACGATCCCTTCCCTGACCATAAAGTGACACTTCTCCCAATTGAGCACTAGGTTCGTCTCCTCGCAGCGCTTGAGAACCCTGCACAAGTTGGACAAACAAGACACAAAGGAACTGCCATAGACAGAAAGTCATCCATAAACACTTCAACAGTGTCCTCAATCAAATCCGAAAAGATGACGTCATGCACCTTTGGAAAGTCGCCGGAGCGTTACACAATCCAAAGGGCATACGTTTATAGGCAAAAGTTCCATAGGGACATGTGAAGGTGTTTTCTCTTGGTCATTAGGGTGGATGGGGATTTGAAAGAATCCCGAATAGCCATCAAGGAAGCAATAGAAAGGATGGTTTGCCAACCGCTCAAGCATCTGATCGATGAAAGGCAGTGGAAAATGATCCTTCCTAGTCGCCGCATTGAGCTTTCGGTAATCTATGCACATTCGGTGACCGGTTATGGTTCTGGTTGGGATCATTTCGTCTTTTTCGTTCTTGACTACTGTGATTCCACCTTTCTTGGGCACACAGTGTACCGGCGAGACCCAAGTACTATCCGAGATAGGGTAGATCACGCCGGCGTCAAGCAACTTAAGGATTTCCTTTTTCACCACCTCTTTGAGGTTGGGATTTAAGCGTCTTTGGTGTTCAATAGATCCCTTAGATTCGTTATCAAGGTGAATGCGATGAGTACAAAGCTCAGGAGATATGCCTTTGATGTCCTCTAAAGAGTAACCAATTGCTCTCCTGAACTTCCTCAACTCATTAAGGAGGGAGGTTAATTGGGGTGGGGTAAGTTCTTGGTTCACAATTACGGGATAAGTTGAATTTGGTCCAAGAAATGCGTACCTTAGCCCATCTGGTAAGGTCTTGAGGTCCACCTTTGGGGCTTTGAGCTCGCTCCAGTCATCGTCTGAAGGTTGCTCGAGGTCGTGCTCTGCCTCTACCTTGTGGATTTCCTCAACTCTCACGGAGCGTCCTATGATTTCCTCAACCACGTCATTGGGAACAGTCCCTCTGTGGGAGTCTAAGAGTCGAGCATACTCCAAGGATTCGGTGTTGAAGTAGCTCTTTTCCTCCGCTTTCTCAGTCAAGGTTAGCTGAAGCTGGTCCTCTGTGGCTAACTCCTCTAGATACTCGTCTGCCAACTGATCCAAAGTCTCTACCCAGAAGAGCTGTCCATCAATGGTTGGTTTCTTCATCGACCTCTTGATGTCGAAGCTGAGCTTGAAGTCATCTCCAAAGTTTAGCTCAATCTTCCCTCTCTGAACATCGATGATAGCTCCAGCGGTTGCCAAAAAGGGCCTTCCCAAGATCAGCGGATCCTTGGGTTCTTCGTCCATCTCAAGGATAACAAAGTCAGTGGGTATCTCCACGTTTCCTACTCGCACAGGCAAGTCCTCGAGCATACCCACTGGGATGCGTACTGATCTATCCGCAAGTACCAAGGAAACGTCGCACTTTTGATACTTCTCGAACCCAAGCCTTTTAGCTACGTGAGTGGCATTACAGATACGCCTGCTCCAAGATCACACAAGCTTCGGTTGAATGCCAGAGGACCAATAGAACAAGGAAGAGTGAAACTGCCCGGATCTTCAAACTTCTTCCCAACCACTTTCCTAGTGATGATTGCACTACATTCCTGAGAAAGAACGACCATGCCCTGAACCTCTTTTCTTCTCTCGGTTACAGCGTCCTTGAGAAATTTCTGATAGGGAGGGATGAGCATACATGCGTCCAAGAAGGGCATTGTAATATCAATCTCCTTTATTTGCTTATCAAACAGGGCTCTAGCTTTCTCAAGCTGTTGTTTCTTGAATCGAACAGGAAAGGGAAGTTGCGGTTTGTAAGGAGGAGGAACGAAAGCTGGGGCTTTCTTCTTCTTTTGCACTTCCTCTGGTGCTTTCTCTTTCTCTTGAACTGGTGGTTCCTCTTCAGTCACAGGTGCCGTGGCTTCAGTTTCAACTGAAATCTCCTCCTCTTGTTCCTCAATGTCCTCATTGACTGGTGCGGGTCCTGTTCTTGGAGGTAAAGCGCGTCCACTTCTCAATGTAATTGCTTGTACGTATTCCTTGGGATTCTGCTCTGCTTTACCCGGAAGTTGACCTTGCGTTCTGGATGAGGAAGCTGTTCCGCCTTTGTGTTCAAGCTGATGGATTCTACTTGTGAGAGCTTCAATCTTAGTCTGAAGGTCGTGGTGCGAGAAGTCATTCTCCCATTGATCTCAGATAGTCGCTTGTTGAGATCCACGTTTCCGGTAGACTGTCCCTGAAGTAGTTGCTGAAGCATCTGCTTGACTCCAGGTTCTGTGGACCTTGCTTAGCTTCGAATCCAGGTGGAACAGAGGTGTTTTTCTGATAGCCTCCTTGGTAATTTTTGTTGTACCCATCACGTGGTTTAGTTGGGTACATCTTTCCTTGACCAGACGTGTTGGCTTGAGGAGGATAGACTTGGTCCTGGGGGTTCTCTACATTCGTGCTTCGATAGGACATATTGGGGTTGTTCTTGTAGTAACCCTGGCTATGAATGTAGTTGACGTCCTCAGTGTAAACTCCTCCTCTTGATCGTCATCACGTTCCTCCAGCATGTGTACCGACTGTTTTTGCTGGACTATAAGCAGTTTGTCAAGCTTGTCGTTCAGCACTTTCAGTTCCTTCTTGTGCTTTTCCTCTGCTTCGACGGATCCTCTGTTTGTGCGGTCATGATCTTCGCCGTATGTACCATTGCTCATTGCCATGTTTTCCACCAAAAACAGACCGTCGTCGACGTCTCTGGCCAAGAAGTTGCCTTGGCTTGCTGTGTCAAGCATCTGCCTGAAGCGAGGCAGTACACCACGGTATAGAGTGCTTAAGAGTGACTCTTGAGAGAAACCGTGGTGTGGGCACTTCGACTGATATCCTTTGAAGCGTTCCCAGGCGTCTGTGAAACTCTCGCCGTGCTTTTGTGCGAAGCTTGAGATGTTGGTTCTGAAGCTTGCAGTTCTGACTGAGGAGAAGAACTTAGCCAAGAAGGCTTTCTTGCACTGATCCCAGCTTGTTATGGACCCTCGAGGTATCGTCTTTTCCCATTGGCGAGCTTTGCCATCAAGTGAGAATGGGAATAAACGAAGTTTGGTTGCGTCTTCGCTTACCCCATTCTGTGTGATCAAATCACATGCTCTGTCAAACTCGTCAAGATGGTCCAACGGGTCTTCCTCAGGTAGACCGTGATAGATCTTTTGTTGGACTTGATGCAGAATGTGCGGTTTGATTTCGAAGTTGTTGTGCACATTCGGTGGGGCTATGCCTTGAGTCTGGTCTGGTATTATAGAGGCGAACTTTGGGTCTGGTATTATAAGACTTGCAAGATCGGATTATATCGGTGATCTTTGTCCACAAGATCCTTTATATGCGCCATTCAAGGAAAGCGTTCTTCCATTTGCTCCTAATACAAAGCTGATAACAATTTATCACAACTGCAGCCGAGACTTTTCACATAATGTTTCTACTTATGTTGGAAACCTTACTTGTGAGAATGATAGTGATGACGGAAGAAGCTACTATGTGACAAGAAATATCTCTTCCTCTCTACTTAACTATGTAGAGTATGTGATCAGAGACTCTTTAAACGAGTTCGGGTTATCTTGCAGAAACGTCAGTATTCCTGCATCTGGGCCTTCGCTGAAAAGATTGCAGAACGATCCGACTCGAGAGAATCTGCAGAAGGCTCTTGCTTATGGCTTCGAGCTTCGAGTTAACCAAGAATGCCTGACGTGCACAGATTCTGGTGGTGCTTGTGGATATAATCAGAGCTCAAGTAGATTCACCTGCTATTACATAGAAGAGACACAAAACCGTCCTAGAAAGAAAAAGGGTAATATTTCTCTCCTAATGTTCTTCCACAAGAACCACCATTTATCCATTCCCCACATCTTTCTATCCAATGACCTTTTCGGGGTTTCAACTATTTTTTGCTTCCAGCAAGATTCAAAGTTCTGTATTCAGTTCGAACAAAACTTTTTTTCTGATGCAATTCCATTGATGCAGCAGGTCTCTCTACTGGAGTATTCGCAGGTCCTCACTCTTTTCCTGTTTCTTTTGCAACACCAGATATGATTACCATATAGGCAAAAACCATAGTCCTATTATGAACATTTTGTATTTTGTTGTCTTCTCTAGGCATTGTGGCTACTTCTGGAGCACTAGTGGCCATACTTATAGCCGGAGCTTGGTTCTGTATCATCATCTGGAGAAGAAGTACTTCAGATTATCCGAGACAACAGAATCTCAAGGCCCTTATTCCCCTAAAACACTATAGCTACATACAAGTCAAGAGAATGACAAACTCATTTGCTGAAGTGGTTGGCAAAGGCGGATTTGGAACAGTCTATAGAGGAACCCTATGTGATGGCCGTACTGTTGCGGTGAAGATCTTGAAAGACTCAAAGGGTACTAATGGTGAAGACTTCATCAACGAAGTTGCAAGCATCAGCAAAACCTCTCATGTCAACATTGTTGACCTCCTTGGGTTCTGCTCTCAAGGTTCCAAGAGAGCAATCATTTACGAATTTTTGGAAAATGGATCTCTTGATCAGTTCATCTCAAGCGATATCTCAATGAACATGGATAGGAAGGTCTTGTATGAGATCGCGCTAGGCGTTGCTAGAGGTCTAGAGTACTTGCACTATGGCTGCAAAACGAGGATCGTGCACTTCGATATCAAACCTCAAAATGTGTTGTTGGATACTAATCTTTGTCCCAAAGTTTCTGACTTTGGCCTCGCTAAGCTCTGCGAGAGGAAAGGAAGCATGATGTCACTACTAGACACAAGAGGAACGATTGGTTACATTGCACCCGAAGTTTTTTCAAGAATGTATCGCAGGGTTTCCCACAAATCAGATGTGTATAGCTATGGAATGTTGGTTCTTGAGATGATCGGAGCAAGGAACAAAGAAAGAGCTGATCAAACCTCTGCATCTAACGCAAGCTCAATGTACTTCCCTGAATGGATATACAAGGATCTTGAGAAGAGAGACAATGAAAGGCCTACAGAGAATGGAATCAGCAGCGAAGACGAGGAGGTAACAATGAAGATGACACTAGTAGGTTTGTGGTGTATTCAAACTTCCCCATCAGATCGCCCAACGATGAACAGAGTTGTAGAGATGATGGAAGGAAGTGTTGATGCTCTTGAAGCCCCTCCTCGGCCTGTTTTCCAAATTCCAGCAGCGCCTTTTCAAGACTCTTCTATTTTTCCAGTCTCAGACGATATATCAGGTTATACAGAAGTATGTTCCTCGAAGGAAGCCTCCTTGGAACCTATGAATGTATAATTTTCATTGTGCTTGAAGTCTCTGCTAGTAGACGGACCCAAAACCTCATCAAGAAAATAAGTGTGTAATTTAGATATATCGAAGCATATTTCATCTTTTCAAGAATTAATCTCTCCATTCTCTGGAAACAGTAGGAGTAAAGTAGTTTACAGTTATTAATTATGTGTGGCATTGCTAAATCTTTAATGCGTGTTCTTGTTCAAACACCCATATTGTTTCTAAACAATTAACTTCATCTGCAAATAGACTCGAACTTTTGATCTGTTAGTGAAAGTGAGAACTCAAGTCTTTGAGTTCCATAAATCTTCTTTTTCTTTTGGTCAACTTTAAAGGATGAAGACAAACGTATTTAGTATGGTATGAGTTTACCCTCAAGTCCCTCTCACTCCCATTGAAGACTTAATTCCATAATTTACTAAAGCAATAACTAAAGTCTGTTTCCTAGAAAATGCTATAAAATGGTTTTTTCTTATCTTTTTGAATTACTAGATGTTCTGGGCTAAAACCTGTACATCCTAAGACTCTGAACCACAACATGTAATATTAGCTCCTTTCCAAATAATACTCGATTATGTGACCTCTAAACTTTGTCTAGAATACTTTTTCCAGTTCCATCAGCTATGAATTTTACCACTTGGTAAATGCTATGAATTTTACCCGCCGAAGATAAGTAATTTAATATCAACAAATTGGTTTTACAAAGGGTTTTATTTTTTAAATGAATGGCAAAGATGATTTATCCTAACTTCTTTTATTCATATCCAAGGAAAAAAAGGAACAGCTTCTCTATCACAATTGCGTTTATTTGGGGGTTAACTAATAAAGACACTTGATTAAAAGACTCCAATTCTCTCTGTATCTTTCACTTTCCTTCACGAACTCTATCGTTTCCACTTGCTCCTCATTGATCTCTCTCTCATTTTGTTTCCTGTTCATAGATATCAAACAAATCATGTACTATCTTCCCACTTCTTGTCTGGTCTTTTTCTTCCTCTTTTCCTTATTTCATCATCTTACTTGTGCTTCAAGTAACACCACCTCTGGTTTCACCTCATGGGGAGAAAATCGTAACAAGTCTTGCGATCACCCATTGCTGGAGTTTCACTGCAACAAAAACATCACCTCTTTATCCATCTCAAATCAAGATTTCAGTGTTATACAAATAAATCAAACATCTAACCAGAGCCGTCCCTGGGAGCAAGCAGAGTAAGCTCCTACTTGCGGCCCTTCTTTTTATATACAATAATTCGGCCCATATTTCCAAAGATTTCTCTTAGTCTAGTGGTTACCTTGCTGTCTTATTAGTTTTGAGGTTCTGAGTTCGAATCTCCTACGTTTTGCTCCTCTAACTTCACCAACACAACCTTGCCTCCAGAAACATTCGAGCTTCCCGCAACCTACATCTAACCAGAGCCGTTTCTTCTCGTCCCGTTCCCGAAATATAACTAAAGATAGACAAAATTCCCGTATAGTCCCATCCCGTTCTTTCCCCGTCCCATTCCATCCTGTCCGCGCTATCGAGTCCCATCGTATCCTGTTATATTTATTTTTCCGGTTTTGTTTTGTCTCTGTCCGGTCCCTAAATATAATTAAGGGTAGGTGAAATTACTGTCTCGTCCCTTATTGTCCCATTATGTCCCTTTCATCCCATCTCATTCTGTTTTTTCATCTCGTCATGTCTAATTTGTCTGTCTCGTCTCAGCCATTCTTATCCCATTTCTCTTGTTATGTTTTTTTCGTCTCATCTTGTCCAGTCTCGTCTCATTTCATCCCAAAATAGTTAAAAAAATCAGTGTTCTTTTTATAACATCTTGACATCAATGTAAATTATATAGCTAACAGAATTAAATTTACTAAATAATAGTTTTTCTAGATTTATACATAGGGCCTGACTGGTTTAACCGCTGCGGTAGCGGTTGCGGGTGCGGGAGTTTGCGGAAGCGGGCGGTTGTGATTAGTAGCGTTATTAAGCAGTTTGTACGACTCGTATAACAATTGAAAATAGATGCGTTTGCGGGATACTTATGACTGATTCACATGCGGATGCAGTAACGGTTAAACAATAAATTAATAATATAAACACATTATATAATTATAAAAATATCAAACTATATTATAATGAAAATTTTAAATTTATGGTTCACATAATTAAAAATAATTTTTTTATAAATAATATGTGTATAATACTTACGTCTATCTTTTAATTTCTATAATTTAAATAAAAATGTGATTTTATTTTCAAAATATATATTTAATGTGAAAATTAAATTTATATTACAATTTTATTTATTAGATATATATGTATTAGTATGAAAAGAATATTTATCAAGAGAATTTTGATTTGTAGAACTTATAAATATATAAGTATTATATGATTTTAATGAATATTGACTAAAAGTACTAATTTTTTATTTATATTGTGATTTTATTATCCAAATCTTATTTTTTAATAAAATTATTATTATTTATTTTCGGATTTTATATAATGTTTTTTTTTTTTTTTTTAATTATCCACCCGCAACCGCAAACCTGCTCTGAAGGAGCTTTTGATTTTGAGGGATGTTGAGGGATCTTGAGCTGTTTAAAGCGGCAGAAAACGTTTGTGGTGATTGTTGTTAAACGCTAATAACCGCTGCTACTCGCAAATGCACCGTTTGCGGGCAGGAGCGGGTGAACTAATCAACACCTAGTTTTTCTCTTTTTTAAAAGTGACTTTTCATATTCTTTTTTAAACTTATTATAGTAATGAATGTTAATTATTATGAAATTAAAATATTAAAAAAAAAATATAATAAATTAAAGAAAGTGTTGATGTGGCAAAATGGAGAATTTTGAAGAGTGGAACATGAACTTTTTATATATATAGATTATTACTAAAGTAGTGGTTCTACTACCTTTTTCTTTTAACCCTTACTTTAACATATTGTAAAAAAACGCGATACCAAGATCGTAATACTTTAAAATCGTAGTACTTTAGTCACTCTTCACTAATAGAATTTTTCTTCTTCCACATCATTCTGTTTCAGTTGTGAATGGTCTTTGCTTTTTTCCGCACTTCATTTTTTCTGCAATATCTTTTGTTAGAGAAGAAATTAGCACATTTCCCTGAGCCCGTCATCATTAGTAAAGTCACAAAGCCCAATCCGATTTTAGGCCTAACATCTTCAAGAAAAAGGCAAGACTTGAAGAGAAAGGCACAATCCATGGAGAAATGTAAATAAATCTTCATGCCGACTTAAAGAATGGAGAAAGATCCAAAAACAAGAGGGAAGTTTTCCATATCGCAAAAGAGGAAGTTTTCCATCTCGCCTGAAGGAGAATATTCATCATTCGGCCGACTTATCAACGCTATATATTGAAGACCCCCCATTGGAGAAAGGGATCCGAAATCATCTAGAATCACTAGGCTTTCACAGCTTTTACTCTATCCTCTTGTTCATCATCATAATCTCGCTAGGCTTGTTAGCGAGATTGCTCTCTTGTAACTTCTTGATAATCTAAGAGTCGAATTAAGCGTTCCAGTTTCCTAAACTCACATCTTGATAGCCCGTCTTGACGAGTGCTATCTCGGATTCAACAATTGGCGCCCACCGTGGGGCTGGAAACGCTTCTCGCTATTCATCTCGAAGATATCTAGATTTTCACGAACTAGCAACGATGGCGAACTCGAAAGAGAACACTCCCACCGGGAGCCCGTCTCCCTCAGAAGAAAACTTAAGCGACAGTCTACCACGCACGATAGACAAGTCGCTACCCGCTGAAGGCAGGGACAAGCCTGCCCCTACAAGAAACCATCTTCTCGCCACAGAGATCCGTCTCGCCGCGAAGATCGACTTCGCCGCAACGATCCCCTCCGCCAAGAAAGGACGAGAGCCCTCCTCCGTCCGCACCACGCCGCTCGAGAAAATCTTCCTCGAGCGACAAACCCCGCAGCTCGAAGAAATCCTCCTCGAGCGAGAAGATCCTCAAACTCATGGAGAATCTCGTCAAGCCACTCGCCGACGGTTTCGAGTCAATGCGAGCACAGCAGAAAAAGACTCAGGAACAGGTGGAAGCCCTAGCACGAGAAGACGATGAAGAATCCGTCAAGTCCCACCGACGGAACAACCCCCGTCCCGCGCACTTCAGGCGACTTACCACCCAAGAACTCGAACGGGTGAATCGTCGCCTCGACGAGGTCGATTCGAAAGTTCATCGCGCCACCAGCTCAGCTCCGGAATTGACGAAAGCACTCGCCGACACCCGAAGAAGCCCGCTCACCCGCAGGCTCCGCCAGATTGAACTTCACGAAAGAGTTTGATCGCGGGATCAGGTCTTCCCCTTTCCTATCCCTGATTCTGCAAGTGCACAGGTCAGAAGTAGTAAACGGGTATCGAACACAAGGACCAGATTGCACACTACAACTATGAGTTTGAGAACAAGCTAGGGCAAAAGTATAAGTTGGTTGAGTGCAGAGAAAGTAAAGCATGCAAGTAATAAAAGTGAGAATTCAATAGGAGAGAAAGGCTAAGCAATAGGATAGTCTTGAGATAAGCAATTCAAGAAGCATGAAATCAATCAATTAGGGTTACCGCACTTAGGTGCTAATCTAGAACTTGAAACACTATGGTATGATCATTCCACTGTCGAGGCTCCGACCCCTTTGTTAATCTACCTAGTCGCTAAACTTTTGGTATGTCCCTAGGTGATTAAATCAAGCATTAGTTCGATCAAGATCAATTGTTCACAACCTACAAGTAGATCAACTGTCGCAGTCTAAAAGAGATTGCCCACCAAATACTAGTTCAGGCGAATGATACAGCACTGTCGAGGCTCAAATCAACCTAAAGGCATATGCTAATTGGCCAGATTAACAACAAGCATTAAGTATAAGCAAAGATGGAGATTATAAGTAAAACCCTAATTGTGATCAATCATCAAGCATACATGAATGCTATCCTTTGACTTCCTATCACTTAACAAGTAAACTACTCAGACATAGAGAAGGAAACGAATTCATATTCATAAGAACAGAGATTCGAATCCTCTCTAGAAAGAGTAACAAGCAAGAACAAAGTAAAAGCAAGCAAAACTTTATTAAGATGTAAAATAGATTGTGGTCTCTCTCCTTCTTGAGTTACAAGGCTAAAAAGAAGTATTTATAATGCTCTAAGTATGAAAGGCGGCTAAACCTAATCTAGCTAGGTCGGCGCCGGCTTTGGGCTTGAATTGTGCGGATTGGGCTTCAAAAACGGCTTCGGGTCGACCGCGGCGTTCGGACGGTCGGTCGGGACGGTCGGCCGGACAGTCGGGTCTTTGGCCGAGTCGGAACGGTCGTGGCCGGATGATTTCACGGTCGGCCGGCTGGTCGGCGGATGAATTTGGCCGATGGTTTCTCGGCCGGACGTGGGACGATCTTCCCGGCTCGGACGGATGCATCGGCCGTGGTACGCGAACGGGTTGCGCGGCCGCGAGGCTTTTTCCCGGCTCGCGCGCTGGTCGTGCGCGGTGTGGCGTGACGTTGCTTGGCCGACCGCGGGACAATGTTTCCCGGGTCGTGATGCGTGATCGGCCGGATGGTTTGGACTTTGGCCGAGACTTCAGTCGGACGGAATACGGTTTTGGCCGAGCGCGGAACATCGTTCCTCGGCCAGCCGGTCTGCGCGTTCGGACGCTGATTCTCGATATGGCCGTCTGGAGCAGCCTTCACTCTTTTGGCTATAACTCCTTTTCTACTCATCCAAATGAAGCCATTCCAGTTGCGTTGGAAAGTTAACTCAATCAGAGCACGCAGGGAACTGGTCTTGATGAAATCCATTGAGTAGATCTTTTTCTAGCTCCATCCAAAGTTGATGCAGGGGCATTGAACTGGTTTAGAGTCCAAATCTCCTGTTTTGCTCCATAATGCACCTTTTTACCTAAAATGACTCTTTGCACTATAAATCCATAAAAACTACCTTTTAACACAAGAATCCACTAGAAAACCATTAGAAAACCATAGTAAAATAGCATAAAAAGTAGGTAAAATAGAGGTATATCAGAGTTCGATTCAAAATCGACTCTTACACCGGCGAAGAAGATCCCAAGAAGTGGCTAACTGCGTTCAACCTCGCCATGAGGAGGGAGAAATACAAATCTTACGACGAAAGAGAGGCCAACTACTGTCAAGTATTCGTCGAGCACATGGCGAAAGATGCCTTGACCTGGTTCTCTAACCTCCCTGCCGAGTCGATCGATAACTTCGACGACCTAACCAATGCTTTTCTGAAGCATTACTCCATGCACATGACCCGAATCACTCGGAACATGTTCACCACGACGCAAACCCAAGGCGAACCATTGCGCAGCTTTATGGAAAGGTTCAAACAAGCAGCTCGCGTGACACTGGCGACATGCCCGATAGCGTCCCGCTAGAAGCACTCCGCAACGGCCTCTGGTACGACTCCAAGTTTAAGGAGGATTTGTCACTAAAACCCCTGCGACTCTGGAGGACGCGTTCCACCGCTCTCGGAACTACATCTTCCTCGAGGAAGACCAGCGCTTCTACGCCGAGAAGCATGGAGATAGGAGGGCAACCTCGTCGAAACCCAGAGAGGAACCCGGAGGCACGAAAAAGATATAATCCAAAAAGATCACTCCTAACGGCGTTCGCAGCAGCCGACGAAGCCCGAGCAGGAACCGCATCACATCAAGAAACGGGCAACAGATGTCGCGACGCCCGATCTCGACGACTCTGACACGTTTTGCCGCCTCCACGGAACCGGTGACCACTCTACAAGAAACTGCCGACGCCTAACTCGCGATCTCCTTCGGAGATACCAGCACGGGGAGCTACCACCGATAAAAGGGGACCGCTCTCGTCACAGACGAAAGCCGGCACAACCCGTAATCCCGGAAAACACGCCGGATGACATGACGAACTACTCCGACGAATCAGGGCAAGAGATTAACATGATAATGAGCAACCCCATCCATCGCGATTCCATCTCGACGATCACGGAGCATGAATACGCAGCGGTGGAGCACGATCGCAACCCGACCCGCGAAGAAATCCCCACTATCATCTTCACGGATCAAGATACGGCGGGGCTGGATACCCCTCACGTCGACCCACTCGTGGTCAGCTTGCACATCAGTGACTCCAGCGTAGCAAGAATCCTGATCGATACCGGGAGCACGGTGAATCTAATCTACAAAGAGACCCTCAACCGCATGGAAATCAGCAGAGACCAGATCAAGCGTTCGTTGTACTCCCTCACCGGGTTCACCTCCGAACACGTCGCCAGTGAAGGCACGATCCGCCTACCTATCCACGTCGGCGGAACAACCAAAGCCGCCAAATTCTTCGTCATCGATAAACCAGCCATTTACAACGCCATTTTAGGCACCCCATGGCTCCACGAGATGAAGGCCGTCGTCTCGACCTTTCACCAATGTGTGAAATTCCCGACGCAATCAGGAATTTACACACTGAGAGGGAATCAAGGGGCGCAAGGTCATGCTTCCTCTATGAGCGACGGCTCCGCCTAGCAGCAACATGCACCGCAAACGAGGAAATGGATCCACGCCTTCCATACCACCAGAGACCAAAGCCGGCCCTCGTCGACGAGGTGAATATCGACGAATCGCGTCCGGAAAGGTGCGTTGGCATCGGTGGCGACCTCGACGAAAAGATAAGAGAGCAACTGGTCATATTGCTCAAACAGAACGTGCACCTTTTCGCATGGTCAATGGCAGATATGAAAGGGATCGACCCGGCAATCACATCCCACGAGCTAAACGTGGACTCTACCTACAAACCCATGAGACAGAAAAGACGCAAGCTCGGCGCCGATAAAGCTCAAGCAGTCAATGAAGAAGTGGAAAAAGCTTAGAGCCGGATCGATCACTGAAGTAAAATACCCCGAATGGCTAGCAAATCCAGTCGTCGTCAAAAAGAAGAACGGAAAGTGGAGAGTCTGCGTCGATTTCACAGACCTGAATAAAGCATGCCCAAAGGATAGCTTCCCTTTACCGCATATCGATCGCCTCGTCGAGGCCACGGCAGGGAATGAATTACTATCCTTCATGGACGCCTTTTCAGGATATAATCAGATCTTCATGCATCCCGATGATCGCGAGAAGACGGCATTCATTACCGATCGTGGCACCTATTGCTATAAAGTGATGCCCTTCGGCCTGAAGAACGCCGGCGCCACTTATCAACGATTAGTGAACAAAATGTTCGCGGACCAGCTCGGTAGAAGCATGGAAGTCTATATCGACGACATGCTAGTCAAATCTGCCAAGGCGCACGATCACGTCAAGCACCTCACGAATGTTTCCGAATCTTGGAGAAGTACGGGATGAAGCTGAACCCCGCAAAATGCACATTCGCCGTACCTCAGGAGAATTCCTCGGGTATGTTGTGACCCAACGCGGGATAGAGGCAAACCCGAAGCAGATCTCGGCGATCCTCGACCTCCCATCGCCGACATCCTCCAAAGAAATCTCACCGGACGTATCGCCGCATTGAACAGATTCATCTCGCGCTCAACCGACAAGTGTCTCCCCTTCTACCAATTGCTTCGATCAAACAAGAAGTTCGAGTGGGACAAAAATGCGAAGACGCTTTCAAACAATTGAAAGAGTATCTCACTACCCCACCAATTCTCGCAAAACCCGAAGAAGGCGAGACCCTACTCTTATATATCGCAATATCAAGCACGGCGGTAAGCGGAGTCCTCGTCCGAGAAGATCGAGGAGAGCAGCAGCCAGTCTTCTACGTCAGCAAAACCCTCAATGATGCCGAGACGCGATACCCAACCCTAGAAAACTGGCACTCGCAGTAGTCATATCGGCACGAAAACTCAGGCCATATTTTCAATCACACTCCATCGTCGTCTTTACCAGCCAACCACTACGCCAAATCCTTCACGGCCCCAACCAATCCGGAAGAATGGCAAGATGGGCAATCGAACTATCGGAATACGATATTGAGTTCAAAAGCCGGACGAGCGCCAAGTCACAAGTTCTAGCCGACTTCATCGTAGAAATCCCACCTGAGCTCGCAACTCAAGAGGACGAGCAAATCCTCAAATGGACACTGCATGTCGACGGATCGTCCTCCAGGCAAGGAGCAGGCGTCGGCATCCGCCTCGTCTCCCCGACAGGCGAGATTCTCGAACAATCGCTCAAACTCGGTTTCCCAGCGTCCAACAACGAAGCCGAATACGAAGCGATTATTGCCGGACTTCGTCTCGCCGAAGCAGTCGGAGCAGAACACGTTCGTGCGTTCTGTGACTCTCAGCTCGTCGCTAAACAATTCAGCGGTGACTACGACGCAAAAGACGATCGCATGGACGCGTATCTCAAACAAACGCAAAGACTTGCCAAGCATTCAAGACGTTCGAGTTGACAAAGATCCCCCGTTCCGAGAATTCCGAAGCCGACGCACTCGCAGCCTTGGCGTCAAAAACCGAATCAGCACTGCGACGGGTCATCCCGGTCGAAACCATCGACGAACCAAGCATCAAACTCCCCAAGGGAACCGTCGTCATGGCAATCTCACAAGAAGAAGAAGAAGACGAAAACCTCACTGATGACGAGTCAGCAGAACACAAATCATGGCAGGATGAAATCAGAAATTACCTCATCAACGACGCCGTGCCAGAGGAGCGATGGGCGGCCCGCCGCCTCCGACGAAAAGCAGCTTACTACTTCTTACGCAACAACGAGCTTTTTCGCTGGAGCGCAAACAAAGTCATCCTGCGATGCTGCGACGAAGCACAAGCTAAGAGCATCATGGTCGAGACCCACGAGGGAGCATCAGGAAACCACGCCGGCGGAAGATCACTCGCTTTAAAAATAAGAAGATCGGATACTTCTGGCCAACGATGATCGGCGATTGCATAAACGTCGCCGCCAAATGCGTCCCCTGCCAAAGATACGCACCGGCGATCAACGCCCCAACGCAAGCACTTCAAGCTGCGATCCCGGCATACCCCTTTATGCGCTGGGGAATGGATATCGTCGGCCCCATGCCACGCTCACGGCAATGCGCTTACCTCTTGGTCGTCACCGACTACTTTACTAAGTGGGTAGAAGCAAAAGCATACAAAAACCCAACGGCTCATGACGTAAAAACTTTGTGTGGCAGTATATCATATGCCGTCACGGTCTTCCTTATGAGATCGTCACGGACAACGGAGGACAATTCGTCGCAGCAACTTTCCGAGAATTTTGCGCATCATGGAACATCAAGATCACTTACTCCACGCCAAGATATCCTCAAGCTAATGGACAAGCCGAGTCCACAAACAAAACTATTGTTGATGGATTGAAAAAAAGGCTTGAAGGCTACCAAGGAGCTTGGGCGGACGAATTGGATGGAGTACTCTGGTCGCATCGAACCACCCCCAGAACCGCATCCGGGGAAACCCCATTCTCTTTGTCGCACGGTTGCGAAGCGCTAGCACCGGCAGAACTGCACGTAGCCAGCTTACGACGATCGTTAATGCCCCTCAACCCGGCATTGAATGACGACTCACTCCTGCATAGTTTAGACCACGCCGAAGAGCTACGGGATCGCGCCCTCCTGCGTATGCAAAACTACCAACAACAAGCAACCAGATATTACGACAGGAAGGTGCGAAACCGGCGCTTCGAGCTCTACGACCTTGTATCAAGAAGGTCCACGACTTTACCAAACCCGAGCACGCAGGCAAATTCGGGTTCCATTGGGAAGGGCCGTTTCGCATCACCAAGATCATCAAACCCGGGGTCTACGAGCTGGACGATTGTCACGGAAACCCACTGCCTCGTTCATGGAACTCCATGAACCTACGCAAGTTCTACACCTAGACGCGTCGCACCGCATCCAAAAAAAAAAAAAAAAAAAAAAAAAAAAAATGACATGTTGATCTCGGCACGGGTACGTAGGCAGTCTTTCTCGATAAAGGCACAGCTATAAATTAATAAAAATAAATAGCTCTTTTATTTTTATGCAAGCTCTTATAGAACCTTTTCGGAAGGGTTCCCGTCTCGGCAAGGACCCAGAAAAACAACTTCTGCCTTCAGCTGGTAACTGAAGTTTCCTACCGAAGACGTCAGCAACGCAAGCACAGCACGCAAAGCATAATCCCGAAATAACGCAACACTATCGACGTTCTGGCCCAACGCTCGAATGCACTAAAGCACATGTGGACTGATCACCCACAAAAGACGAGAGCACGCACCTCGCACGACACCAGCCCCTATGAACGAGAGACAAAATCGCTACCTCGTTACACATAATGGACCATGGAATCGTTGGCATAAATCGAGCCCCTAGACCTCGTCGCCAAAACATGTGATCTACCGAATCACAGCACCTCAGACCTAATACGCATTGGTCGGTGTCTCGAATGAGAATCGTGACAGACTACGAAAGCTTCGAAGAACATCACGACGCATCCGCACCGTCAAACGAAAGCACTCGTTCGACACACTTGAGATTAACAAGCCATCTCGGCATAGGTAAGCCGTTTATCCGATGACGATCGAATAAACCAGCCTACCCCAACCGATTGAAGGCGTATTGTTTCTCATTAAAAGACATGGCCTAAAGCTGGGTTCTTTCATCGCGCTGTGAAATTATCAACTATGTCTAAGCCAATTTATTTCGCCAACAAAGCAAGCAAATAAAGCACCAAATAACATCCAAAACTAAACCCAAAGTTTAAGGATAAAAGCCCTCCCGGGTAATTGTCGCGACAAAGCAAATGGGAAACTATCAAAAGAGAAAAAAGAAAGACAATTTCGACTTCCTCTCTCCCTACTTCGATTGATGACGCGATGGGGATCCCGGAAACGCCAGCTCAGCTAGGGTAGGCCTGAAAGTTCGATATATTGACCCATATTGATCAAAATTCCGTGGAATAACCCATGCGCTGTTGATATCACCATATTTTACATGATTTTACTATATAATTACTTATGTTTTCAAACGGTTTTTGCAAGATTCTTTGCCTTTAGAGGTAGTTTTCTTGTATTTGTGGGATTTGAAGTCTTTGTAGGTGAAATAATCAAAAAGGATGCAAAAAGGAGCAAAAGAGCCTAAAACCAAGATCCATGCAAGCTTCCAAGTCAAGAAAATCATTTTATCTCCAAGTGTTAGTTCTCGCCTGCGCGCAGAACGAAGCTTCGGAAGTTTGGCCGCGCGCGGAGGAGTTTCCGACGTCCAAAAGTTGCGCTTTTGATATGGAAAGATAGATACTTGAGTCATGCATCACGTCGAAGTGGAATGAAGCCATTTGGATCAACTATGAGGCTTAGACTTATTTTCTGCCGAGACATGTCCGGTAAGCGAGTAAACGAAGCCCATGGACGATTTGGAGTGTCTAATGGCCCGAGCAGTAGCGCCAAAGGCTTTGATCGAATAGAGAAGAGGCCTGGCTAATGTTTGGAGCTTTCCTTGGTACAATGTCGGCCCATACAGGCGACCATACAATCACATGTTGGTCGGCAAATCCAAAAGATAGGACGGAGAAATCATCACGGATCATGAGATAGACGACGGAGCTCATTCTGGCCGATGGCGCGCAAGCAATATGGCCGACAAAACCAAATCACGGCATAGGCGCGCCAACCGGTTGGAAAACTCTTCCTTGAGCTTAACTAACACTTTTATGCAGGAAGAAACGAAAAGGAACGAGCCAAACTTCACATGGCCAAGGAAACTCCTTCCCGGAGCCGACTTGACCATTTTGTGAAGGAAGTCTCAATCCGCTCGTACAAATGCTCCCAAACTTCACCAGAGGCATAAAATACCAGGTTGGTCGATGAAATTTCAATATAGGTCATGAAATTTTGACGGTTTGTTCTGTAGTTCACAGCACACATTTTGGCCGACCGAAATACCAATCTCGGCCAAAACACAAACCGGCGGAAACCAAGGCCTGAAATTCAAAACTCACCGACCAATATTGCCTAAAGAAGTGTAAATGACCCAAACCAGAACTGATCTTCATTATAAATTGGTCGACATTTGGTAACATCATCCTAAACCTTTTTCTTTTCAATTTTTCATTTGAACTTCATGTTATACCTCTCTTAATCCGATTTGATTTCACCGGGACGGTGCAAGTTAAGTCTGGGGGGATTACTAACAATGTTTGTTCATTTTGGCATTTTCATTTGCATTTTTTCCCTTTTATCGAGTCGTTTTTATTGAGTCAAAATTTTTGTCGAGAATCATGACCTTATCTTGGATCTAACCATGGTTGTACTAATGTTTAAGTGACCATTGAGCAGTTCTTGGCAATACATCTTACCACAGGTGCACTATGAGTTGATCGATCTACCAAAAACGCCTACATCTCTAAAGACTTGAGAAGGATCCATCTTTGACTCCGCCCTTAATGAACTTAATCTTCTCAGCTAGGGGCTTGGCATACAAATGGCATGATTCCTCATCCTCTCCATCAAATGAAAAAGTCTTAGTGAGTTCGTGCTTCCCTCTCTCTCCCCTTCAATTTAAAGAAAAAGCGTAAGGTCCAAGTAACCGGGGATTCGGTGGCAAACACCATCAATACTCGCGTCTATGGAAGGCCTATGAATCCAAGCAACCGGGGATTCGGTGGCAAACACCATCAATACTCGCGTCTGTGGAAGATCCAAGCAAAACCTCTATAATAAAGAGAAGGAGTTGAATAAAAAAATACTTCGCTACCCTAAAAAAGGGATGAATCAACTCAAAGAAGTGAGAAGAGAGAGAGGAGAAACATGGAGTAAAAAGACAAGTGCCAAACAAGGGGATGAGAAAGTCTAAAAGCCGGCTGATCGATACTCCCTAGTTGAGACCACACCTTTAGAAATGAAAGGAGTCAAGGGTGGCGAATTGGATTGTCCAAGGAGAGGTGGACCGCTTTGGGAAAATCGCAAAACTCATGGTATGTACTTTGTTCTTAATTCAAAACTTGCCAATGCTGTTTCATGTGGATTACTAAAGCATAAGTCAATTTGGATTTCCAAAAGATTTGAGAGTTCTCACGTTTTCAAACCTCTTTTCCTGCTTAGTTTGCTTGGGGACAAGCAAAAGGCTAAGTCTGGGGGAGTTGATATCACCATATTTTACATGATTTTACTATATAATTACTATGTTTTCAAACGGTTTTTGCAAGATTCTTTGCCTTTAGAGGTAGTTTTCTTGTATTTGTGGGATTTGAAGTCTTTGTAGGTGAAATAATCAAAAAGGATGCAAAAAGGAGTAAAAGAGCCCTAAATCAAGATCCATGCAAGTTTCCAAGTCAAGAAGATCATTTTATCTCCAAGTGTTAGTTCTCGCTGCGCGCAGAACGAAGCTTCGGAAGTTTGGCCGCGCGCGGAGGAGTTCCCGACGTCCAAAAGTTACGATCTTGATATGGAAAGATAGATACTTGAGTCATGCATCACGTCGAAGTGGAATGAAGCCATTTGGATCAACTATGAGGCCTAGACTTATTTTCTACCGAGACATGTCCGGTAAGCGAGTAAACGAAGCCCATGGAGGATTTGGAGTGTCTAATGGCCCGAGCAGCAGCGCCAAAGGCCTTGATCGAATAGAGAAGAGGCCTGGCTAATGTTTGGAGCTTTCCTTGGTACAATGTCGGCCCATACACGACGTGGAGAAGAAGGCTTTGCTCGCGGGAAACTTTCCTTTTCCGGCATGAAGAAAACCCTACGCGACTTCGCCCATATATACATGTTTTTAGCCGCTGAAGAAGAGAGTCGAGAGTCGAAAATTATCAAAGAGTGTACGTGTGAGAAGAGAGAGAGAGAAGAGAAGCCCTAGGAGATCGTCCAAGAAGAAGGAGGCGCCGCTCAACTCTTGTTCTTTTTTTTCATTGTTTCCATTTCTATAAACTTGATTTTAAGAGTTTTCAAGGGAGAATCCGACTTTGTTCATCAATAGAGAAGCTTTCTTCATCCCTTTATCTCTTTTAATACTTGCATAATGTTTACAATCATGCTTTGCTTGCTTGTTTGCATCATGGCCGAGTAGATCTCTTAGTTAGGCCGAGGAGATCTATGGTGGCCGTGATGATTTGATTGTGTTGCAACTTATTGGGATTTATCTTATGGATCTTCACCTTTACTTGAGCTTAATGCATGATTACTCTACCGTACATCTAGTAATCTGATCTTAGAGAAATAGAACCACGACAGTGCTGAATCTAGATCTCAAAACTAGTATTTGGTGAGCAATAGATCATAGCCAACGAAAGCTGAGTTATGGTTTATTGTGAACAATTGAATCTTGAACCTTTAATGCATGTTTGCAATTCTAATAGCCAACGAAAGCTGAGTATATTAGGTTGTTTTAAACATAGTGGTTGGAGCCACGACAGTGGAAAGACCATACACTAGTGATTCATGTTCAAGACGGCTCTACACACATCCCATGCAACTATCTTTTCATCATTGCTCCATATGATTGTCCTTTGCCTAACTCTTGTTTTAAATTGTTTACAAACTCACTCACATTTCTTTTTTTGTTTTCTCATTCTAGGTCCAAAACCATCTCATATTGCGAGCTAGCTACAAACCAATCTCACAAGGTGTTAAGTGAGAACACTTCCTCCTCGTGTTCGACCCCGACTACAACACGGCTGTGCACTTGCAGCTCATTAGTTGGGTTTATAAATTGTGAAAATTTGAGGCAATCTAAACCCGCCATCAGCTGTCAAAGCAAAATTCAGCAAGATGAAAACGGAGATCTAACCTTAAAGGCGGAGCATAGTCATTAGCTTCAACTTCGTCATCCTCGACCAAGTCCCTGGCGGCCTTACTCTCCCACAACCGGGCCTCGAGCATCTTCTCCACCGCATCTAAAGCCTTCTCCCAAAGCAAGGCCACTTTCTTGAGAGATCCCTGTTACTAAACCACCATACAAAAGAGACCCTCTTTGTCTCTTAACCCATAAACCCTTGAAACCAAATGAGTTGATTGATCTTGCATGTTTTTGGTTCACTGTTTTTGCTTAATGAATGTTAAAGGGATTTGCTGATTTGAATGCATTGTTTGAGTGACTGTGAAGTGGGATTGATGTTGATAAGCATGGTTAAATCTTAATGAATATCTCTCACCTTGTTGCATTTTAGAATCTCTAAGTTGGACATTTAGCAAATCGCTTTTGAGGACATGTTTTTAAGTGTTGAATCAACTTGTTTTCAAACCTCATCTCTTTCTTGTTCTATTTGTTTGCTTGAGGGCAAGCAAAGTTCAAGTTTGGGGGTGTTGATGTACTTGCATTTTACATAGTTTTAGCACATCTTTTATGCATCTTTTGCATAGTTTTAGCATCCATTTGCATCATATCTTGTTCCTTTTCTCTTCTTATGCATTCATGTAGTTTTAGGTTGCATTTGCATACATATGCATGTTTGGTCCTTTGAAATAGGTCTTTTGGAGCATTCTGGAGCATATGGGACAAGGAGCATGGAGGGACTTGGCACATGGACGCAGCTCAACTGGATACGCAAAGGAAGAAGGGAGAAGCCATCTTGAAGACCAGCTCGACCGTCTACTCGACCAACCGGTCGAGTTCCTCAACTCGACCGGCCAAGCTTCAACTCGATCGAGCTGAGAAGTCAACAGTCAAACCCGAAAAATGTTGCTTCCCCCTTGACTTTCCTTTGACCCTAAACCTAATCCTCTTGTATTTAAAGGCTCTAAGCCACGAAAAAACCACCAAGCTTTAGATTATTTTGTTTTAGTTTCTTTTAATTTATTGTCTTTTACTTTTTAGAGCTCTAATCCCATCTTTGTGTTCTTGAAGCTCTTGCTTCTTGAATCCTAGATCCTGGATAATCTCTTTGTATTTGCACTTGCTTATTTCAATAAAAGTTGTTTAATTTCATCTCCTCTTTCTTATGATGTCTCTTTTATTGCATTTGCTTGTGTTTACATTCATGTGTAGTGAGTAGTTACCCATTAGGGTTTGAGATGGGATAGATTAGAGGTTTCATATGCTTAATCCTTCTAGCTTATGGTCTTAATCTAGATTCTCTCTCTTTTGGATAGATCTTAAGGCTACATGACCACTACCCCTGGCTTGTAAGTCCTTAGGCGATTCCCCACACGAAGTGATGGCATTCGCTGGAAAAGATCCACTAAGAGCTCCAATATCTCTTGCTCTAGAAATAGAGGTCTAAGGGGTTGGATGGATTAGTTTGGGCAATGATCCTATGGCCTCCAAGGTTTGATTCTCACTGGCTAACCCCCTGTTTCTGAGATCATTCCTTGGTTGATAGCCTTCACCTTGGGAAAGGGTTGGCTAGGCATTGAGAAGCCCAATATCAAGAGAAGCCTTGATACAAGGAGTTTTAAGAGCTAGATGATTAAGTGTAGATTCCTTTGATTGCAAAACCCTGTCTTGAACCCTAATTCTCTCTTATCTTGTTAAAGTCGTGCCTTTACTTTTTTTCTCAACTCGACCCTAAACTCGATCGAGCTGGTACTCTGTTCCTACTCGACTCGAGTCTTGGTCGAGCTGCTTACTGCTTTATTTACTTTTTTGCATTTGCATTTCTGTTTCATTTAGGTTGTTAGTGTTACTTCAAATCTATTACTGCTTGCTTGACTTTCTGTTGTTTCATATTCTCATAGAGTGACAAGTTTCCCATTTTGGATTGATAACCCTTTTACTACATCAACTATGATGGTTAAAGGGAATTGTTGACTGTGTTTGTGTTTGCATCTTACCACCTCATCATTACCACTGATTGCATTCCACACATCTCATTTCATATCTTTTCACATCCACACACAAATCCTATCATCAGAGTCTCCCATAAAATCCTATCATCAAAGACAACATTGACTGACTCCATAATCATCTTGGACCGAAGATTGAAGACTCTTTAAGCTGAACTATTGCCTGAATAACCCAGAAATATGCCTTCATCACTCCTTGAGTCGAACTTTCCGAGTTGATCCTTGTCATTCAGAATGAAGCACCTGCATCCAAAAACACGAAAGTAGCTTAAGTTAGGTGTCTTTCCTTTCCACAATTCATAAGGAGTTTTGAGCAAAGCCTTTCTCATGTAAACACGGTTGATGATGTAGCATGCTGATGATAGAATGGGATGTGATATGAAATGAGGTGGAATGCAAACAGGGGTGAATAAAGATGAATGGTATGGTGCAATCACAATCAATCAATTCCTCTTAACCATCATAGTCATTGAAGTATAAGAGGTTATCAATCCAAAATGGGAAACTTGTCACTCTATGAGAATATGAAACAACCGAAAGTCAAGCAAGCAGTTATAGATTTGAAGTAACACTAACAACCTAAAAAAATGAAAAGCAGTGCAATAAAAGTAAACAAAGCAGTGAAGTGTCAGCTCGACCAAGAGCTCGAGTCGAGTCAGACAAAGTACCAGCTCGATCGAGTTTAGGGACGAGTTGAGACAAACAAAGCTAAAGGTGACGACTTTAACAAGATAAAGAGAGAATTAGGGTTCAAGACAGGGTTTTGCAATCAAAGGAATCTACACTTAATCAATCTAGCTCTTAAAACTCCTTGTATCAAGGCTTCTCTTGATATTGGGCTTCTCAATGCCTAGCCAACCCTTTCCCAAGGTGGAGGCTATCAACCAAGGAATGATCTCAGAAACAGGGGGTTAGCCAGTGAGAATCAAACCTTGGAGGCTATAGGATCATTGCCCAAACTAATCCATCCAACCCCTTAGACCTCTATTGTCTAGAGCAAGAGATATTGGAGCTCTTAGTGGATCTTTTCCAGCGAATGCCATCACTTTCGTGTGGGGAGTCGCCTAAGGACTTACAAGCCAGGGGTAGTGGTCATGTAGCCTTAAGATCTATCCAAAAGAGAGAGAATCTAGATTAAGACCATAAGCTAGAAGGATTAAGCATATGAAACCTCTAATCTATCCCATCTCAAACCCAATGGGTAACTACTCACTACACATGAATGTAAACACAAGCAAATGCAATAAAAGAGACATCATAAGAAAGAGGAGATGAAATTAAACAACTTTTATTGAAATAAGCAAGTGCAAATACAAGAGAGATTATCCAGGATCTAGGATTCAAGAAGCAAGAGCTTCAAGAACACAAAGATGGGATTAGATCTCTAAAAAGTAAAAGACAATAAATTAAAAGAAACTAAAACAAAATAATCTAAAGCTTGGTGGTTTTTTCGTGGCTTAGAGCCTTTAAATACAAGAGGATTAGGTTTAGGGTCAAAGGAAAGTCAAGGGGGAAGCAACATTTTTCGGGTTTGACTTTGACTTCCAGCTCGATCGAGTTGAAGCTTGGCCGGTCGAGTTGAGGAACTCGACCGGTTGGTCGAGTGGACGGTCGAGCTGGTCTTCAAGATGGCTTCTCCCTTCTTCCTTTGCGTATCCAGTTGAGCTGCTTCCATGTGCCAAGTCCCTCCATGCTCCTTGTGTCCCATAATGCTCCAAAAGACCTATTTCAAAGGACCAAACATGCATATGTATGCAAATGCAACCTAAAACTAACATGAATGCATAAGAAGAGAAAAGGAACAAGATATGATGCAAATGGAAGCTAAAACTATGCAAAAGATGCATAAAAGATGTGCTAAAACTATGTAAAATGCAAGTACATCAACACCCCCAAACTTGAACTTTGCTTGCCCTCAAGCAAACAAATAGAACAAGAAAGAGATGAGGTTTGAAAATAGCTGATTCAACACTTAAAAACATGTCCTCAAAAGCGATTTGCTAAATGTCCAACTTAGAGATTCTAGAATGCAACAAGGTGAGAGATATTCATTAAGATTTAACCATGCTTATCAACATCAATCCCACTTCACAGTCACTCAAACAATGCATTCAAATCAGCAAATCCCTTTAACATTCATTAAGCAAAAACAGTGAACCAAAAACATGCAAGATCAATCAACTCATTTGGTTTCAAGGGTTTATGGGTTAAGAGACAAAGAGGGTCTCTTTTGTATGGTGGTTTAGTAACAGGGATCTCTCAAGAAAGTGGCTTTGCTTTGGCAGAAGGCTAAGTGTTAGAACCAAAGATGATGCAAGAACAGCAGCTCGAGCCGCCTAATCCTAACTCGATCGAGTTCAACACTTAGAGCTTTTTAGAACAAAATCCTAACTACCCTTTTTGGCATTTCGCCTTTGAAACTGAGGAGCTTTGCTCACTTTTCTTTTAAGAACTTCCTAGGGAGAGGCTTCTTGAGGTAACATCTAGCGGTTTGGGATTTTCTAAACACTTAGGGAACTTTTCTTTCCTTTTTGGACACTTGAGGCTTTGCCTTCTTTTCATTCTACTTAGAACCCTTTTTACTTTCCTTTTTTAACTTCCCAAACCTTTACTAGACCCTTTTTAACACTGCCAACTCCCTGGACTTAACCAAACTCTTTTTCCTTTGGGTTTTTCCCAACTTTTACCACTTTTCTGGTTTTTACACCCAACTCGATCGAGCTCGAGTTGGCACCCCCAAACTTAGCCTGAAAACAATCCCAAGAGAACTAGACAACTAGAACTACTGCCCCTGCCGGTTTAAACACAACACCTTATGCTAAGCAAAGCCAAGAAAGGTTCTCACATTCGCACAAGAGATAATAATGGGGTTTGAAATGAAAAGGCTTAGGTTTAAGGTGTGGTAACTGTCTCAAAGATAGAGATCAGCTATCTGGACAAGCAAAAGGGATATGAAAATGGTAAAGAATGTCCAGATATGTATGTGGTAGCCATGAGTTGAAATCAAATGCAAGCATTGGTAATTAAAGATCAAGTTATGGTTCAAATAGATAGGGAAATGCATCAAATCACAGCAATGGTTGAATGAGATGTGCATGCAGCGATATGATCAAGATAAACATGGTTCTTGCTGCTCAATCAATCTCACCCTAATGCACAAAAGAATCTAAAAACAGGGCACTCAAGAAATCGCAAAAGATGGACAAGTTTTCAAAGTCAAATCAACAATGCAAGTGAAAAATGCAATCCTAAACAAGTCTAACAAATATGAATGCAAAAAGATGAAAATATTTTTGGATTTTTTGAAAATTTTATGATTTTTTTGGTTTTTCTATGCAAAAGATAAATGAAAAACTAAGAACAAAGAAAACAAGGTTAAATCATCTCTTGAACCCTCCCCCAAACTTAAATCACACAGTCCCTTGTGTGAGAAAAATTTAGTGAAAGATTCAAGAGGGCAAAACCAAGAAAAAACAAGAACAAATGCAAGAAAATATGAAATGGTATATACAAGGGTTGGTGTTTGGATACCTCAGTGTCCCCCAAAGAACTGGGAGACTAGGTCGTGGTCTGGAGATGGGAGACGGCCATCAGGAGCACTCCATGCAACTGGGGTTGCCTCTTGCGGCTCACTCGATCGAGCTTGCGGCTCCTCTTCCTCCTCTTCTTCATCTTGAAAGTGTGTGGCTTCCTTGGCCTTGGTGGAGCATTGGTAGCTCGTACTGTCCATAGGGGTTCCATCTACTCCGGGGAGGTCCTGGTAAGGCTGGGATCGTATTCAAATCCCGGATCTCGAACTGGGGCTCCTCCAGGTCAGCTCGACCGTCAGCTCGATCGAGTTGAGTTTCCTCTGTTTGGACTCGATCGAGTCCGGTGGTCGAGCTGGAGCGTCTGGCCTTGGAAGTCTTCCTCCTTCTCTGCGTGTTGTCTTCTCCTTCCCTTGGCTCGAAAGAAGAGGCTCTGTGAGGCTCTTGGGCAGGGAGCCTCCTTGGAGTGGTGAGGAGTGACCTACTCCTAGGGAAAGTGGGAGCCTTGGACTTCTTCTTCTTGCTTGAAGAACCAGAAACCTTCTTCTCCAAACTCTTGATCTTGCTCACCATCTTGTCCATGGACTTTTGCATTTCCATGGCTTTCCCTTGCCATTTGTTGAACTTTTGGAGAAGTCCAATCCTCTTGTGGCAGCCACAACAGAGGGGTTCATCCTTGGAGCCTCATACTCCTCAAAGTAATAGCACTCAGGCTCACCCAAATCAGCGCTTCCTGCACTCATCTTCAGCTTGAGTCTCAGCTCGATCCTCAGCTCGATCGAGCTCGATCTCTTCTTTTGCAAATCGCTTCATGCCCAACTAAGTGTACACAGGGGGTCTGAAGTCAATGTTGTACCTCCTAGACCGTGGTGAGCTCAGGGTTGGGCAGAGAAGCTTGGAGGAGTCCAGCCAATGGTGGTGAACTTGAATTGGAATCTCCCATCCAACTCCTTGTGCTCAATGAGGAGGTTGGTCTTGCAAAACTTGATGTCCATCCAACCTGGTGGAGTAGACCTTCTCTTGTCCACTTGAACTCCAGCTGCACAAAGATGGTGTGATCACCCCTCCAACACTAAGCTTTCTTCCTCTTTGGTGCCTAGTGTTGTAAGCTGTGACCTTGTAGGCTTGGAGCTGCTCAAGGAGAGGCATGAGATTCCCTGCGTGTGCCCTATCTCCTCTGATCTTCTTCCCATCCTTGTGCGTGAGATGATAGGGCTTGATTCCCATGTCAAGGAGCTTCACTTCTCCCTCATTGATTGTCCAGTGGCTTTCCTTGCAAAGAAGGTGTTGGCAAGAGCCTTGTGCACATATCTAAGCACTGGGACTCCTGATCTGAGCAGCCTTGGACCTTGAGGAAGAGTACCCCTCTTCAGCGATTGTAGCCCAAACTCTTTGGAGTTCTTCTTCCTTGATGTTCCATGGTTACCTTCTCCATAGTGAACCCAAACAGTATCTCAAGCTGCCTAAAGGTCACCATCTTCTTCTCTCCCTTTGCAAGAAGTTATGTACCCCCAGCCTTGGTCCAACTCAGCTCGATCGAGCTCATCAAACTGTGATGCTCATGAGCCAAAAACTCACAAGTGAGCTCCTTGTAAGACTCCATGCGGTGAGAGAAGAACTTGGCCAATTGCATGTTCTTGAGCACCAACTCCACATCCTCAAAGATCCAAGATCCTCATGGTGTCATCATGTGGGTACTTGGTCTCCACAAAGTCCATGGAGAAGAGAGCATTGTAGTGCTCTTGGTACATGGGGAGCTCATCCTCCTCTTGCTCTTCCTCAGCCTCTTCCATGGCTCATCTTGGTTCCCCTCTTGTCATCTTCATCAACCAATTGGTTCACCTCTTCTCCTTCCTCTTCACTCTCAGTTTCCTCACTCCTTCCTCATTTGGAGAACTCCAATCTCAAACTCCCCTTGCTCACTCTCACTACTATAGGGTCATTCCTCTTCTTGGTTCTCCTTTCTTCCCTCACTCTCACTCTCAGACTGTTCCTCAGAGTAGACATATCCTCTGCATCAGATTCTTCCATCCTCTGATCATCCTCTTCCAAATCGGCTTGCATCTTAAGCCTTTCTCTCTTGCATTGCTTGATTCACCCTCAACCATTCTCCTCTGTGAAGCGCGGCTTCCCTCACTGTTTGTCATCCTTGTTACTCTGTTTCTTCACTAAAGTACCTGAAATGCATCAAAGATTACAAAGAATTAGAGTTGTAATGATCGGTTTGGTCAACTCGACACTCAGCTCGATCGAGTCAAAAAACTCGAGTGACAAACTCGATCGAGTTGGGTGAAAACAGAGTATAACCAAACCTAATTCAAGATTAAGAGCTGGAAAAGATGCTAATCAATCAAATTGAACCAAGAACAACTAGTAAATGGAACAATGAGCAATTCTAGTGAAACTAAGCATCTTAACCAAACCAAACTCAAATTCAATTTTCAAGCACATGCAACAAGTTTAAAGGCAAAACAGAGGTGAGGTGAAACAAACTAACAAGATTATACAGCAGAGGCGAAATATGAGGGCAATTACTCAAGAACAAGTCCACAAGGGACACATGCAATCAAAAATCAAAGAGAAACAAGCAATAGGAAATCGAGATGGAATCAAGGGTTTTAGGGTTCATACCTTGCTTGAATGATGAATTGAAGACAGTAAACTAGAACCCAAACAAAACGTGAAGAACAAGAGAAATCGCAAAAACTTAAGAGAGAAAGAGAGATTCGAAAATTTCTTGTGGTGAGAGAGAGAGATGATTTCAGAAATTTTAAGATTGTGGGAGAGAGAGAGAGTGGATTCGATCGAGTTATGGGGAAGAGGGAGTGTTTGAGATGTGTGGTTGAGATTAAAAGATGAAATAAAGAGGGAACAAGAAAGCTAGGGATTCTCTGATCAAATTAGGGTAGTGGGGGACCAAAATCAGCTTGTGGGACCCACTCCCTTGACCAAGAAAACGGTTATGAATTTGAAATTCAAAAACTTACCTCGGTCGAGTTGTGTAGCTCGATCGAGTTGCCCTGGTTTCTAGCTCGATCGAGCTATCGGTCGAGCTGGCTCCTTGACACCTAAACTTAACTTATTCAAAGGTTAAAACATAAAGATAGATAGAAATTGCATAAATAGAGTATGTACAAGGATAAACATGGGACTTCCTCCCAAGTGAGCTTGTTTAAGGTCCCATAGCTTGACCTTTACCTTCTTAGGCATTGGTTGAGCTAGTCCCACCATCAAGGGTGATAGTGAGGACTTGAGACAGAAGCTCCTTTAGCTTGGTTGGGTCCCTGGACTGTTCTGAAGTCACCAAGGCCTTGGCTCTAGAGAATGGCCTTGATCTCCCCTTGTACCTTATCTTGTACTCAATCTTCCCATTTTCAAACTTGGTGGGGAACAAAGTCATTGTGAGCTGAGATGGCTTGACTGAAGGGGCCTGAGCTGGTGGATCCTTTCTTTTATCCTGGTCTTGCCTTAGAGGCTGCATCCTCCCCTTCTTTTAGAGCCCTTCCTAGTGGCTCATCAAACAAAGCTTGAAGGCTCTCTTCATCAAGCACACAAGGGGCTTGAACAAGTCTCTCAGCTCTTGGCCTATCAGATCGTGGTTTCTCAACTCTAGCCCTCTCAAGACGTGGCTTCTCAATCCTTGGTCCTCTCTCATCCTTATCCTTCCCAACTCTTGGTTCCTTGTCAACCCTTTCCTTCACAACCTTTGTAGCTCCATGACTCTTAGAACTGAGATTGGTACTGTCAATTGTGGCACAAAAGTCTGAACCTCTAGGCTGCAAGCGATATGACACCAAACTATTCACCTTGTGAAGGATCACTTCTTGCTTGTGAAAGTCTATTGAAGCGCCAACTGTACTAAGGAAAGGGGTTCCCAATAACAGAGGCAAATCCTTCTCTTCTTCCATTTCCATCACAGTGAGATCAGTTTGGATGATGCATTCTCCAATTTTCAAGTGATAGTTCTTGAACACTCCAAGAGGAGACTTAGAAGTTGCATCTCCAAACATGATTGAAGTAGTAGGGCGCTGCAAGGCTCCAGCTATGCCTAGCTTCTCTGCCATGGAGAGAGAGATCAGATTGATGCTTGCTCCAGAATCCACTAAGGCATTGTCAATCTCAAGATGCCCAAGTGTGCAAGGGAGAGTGAATTTCCCTTGATCCTTGACCTTTGGTAGGAAGGTGGGTGAAGTAAGCAGGTTGAACTGATGAGTAGACTCTTGTAGGACCTCTGAAACTTTATCACTGTTGGCTAGAACATCCTTGACCATTTGCATTTGATCAAATGCCTCACTCATGCTATCCATAGAGGCAACTCAATTCCAATCCCACTGAGATCTCTTCTGAACTTGTGAATCACTTCCTTGTGACCTTGACTAAGTAGGCGAGACGAGGAAGCGGCAACCGGTTGATAAGGATCAAGCAAAACAGGCTGTCGGACAGAAGAGGTCGGACTCGATCGAGCTAGAGTTGGACTCGATCGAGCTGCCGATCGAGCTTGTCGTGCGAGCTCAACTGGTGAAGTGTGAATGGCCACAGTAGGTGCATGCACTTCTGGTTGATCAATCTGGACTCCAGGAGCCTCAGCAGCAACAATCTCTTCATCATTCAGCAGTAAACAAAAATCTTCAATGACCCTTTCTTGATCCTCTTCTTCAACAAGTCCTTCTTGAGTGAAGATGACCTTGCACTGTTCCTTGGGGTTCTGAATAGCTTTACCAGGTAGTTGTCCTTGCTTTGTAGCAGCAGCAACAGAAGAAGCATGATTCTCCAGAGAGTAAACCCTTGTGTTGAGGTTCTCGATCTTAGAGTTTATTTCAGCTAGCTTCTTGCTTGTGTCCACTACCCCATCAGCTTGCCCTTGAAGTAGTTGCTTTAGCATTGCTTTGAGCTCATTCTCTTGTGAAGGTGCAGGCTGGGGCGGTTGGTGGGGGAAGCCTGGTGGGATATTCATTTGTTGTCCAGGGAAAGTGCCTTGTGGTCCTTGGTAATTGTTCTTTTGACCATACCCATGTTGTGGCACCTGACTCGATCGAGCTGCTTGTTGTTGAGGATATACTTGGTCCTGAGGGTTAGCAACATCAGTGTTGCGGTATGACATGGCAGGGTTGGACTTGTAGTTATAGTATCCTTTGTTGTAACCTCCTTGCCCATTGCTCATGTAGCACACCTCAGCAAATTGTGTATCCTCCCCTTCTTGGACTGGTTCCATCTCCTCAGCAGACACAAAGTTGACTTTCTTCATTGTGGACTGAGCTAGGATCAGCTTATCCAACTTCTCATTCAATGCCTTAACATCTTTTCTCAACTTTTCGTCTGACTCGATCGAGTGGTGGGTCGAGCTCCGGTTGGTGCGATCATACTCTTCTCCATAGCTTCCATTTGAGTTAGCTATGTTCTCCACAAGTTGCCAGCCATCATCTACATCCTGGTTGAGGAAGTTCCCATTGCTAGCTGTGTCTAGCATCTCCCTATACCTAGGCAAGCATCCTCTATAAAGAGTGGAGAGTAGGATTCATTGTTGAATCCATGGTGTGGGCACTGACTTGTGTAGCCTTTGAACCTCTCCCAAGCCTCTGCGAATGTCTCATTGTTTCGCTGGATGAAGCTGGATATCTCTCCTCTAAGCTTGGCTGTGCGACCGGTGGAGAAAAACTTAGCAAGAAAGGCCTTCTTGCATTCATCCCAAGTGGTGATTGTGCCATGGGGCAAGCTCTTCTCCCATTGGTGAGCTTTGTCAGCTAGAGACATAGGAAAGAGTCTCAGCTTGATGGCATCTTCAGAGACACCATTGATCTTTGTCAAATCACAAAGCCTATCAAACTCATCAAGGTGGTCAATGGGGTCTTCACTTGGCAATCCATGGAACATCTTGTTCTGGACAAGGTTGATCATTCCCAGCTTGATCTCAAAGTTGTGGTTCTGCACTGGTGGTGGAACAATCCCTTGTCTCTGTTGGTGGCGGTTTGGAGCATCTCCTTGACCAATCGGTCGAGTTTGCCTAGCTCGACCGAGTCCATTGCCCAAAGGGTTTCCATTCCCCTCTGGTACATCCATTGTATCAGCAACAAGCACCTCAGGTTCCTCTTGTACCCTCTGTGACCTCTGAACCCTCTTTCTACCCGTTGTAATGTCTAGCTCGACCAAGTCTTCAGTTGACCGACTCGATCGAGTTCGCATACACCTGCAAAAAGAGACAAAAACCCAGCAGTACAATAGAACAGGGGTGGTATAGCTTGATCGTCCAAGTGTGTTTGAAACTCAAATGCAACAAAAATATTCCCAAATCGGCAACGGCGCCAAATTGATGATAGGATTTTGTGTGGATGTGATATGAAATGAGGTGGAATGCAAACAGGGGTGAATAAAGATGATATGGTATGGTGCAATCACAATCAATCAATTCCTCTTAACCATCATAGTCATTGAAGTATAAGAGGTTATCAATCCAAAATGGGAAACTTGTCACTCTTTGAGAATATGAAACAACCTGAAAGTCAAGCAAGCAGTTATAGATTTGAAGTAACACTAACAACCTAAAAAAATGAAAAGCAGTGCAATAAAAGTAAACAAAGCAGTGAAGTGTCAGCTCGACCAAGAGCTCGAGTCGAGTCAGAGCAAAGTACCAGCTCGATCGAGTTTAGGGACGAGTTGAGACGAACAACTTTTATTGAAATAAGCAAGTGCAAATACAAGAGAGATTATCCAGGATCTAAGATTCAAGAAGCAAGAGCTTCAAGAACACAAAGAGAGGATTAGATCTCTAAAAAGTAAAAGTACAATAAATTAAAAGAAGCTAAAACAAAAGTAATCTAAAGCTTGGTGGTTTTTTCGTGGCTAAGAGCCTTTAAATACAAAGAGGATTAGGTTTAGGGTCAAAGGAAAGTCAAGGGGGAAGCAACATTTTTCGGGTTTGACTTTGACTCCCCAGCTCGATCGAGTTGAAGCTTGGCCGGTCGAGTTGAGGAACTCGACCGGTTGGTCGAGTGGACGGTCGAGCTGGTCTTCAAGATGGCTTCTCCCTTCTTCCTTTGCGTATCCAGTTGAGCTGCTTCCATGTGCCAAGTCCCTCCATGCTCCTTGTGTCCCATATGCTCCAGAATGCTCCAAAAGACCTATTTCAAAGGACCAAACATGCATATGTATGCAAATGCAACCTAAAACTAACATGAATGCATAAGAAGAGAAAAGGAACAAGATATGATGCAAATGAAAGCTAAAACTATGCAAAAGATGCATAAAAGATGTGCTAAAACTATGTAAAATGCAAGTCCATCACATGCGGTGTTGATTGCTTCAGCCCAAAACTTCACAGGAATGTTTCCTCCATGGATCATTGCACGCGCCATCTCTTGAAGTGTTCTGTTCTTTCGCTCCACTACTCCATTCATCTGTGGTGTTCTAGGTGCCGAAAATTGGTGAGCTATGCCTTGGTCATTGCAGAACTTAGTCATGACCTCATTCTGAAATTCTCCCCCATGATCACTGCGTATGCGCTTGAGGCTTCCTTTCTCAGTGATAACTTGAAGAGCCCAAATCTTGAAACTCGCCATGGTGTCAGATTTGTCACGAATGAAGCGGACCCAAGTGTATCGCGAGTAATCATCCACTAGAACAAAGACATAGCGCTTTCCTCCAATGCTCTCCACTTGCATTGGTCCCATCAGGTCCATGTGTACTAGTCCAAAACAGTCTTGGATTGTACATCTGCCACCTTCTTGTGCTGAACCTTGATTTGCTTTCCTTGATTGCAAGGACCACATACAAGTTTCTCAGTTCCCTTCAGCTTCGGAACACCACGAACAATCTCCTTATTCACCAAGTCGGTGAGATGTCGAACATTCATGTGACCCAATCGTTTGTGCCATAGTTCAACATCATCTCGGACACTTAAGCACTTAGCAGATTGATCCCACATGTAACAGTTGTTGCCTGAGCGAACTCCACGTAGGACTGTCTTTCCGTCAGAGTCAATGGCTTTGCACTCTATCTTGTTAAACCAGACCGTTAAACCTTCATCACAAAGCTGGCTGACACTGATCAGGTTTGACTTCAGACCTTGAACGAGATAGACGTTCATAAGCTGAGGTTGCTCATCAGAGGTGCGTCCCTTGCCTTGAATCATTCCCTTGGTTCCACATCCAAAAGTGACCTTCCCTCCTTTTAGCTTCTTCACTTCCTGAAGATTTTCTTTGACTCCTGTCATGTGTCTGGAGCATCCACTATCGAAGTACCATGGTCCAGTGTTGTCGCTTCGTCGATTTCTTCAAGTAAGGCCATGTTGGAGTAGACACGCTGTCTTGAACCACCGGTTGATGTACGTCGGGCAGGATTCTGATATAGATCCGATTTTCTGATGAAGAACTGGTTTAGATGACGATTCCAATGATAGCGTCCTCGTTTCCATGCATAGTCGACTCTAGCCCAGTACTTGTTGCAGAAAGCCCTGATATGTCCTAAGGACCCACAGAAATAGCACTCCTTTCCTTGATGTTTTCCTCTTGGACTCTGAAATCCTTTCGGATTGCGAGTTGGAGAAGAATCATATCCCAGTCCCATGGTGCTCTTCCCTCGATTCCCAGTTTTGAGAATGGAATCAAGTTTCTGAGCTGGTGTCTTAGTATCTGCTTGATGGACATCCTGAGCCAACCCTCCAGAGACAAACTTGACATTCTTCCAGTTGTAACACTGCTGGCTGTGTATCCTAGACCAAGATTTGACTTCCCTACACGGCCAATGCTCAGAATCTTGTCGAGTTCCTTAGTACCAGTCAGCATCTTGAGTTGCTTTCTGTGTTGATCCAATTCAGCTTGTAGATTTCTGGAATTCTCCTTTTCCAGAAAGTACTCCTTGGTAATGTCGTCTGCTCGTTTAACTGCATCCATCTTTTCAAGCACGATGTTAAGATTATCCATGTTGAGATCCTTCTCGGCTTGAAGTGCTTTCTGAAGTTCGTCAACTCGTGCAGTAAGACGAGTGTTCTCCTTCTTGAGCTCAATGTTTTCCTTCCCAACTTCTACTAAGGCATTTCGAACTTCCTTATAGCTTTCATGGATATCAACTTCAGATTCATCATCTGTGAGTGGATCCTCTTGGTCAGACTCAGAGATCTTTGTATCTTCTATTTCAGCAATTCCAGCAAATGCGACAAAGTTACTGACTTCTTCCTCATCTTCAGACTCTCCTTCAGAATCTTCATCAGCAACGCCCATCATCGACTTCCCCATCTTCTCATCATACTCACATTCTTGTTGTGTATGACCTATTCCTTTGCACTTGTAGCAAGTAATGCTTCTCCTCTTGACAGTGGGGCAGTCGGTCTTGAAGTGTCCATATCCCTTGCATTCATGACACTGTGACTCGGTTTTACCCCCCCTCGTTCTTGTCATAGGCTTCCTTCCATTGTTGACACGAGGCTGAGTTTTTCCAGTTTCATACTTCTTCAGACTCTGTCAAAGCGACGTACCAAGAGACTGATACTGTCTTCTTCAGGCTCTTCTTCCGACTGTTTCTCCGTTGATATGAGTGCAATACCCTTAGCCTTTTTGACACCTCCTAGTTCCAGTTCGTGTAGCTGCAGTTTCCCACCATCTCGTCGTAGAGATCGTCTCAAAGATAGGTTTGCACTTAGCCCAGCCTTGTATGCTGTGAATTTGTCTGGAAGACACCGAAGAAGTTTCTTCACTAACTTAGCATCCTTGTATACCTTTCCCAGGGTACGGGACTCTTGAACGAGTGAGCTAAGTTTCGAGCTAAAGTCAGCAATTGACTCATGTTCCTCCATCCTCATATTCTCAAACTTAGTTGCCAGTAGATCCTTCCTTGAGCTTTGAACTTGACTTGTCCCTTCAAAGTGGATCTGGAGGATATCTGATAAACTAGAAATAGGTCCTTTTCTCTACTGCAAATTATCAGTGATGAAGATTGTAATATAAAGGATTCGAAATCCAGAGGACCAGCGTTACACTGTGAAACTAGGAGATTTAAAACAGAGCTAAGACAAAGATGATTGGTTTTAGTAACAGGTAACGAATGTAAACGATGATGTAATTCAATTAAACAGGGACTAGACCAAGGCAATTCGCAGAGATTCACAGTTAACAACCGAACAACTATTCAGGGCACAGATGATGAACAGGTCTCGAACTCAAACATGAAAATATGTCAATTCACTTTCGCGATAATGATAACTTTATCTAACAACCTAGATGTCTAAACTGTCGTTTGAATCTAGCAGTTGATGACAAGCAATAAACTCAGGTTCGATAAGTTCACGAATCGCCTCAGCATCAACTTTCGCAGGCTAAGGACGATTCGCTCACCACAGTTCGTTCTAACAACCTATAACACTTTTGATGAACAGGTAATCTGAGATCAGAGATCGAATGATCAGATCGATCTAAGCAGTAAGTGCAACAATGGCGAAGACAGTATTAAAGCCCTATCTGTATTCAGTCAAGTTAACACATGAATCCCTTTGAAAAGCCTAGATCTAGCAGGGTGACTACTCAGACATAACGAAACAGCAAACAATGACTGAAACTGAATTCATTGAATCAAATAGAAAAAGCAGAAAAACAAGGGTTCAGAAATCTTCTCCAAACTGTGAAAACAGAGGTTTGATCTCTTCTCCCTCGGAAACAATGAACAACAGTGTAAAACTCTGAAAAACGGCGTAGCCTAAACAATGGCTAAAGATAGGTCTAAATAGCTCCGGGGTCGACTTCGGTTCAATCCGGTTCGCTGTGGTTCGATCGAAGTCGGTTTGCACCAAGTAGATCGAACGGCTGTGATATCATCTGAGCGGGTTGATCGAACGGCTGAGATAGAACGGGATCGATCGAGCTGCTTGCTCTGCATGGGATCGATCGAGTACTCGTCGACATGGGTCGATCGAGCTCGTTCTGCATGTGTTCGATCGAGCTGGCTCTGCGTATGAGGTCGATCGACTCCTCCTGTGCACGGTCGATCGAGCCTTGCTGACTCGATCGAGCTCCTTTCGCCTGCTTTCTCCCCTGTTGGTCCATGTGACCAAAGCTCTCCCTGTACGTCTTTAGACCTGAAAAGACTCGATAAAGACTAGAAAGACTCGATAAAACTCGTGAAAACAAGTGTTAGAATGCGTCAAATACGCAAGATATCAATATCCCATGCCTCCTTTGACTTAGTACAGCCTTGAATCAGCTCAAACTGTTTCTTGGAACAGCTACCATGAATCTGTGCCAGTGCTCTAGCATTGAATTTGTATTCATCTCGCTGAGCTGTAGTCCAGCGTTCTCGAGGAACGTCTGTAGTCACTCCATCAACCGTGACTGTGGGGGGTTTCCATCCATGTTCAGTCAGGTACCAAGCAGCCTCATCAATGCATTGAATATTCGCTCTCGTCCTCGACTTCCAGTACGTATAGTTTCCATCATCAAGTATCACCTTCAGCTCTGGGTGATAGCCCTCCATTCCGCAAGATCTCACCTGCTATAGCAATACACGCAAGGTGACTGCTCTGATACCAATTGAAAAACCAGGGGCTATTGATATGGAAGAAGATCACAAATTGGCACAAGGGATTTCTCTACAAAGAAATATATTACTAGAAATTCTTTAAGTGTAACTTACAAGTATTGCTTAAACGAATTGACAACCACAATCTATCCACGATTTGATTGCTCTAGTAACACTCTGTTCTCAGATCTATCCACGATCTTCGAACCTCTCAAGCCCTAACCCTTTGTCCTAGCTCTCTTACAAGATGATCTAAACCCAAAGTCTAAAGCTCTCAATATTTGTGATAGCCGCTTACAAGCAGCCAAGGTCCTCTATTTATACTCAATAGACAAACCGCCAAACCCTACAAGGTTGTGTCTTGGTGATTACTCCAAATCTCCAAAGGAATATTTCCTTTCCTTATTTTTCTCTAAGAATAGGAAATATCCTTTTGTCTTGATAATCCAAATCTCCTCATCCAGCTCAGCTACCGCCTCTTCTGGATTCGTCCTTAACCGCTACAAGCTCGCATCCAGCTCAGCATCAATCCGTTAGCTCCGTTAAGCTCCGCTTAGCTCCGCTTAGCTCCGCTACATGTCCGTCCATACGTCCTGATGCACTTCTTCACTGATTCACGATCTGCGTCAAACCAGTTGCATCTTCACTTCACCGATAGCAACAGAGCGACTCTGGAATATGGCCAAGAAGCGGAGGGATTCGGTGATGACGATCCGCTCGGCCCTCAATCATGCACTCGAGATCAGATTCACATGCATCCATCTCAAATCTAACGTTCAAGATCTCATCGGAGCTATCTCATCGCAAGAGCAAATCAAAGAAGTCTACGGAATCCTCTTTGACATCCAAGCTCTCGCATCCATGTTCAGCTCGATTAGATTCAGCTTCATCCCTCGATTGGAAAATTCTTCGGCTGATTGCTTAGCCAAGAACCCAAAAAGTCGATTTGTGACCTCTCTCTAACCGGGGCCCACCCGTTGTAATAGCTGGACACGTTTAAATGAAATTTATGTTGTTAAAAAAAAAAGTGTCTCATTAATTTTCCTCTCTACATCTAATGAAGGGAAATTATAGTGAATAATCATATTGGCAAAGCAAATTAACAAAGTAACCATATCAAAACCATGGCTAAAATATAAGTCATATTTTCTGAAATATTGTCCATATTAGCCTTGAAACTACTCTATACTATTTGTTCTTTGTTTATATGGAATAATACGAACTAAATATTTGTGTTTTGGGGTTAGTTTATTGACTTTAGGGTTTAGATTTTAGGTTTATGATTTATATTATTGGGTTTTTATTTCAATTTTTTGGGGTTTTATTTTTGGTTTTAGGTTTACTACTTTGACTTTAGGGTTATTTTGGGGTTAGGGTTCTTTTTTCTAAATTAGGGTTTAGTTTTTCGGGTTTAGGGCTGAGTTTTTTGGGGTTAGGGTTTAGTTTTTTGAATTTAGGGTTTATTTTTTGGGTTTAGGGTTTAGAGTTTAGGTTTCAAATTTTTGGGTTTTTAGTTATGGTTTTGGGTTTAGTATTTTGAGTTTAGGGTTATTTTTGGGTTAGGGTTCTTATTCTAAATTAGGGTTTAGTTTGTTGGGTTTATGGTTTAGTTTATTGAGTTTATGTTTTAGTTTCGTGGGTTTATGGTTTAGAATTTTTTTATTTAAGGTTTACATTTATAGTTTAGGGTATAGGGTTATGGATTTTTGGTTAAAAATAGAGCTAAGTATACTAAATTTTTTTATATAGTATAAGTGTTGATTAAGGGTAATTATGGTAAAACTTAATGAATGTAGTCATGTACTATAGCCAAAGAATTGCTATGGCTATATTGTTAATATCAACTCCCAATATGAATATTCACCAAATTAACCCTCTAATGAAATCGATTCGACTTTGCAACATCCTTTTTATTAGGCCTTCATCGTCCCATGGTGTTTGTTGTTTAGAGTTTGTGCGTTTATGGTCGATGGGATTTGATAGGTGATGGATCGGTTGGTTAGTGTTCAAGTAAGATTGAGTTTGTTTCGTTTCTGTTATGAATTTCAATTTACAGCTTCTTTTTCCATTTTGCTCAAACTTGAGATCGTATGCCTCATATGCTAGAGAAAGAAAAATGCTCTCATATTAACTTTGTTATGATTTATTGGATTGAAAAAACATCTCGTGCTCCTATGTTGGATATCAATCCAAGTCCCACATTGAAATATTAGACAAATATGTGTTTAATATATAAGTAGTATCCCACTTAATTAGTATGAGGCTTTTTGGGAAGGAGCCCAATAACAAATCCGTGAGGGTTAAGACATATACCAAAGCGGACAATATCATACTAGTTGGATGGTTGGACACGGGCTTGAAAAGCCCCCTTTAATTGGTATCAGAGCCTAGATCCAAAGAAGTGGACCTGTGAACGTTGGCATTAAATGTTGGATATCAATCCAAGTCCCACATTGGAATATTAGACAAGAACTGTCTAATATATAAGTAATGTCCAACCTAACTAGTATGAAATGTTGGATATCAATCCAAGTCCCACATTAGAAGTTAGACAAAGATGTGTCTAATATATAAGTAGTGTCCCACCTAACTAGTATGAGGCCTTTTGGGAAAGAGCCCAATAACAAATCCGTGAGGGTTAAGACATATAAATCCAAAGCGGACAATATCATACTAGTTGGATGGTTGGACACGGGCTTGAAAAGCCCTTTAAATGGTATCAGAGCCATGATTCAAAGAAAGTGGACATGGAAAAATGGGTGTAGGCATTACACAAGATGTGGGAAGAAAGCCCGTAAGATGGAGGAGTCACGAGTTATGTGGTCCTTGGTTTGAAGGGGAGAATGTCTGATATCAATCCAAGTCCCACATTGGAAGTTAGACAAAGATGTGTCTAATATATAAGTAGTGTCCCACCTAACTAGTATGAGGCCTTTTGGGAAAGAGCCCAATAATAAATCCGTGAGGACTAAAATACATGAGCTCAAAGCGGACAATATCATACTAGTTAGACAGTTGGACACGGGCTTAAGAAGCCCTTTATCCTATAACTAAAAATGCACTTCTTATATCTGTTGTGGTTTCTTTTTTTTTTTTTTTAACAACTTCTCATTATAAAACTTAAAACATGGTTACATAAATAGAAAGTTGAAAGCTCTTTGCCAAAGAGAAGAAGCAGCTTGTTGCATAAGTGAAATACAAAGCAATAAGAGGATAGATTATGCAGTTTTGATCCAAGATAAAAATTGGAAGCTTCTTCAAAAGGGCTTCTAAGATGATTATTTTGAAAACATTCTCAAGTTCTTTTGCTATTAAAAGCCAGCGAACCAGAGGAATAGCTCGTGATGCCGATGCCGTAGGCTGTTGACAAAACTATTGAGCGTTGAAAGTCGGTCTCCATAGAGGAGAGAGGCGTGATTAGAGATACTCCGGTAAATTGGCAGTACTCTTCTACAACCGCAGATGATTTTCCGGCATATGTTCCCATAGATTTGACAGTAGATGAACTGGAATTGAGTTGACCGCTACACAAAGACATGAAAGTGGTGGAGCTCGAGCGGGAGATGACAGACTATTTGGAGCAAAACACGGTTGAGAAATTGTCATTGAAAGTTGTGTTGCCGCAGAAGGTAAGATGCGAGCTTAGATCCATCCCAAGAATGGGACTGCTCGGAGACGACCAGGGAAGAAGTTTCTGAGCCGGAGATGGGACTCCTTCTGGCGGATCTGTAAGGTTGAAGTTTTTGGATTTGTCGTCGAGGAGGCTACCGTAGCTCAGAATGAGGCCGGTGGTGACAGGCGGAGGTTGAAAGAGAAACCGAGGGTTGGAAGGCAGTAGAAGATAATGATAACGAGGGCTTTGGCGCGAGGTTATTGAATCCGGTGGTTCCAGAATAGAAGTTCGAACACCATAGTCCGGCGGGTCAGGCGGATCTGGAGGGTTAACGGAAGAGTTTGACGGCAGGAACAGAGGAAGCGGAGATCCATCCTTCTTCACCGGATCTGGAGGATCCAGCGGTGGAGAGCTCTCACGGAGGCGGCAGAGAAACATCGGAGCCATGGGGAAGTGAAACGTTTAGCTTTGAGAAGACGCTGTGTGAGAGCAGATCTGTTGCGAGAGAAGAAAGCTCGTCGAGAAAACAGGGCACGACGAGGGAGAAGACCAACTTCCGGCCAGCCTCTGCGGCGACCAGACGGAGCACTGGTTTCAGGGGAGCACGACGCACGGACATGCGCAGGGAAAGCACAGTCGGAGACTCATCTGTGTTGAGTTGCGTCGCGCGGCGGCTCCTCGGTAAAGGTGCCTGAGAGAAAACTAGGGCGAACTAAACGTTTTTTTTTTCGCAATGGATACTATCATCGATAACGTTGTTGTTTCTCTTTTCTGTGTAATTCTGCGTTGAAATAAATTCATATTCAATTTTCCCCCAAATCCGGTTTCAGAGTTTGACAATAAGAGCATGCTCTGACTGTAGAAAGGTATCTTTGAGTTGAGCTTTTGAGAGTGTACATTTGCCAAGGAGAAACAATAAGTAAGTCTTTGAACTCAAATTATTTTCAAATGAGAACCACTAACATTTCTTAATTTTTAAATATACATCAGGAATAAGTACGAGTTCTTTGCAGGCAATCTCTGGCTAACTGTGAGGCACAAGAAATATACATTGCAAACATTAACTGGCTATGCAAGAATAAAAGAGATTGCTCTGTCTCAAGGCCACAGACAGCTTCAAACAGTTCGATAATAGGTGAGGTGAGCTAAAATTGATGCAAAGAGGGGATGATGCCTTGGATCTCTGTCCCACTTGCTGGTTTCTCGAGAATCTAATTTATTGGCTGGAGGATTGTAAGATTACATAACCACCATGATTTTATACTTCTCTGAGATCATCGGAACGTATTTGACCCGGTTTTTCTTGGCCTTATTATTTGGTGATAAGTTATTTCAAATGCTGAGCTATCTGCTCAGTTAAGTAATAAAAACAAAGGAAATCAATTAAAGTGACACAAGAAGAGCTAGCCTATATGTCGGGTTTCATGATCCATCACTTCGCTTTTTTTCTTTTACCATATGATTATCATATTGCCTTCATGATCCATCACTCTTCAAGAAATGGTCTTCACTTAATTTGTTGGATATCAATCTAAGTCCCACATTGAAAGTTAGATAAAGATGTGTCTAATATAAAAATAGCGTCTCACCTAATTAGTATAAGACCTTTTGGGAAGGAGCCCAATAATAATAAATCTGTGAAGACTAAGATACATGAACTCAAAGCGGACAATAGCATACTAGTTAGACCGAGTTTCTGTTTGTTTCGTTTCTCTCGACTGGGTTCATTCTTATTATAAAGTGCGTGTTTTCGCTCGAGTAAGTTCATTCTTATTTGTTAAAGAAATTCTTCAAGCCTTTTCCTCTCTACCATTTTTGACATTCATTCCAAATGATTTATTTATACATATTCTAAAATTATATGAAATAAGATATCCAATAAAAAAACTGTATCAGGTCTAGTATATCAATGAATCTGTGCTAAATAAGTAATCTTTCGATAATCCAAAGCTTTGCCACTAAGATTTTTTTGTTTTTTTGTTGGTCGAAACTAAGATTTTTTAGTTGTGTTTTAACTTTTAACCATTTGTAAGTTTAAGACGTGGTCATTGATCATATATCTGTAAAAGCTTTGGATTATCGAAAGATTACTTATTTAGCACAGATTCATTGATATACTAGACCTGATATACTAGGTTCGAAGCCCCGCGCAAGCGCGGGGTTGTTTGCGAGACTTTTTCTGTTAATTTTATTTATATTCGTTAATTTGAATTATGATGTTTTGTGTTAACTTTCATGTTTTTGTTATGTTTTGAGTTAACTCAACCACTAACACTAAAAAATATGAATAATTTGTTTTTTTAATTTATTAGGATATTAACACCCCACTTTATCTCGAGTTTTCTATTTCTAAAATTTTATCATGTTATAAATATTATGTTTGTTTACTTTTTTTTTTACTTCTATTAGACTGTAAACATGTATATGTATTTGATTGAAGGTTAAAATTTATAAATATGTATATGCATTTGACTGAAGGTTAAAATTTGTAAACATATTCTTGTTTTTCACTACAATTAAATTTACATATAAAACTCCATTTCTATTTGTTTAGAAAAACAAACTCTAACTCTAATTTTTCATTAGCTTTCTATTATCTTAATTAATTTATATTCAACTTTTTAACTTGTAAACACATTATAACATTTTTAAATAGGATAATCCTTTGAATAAAAAGTAAATATATACTATTTGAAGTTAAATATTTCTTTACTCCATCTCTATTTTATATTCCAACTTTTTGATAACTTTTAACATCAAATTATCACATACTTTCTATTAATTAATTAATTTATTTGTATATTTTTATTAAATATGAATAAATGTAAAGAAATATGAATAGTCATATATTTAATAAATATTTTAAATACAATTTAATGTTTTTGTGCTGATGTGGACACTCTAGATGGAGAGAGCAACTCCCTAATTATATATAAGATATCTGTAAAATACAATTAATACAGTTTCTTTAGGGTTATTATTAGAAAATACTAGGTTAAAGCCCGCGCTACGCGCGGGTGGTGTTGTAATTTTTTTTTTTTTTTCATGTTTGTAAAACTTTATTTAAAAACAAAAAAAATAATATGATAGTTTTCAGACACAATGTTTTTTTAGTATCTCAAAATTTTCTTTTAACCATTTATGTGACCAGATGATTTCATTTCCTCTCTTTTGTGACTTTTGAATCGCAATTCCGACATCATACAAATCATATAAAGCTACAACTCAATAGAAAAGCCTTTGTAAAGAAAACTACAACATTCTATTCCAAATAAAATCAAGGTTTTTTCATTAGTCAGCTAATTTTTCGGTAGTGTTTTTAGCATTTTTGATTCTCATGAATGCTGCAACAAACCAGAAAAATAAACCAAGTTTCCTAACAAAACAAGTTGTACGCGATGCACGAGTTTATGTTTTTAAAAGTTTATTCTTATTTTTGATATCATTTTTTTTTTTAAATATCATTTTCTAGATGTAGGAAAAGATAATTTTTGGAATAAGAGTGTTTCTTTTGAAGTAGTATGAAGTTAATAAGTTATGCGTTTTAGTTTTTGGTTTGAAGATGGTAACATTAGTGGTGTACTTTTGCTTGAATTAATAATTTCAATGCTCATAACCTTTGTTGAGATGGTAACAAACAGTAATTTGGTATCCCATATCAAGTAACCCATGAGAAGAAAATGATAAATAGATATTTGGTTCAATTAGATTAGCTTAACATGTAAAACTTACTTGTTTAACATAAAAACATCCCGTATACAATAAGGGAAACAACAGAGAGAATCCCAACTATACAACTTTTTGTAATTTTGAAACTTTTTTGTAGTTGAAAAAATGAAGAACTACGTCTTAACATTTCCCGAACCTTTTCATAACACCATGAATGTTTTCCAGAAGTAAGAGCATAAACCTGTCCTTTAAACCATTGAATCGATTGTTTCATTGGTTTACGGGAGCCTTATCTTCTTGAGTGGTAAGAAATCAGCAATCGTGGAAGTAATTGTTGAGCCTGACCTGGATTATATCAAAAGTAGTGTTCTCTTTATAGTTTGCAGGTCTATCCTGCTAATTGCAAGGAACCATCTCTCATTAGCTTGAGGCTCAAACTGTTGAATCTTTCCCACCGCGACGCTTTTCTCCAATCCGTCCCAGCTTTCATCATCCTTGCAAACTCTTGATAACGTATACGCCCGCCCTGATCATATTCATAGCCAGGAAACAAACATGTCTTCTTTATCATCTCAAAGTGAACGGAGAAATTCAAGAATGTATATGCCGTTAAATCGAAAGGATTAATGAAATGTGAAAATATCTTTTTTTTTTTGTGGTTACCTTCTCGGTATGAACATCTTGCATGATGGCAGCGAAAACTTCGTCGTTGCTACTATCATCCCATTCATCATTCAAGGTTTCAGAAAGTCATTCAATCCCTTCGGCTTGCTCTTTTCGAAGGACATGTCTGACCCGTCAAGTCAATCGTCCATTCCTAACAGTCAATTTAACCCACATTTCTCAAAAAAACATATTTAAGATCAGGCATAAACAGATTCGAGAATCACATACCTGCCATATTCCAACGATTTTATGACACGCTTCAATCTGCTGCATCACAAGAGGCCTTGAATTCTGCGATTCCTGTACAATTTTACCTACCAAAAGCAGCAAGAACATCTTAGAATCTGAGAGGATTCATTCAAGAAGCTATTTTCATGGAGATAGAAGTGAGAACCGTTGCTATCTTGTGGAAACCATCTGAAGTAATCTTAAGGAGTGAAATGGGTCGAAGAAGAAGATGCATTTGAGGCTTTTTGCAGGCAAACCAATCGATTCTCTTACTGCTGCTTCCCAATCGAACTTCAAAAATCAAAAAACGAATCTCTTTAGACAACGAAATCTCAATAAGACCCAAACAGAGATTTCAATGGTAATTTTGCGACTTACTCCGTCGTCTTCGAAGATTTGTACAGGAATCGCAGATCTCATTCCGGGGAAATCACTTGATTATCTCTTTCAGAATAATTCTCCACTCTCTCACGATTTCGAATGAGATAGTAGATACCGTTCAAGGGATTTAATCAAGTCTGAATTATAGGTTCAATGGCTTTGTGGTGGTTCTCTGTGGAAGAAACCATCGCCGAAGCGACGCAGAGAGACTGGCGGCCAAATGTTTGGAGGTAGGAGAATCGTCGATTGGAGTAAAATTTTTCTAAGTCAATTAAACCTGGAATATTCTGAAAAACAAATGAAATTCTCCAGGCATGACACGTGGCCATCTCTCCCCGCGCTGACGTGTCAGCTGGAGAGATGGCCTCTTATTATATACTAGAAATGTTTTTCAGTTAAAAAACTACACCCAATTATTATTTTTTTGATAGCAAATTAGATCTAAGCTCTTACATCTTAAATTGAAGATATTTGTATTCAATGTTAGTACTTACTGAATAGAGAGTTTTAACTGAAAGTCTTTGATGGTGTTGTTGAGGAATATAATTAAATTGTTGACTTTTTAAATCTTCTAAATAAGATAAAAAGGATGAAGACAAATTAGCTTAAGGAGAAAGTATGGTATACGTTTACCAACATGTTCTCTCAATCCCATTGAAGAGTTTTGCTCGCATTTTTTGCCTCATTTATTTTCTCAGGAATGACGTTTTAATTATATCAACAGAGATTTTAGCGATGGTAACAGAAAAAAAGAAAAAAATAATAATAAAACCATTTGATTAGAAAACGAAATGATTGATCTTTCTCTACCGGGAAAATTAGCTAAATAGGTTCCATATCTTGTTGTATTGTGGAACTAATCTTTTTCTATTTAACTTGGGTATTTCTGTTTTATATATAATATATATATATATGAGAAAATTAATAATCAATTTAAGTTTATTATTGACTAATTTTCCCATTTTCTTTTCTAAGAAAGACATTTGCTCCATCATCCTTCCATCTTATTCTTCTTTTAGTCGTGAATCATAAAAATAGAGAATATGGGAGAACTGAGAAGAAATTGTTTGTGTAAATTGAGAAGAGAAACACCAAGAACTTTAGTTTCCTCTTCACCTTCCTTGCTTACTCCGCCTTCACTTTTCTTGCTTACTCTTCGCCACAAGAATTCGGTGAACCTCACTTACTCTCCGTCGCGAGAATTGAGTGAACTAATTGGAGAATTTCCTCGATCGTCAATTAATTGCATCATTTCCTAGAGCTAGAATTTATTTTCTCTTTCTGATGTCACTGGAACTAGTCTTCAATGTTACACATAACCTAAATTCTTTCTCTTTAGTTAAATAACTAATCAAACTTTTCAATTGTTGATTGTTTGATACAATCATTCAGAGAGATTCGAACTGTCCAACCAAATCATGAGCCAAATAGCTGTTTTCCATATCAACAATACTCTGCTCTAAGCCGTAGTATTCTGAAACCATATCTTTTCAAGAGTAGTATCATATTCAATCAAAATCGTCCTACCACATCTCTCTTTATTAACAATGAATTCCCATTGCGAATTGATTTCCATAAACCACAAATCGTAGAGTAAGAGTTCAAAAGTTAGAACACAAAATAAAGATGCTTAGATCTAGGTTTTTTTAATTGGAAACGATCTAGAATACGCATTTTAGATTAGGTAAACCAAGAAGGTGCTGCATATTAGGTAAACTAAATTGGTGTTTTAGAGTAGCTAAAATTGTCTTCTATATTACGTAATACAAAATGCATATACTACATTAAGTAAATTGGAAATCTAGATTATATAGAAGAGCTTTCTACGTAGAGTTAAGCCAGAATATGTCTTCTTTGGAAGCTAAATTTGGTATCTAGATTAGGTAAGACAAAATACGAATACTAAAAGAGGTAAGTTATAAAATACTGTTATCAAATAACACATGTTTATTATTTTAAAAATATTTAGCAGAAAATAACTATGATTAATTACTTTTTAATGTTAATTTGATTTTTAATAAAAAAATTGGGTGATTTTTAGTCATTATAATGTTATATGTTTTTTTTTAAAGTGTAGTTCCACAAGACCACAAATAATGTGCCCTTTTAACTAATTTTCTACTTTATTTTTTTTTTGTCGGCAATCTTTTCTCTATATATCTCATTTTTGTCTTTTGGCGGAAAAATAATTTAATGAAGAGAGAGTCTTTCAAGTCAACTAATAAAGCCAGTTGACTAAAAAAGCTCGTGAGTTTCTCTCTGTATCTGTCCAATGCCTTATTAAATAGTTGGTATAATTTTATTTTTTCTTATCTCTTAAAATACAGTAACAGTATTTGTGATTACTGAAATAGTTAGTATATGAATTTTCACCCACAAAAAGCTGAACATCATTCTATAACTAATGTCTTAGAGTTGAAATTAGAGAAAATATTGAAGATTGTCTCGAATCTAACTCGGTCTTCAAGAAGGAAGAAGAACCAATGAACTGCCGGAGAGGTAATCCGACAATGCGAGCTTCGACGGTTTTACTCTGTGGTGTTGTTCTTATTCAGCTGTTTGCTGCTCAAATTCATTCTCAAAGACCTAAAAGTCCATGGCAGACTCTCAGTGGTGAGAGTACTATTGCATTATGTGTTTCTTTCTTTACACATGATTTTCCCAGAAAATATGAGAAAAACGAGAGAAGGTAGTAATTTATCCATATGTGTAGTAGACGAGGTTGGAATATCATCATAGATAGTTTATTTCACTTTGATTTCACCATTTGAGGATCTTAATATTCAGAATAACAATTGTGAAAAGTTTTTTTTTCGTTTGGGGAAATATAGAAGTCCCATGTCTTCTTTTAGTAAAATCACTTCTTGATTCTTATGTTCTTTTACTTTGTTTTTTTTCTTGATTTAAGGTGATGCTCCTCTTGTGATTGCTCGTGGTGGGTTTTCTGGATTGTTTCCTGATTCGAGTATTGATGCTTATACTTTTGCAATGCGGACAAGTGCAGCTGGTGTTGTTCTATGGTGTGATGTTCAGTTAACCAAAGATGGCCAAGGCATTTGCTTCCCTGATTTAACAATGAGCAACGGTTCAAATGTTGAAAGTGTTTACCCAAAACGCCAAAAAATTTACCCGGTTAATGGAATCCCTACTCAGGGTTGGTTCACCATTGATTTCACACTGAGAGATGTCAAGGAAATTTCTTGTAAGTATTAATGACTCACTAAAAAAAGACACTTCTTGATACTTGTTATGTGAAAAAACGATTTGAAGGTTTTTCTTGTAATTTCTCACAAATATGTCTTTTCTTTTTGTTTTCACCTGTTTTAGTGAACCCAGGCATATGGACTCGGTCAGACATGTTTAATGGAAATGTTGAGATTTCGGTGGTTCAAAAGGTAGCCACCATGCTGAAACCAGATGGTTTTTGGTTAAATGTTCAGCATGACGCTTTCTACGCGCAGCAGAATCTGAACATGAGCAGTTTTTTGATATCAACTTCAAGAATTGTTTCCATTGACTACATCTCTTCCCCTGAGATGAATTTCTTTAGGAAAATTGCTGGCCATTTCGGGCATGCTGGACCAAGTTTCGTGTTCCAGTTTCTTGAGAAAGAAGAAATCGAGCCGACAACAAACCAAACCTACGGTTCTATCTTGCGTAACTTAACTTTTGTCAAGATGTTTGCTTCAGGGATTCTTGTCCCCAAGTCTTACATATTACCACTTGATGACAATCAGTACTTGCTTCCTCCTACATCCTTAGCTCAAGATGCTCACAAAGCAGGATTAAAAGTATATGTGTTGGGCTTTGCAAATGATGTTGATATTGCATATAACTACAGTTTTGACCCAGTGTCTGAGTATTTATCTTTTATAGACAATGGTGATTTCTCTGTTGATGGTGTGCTCTCTGCTTTTCCCATTACTGCATCTGCATCTGTTGGTAAGCAACATCTCTTCTTTCTCCTTAAAACATTGCTGAAAATACTAAAAAATCAAACGTTTGCTTTTCAAATTTTGCTCAGACTGCTTCTCCCACATTGGCAGTAACGCTACAAAACAAGGTAATAAGAGTTAATTTGCATTTTCTTCTTCTTCTGTTCTTACTAATAGGAATTGACTTTTTTTTCATTTACCAAATGGTTCATGTCTCAGTGGATTTTCTTGTTATATCAAAAAATGGTGCGAGTGCGGACTATCCTGGATGTACAAACCTGGCGTATGAGAAGGCAATCAAAGATGGTGCCGATGTTATCGATTGCTCAGTGCAAATGTCCAGCGACGGTAAACCCTTCTGCTCAAGTTCGATAGACCTCGAAGGCACCACAACGGTCGCCCAAACTCCTCTTAGAGACCGTTCAGTAACTATCCCTGAGATTAGCTCTGTTGCTAGAATATACACTTTTAGTCTCACATGGTCTGAGATTCGGAACTTGACTCGTAAGTTTCTCTTCAAATTTTCCACTTGGCTTTTATAAACTCTTGTTCCTACTATTTATAGTAACTAGCCTAAATAGAGATTTTGTTTCTACTCCTACTTAACCTTAAGAGAGTAAGTATAAATGACAATTTATATGTTTTCTTAACAATTTTTAATTCTCCAAACTTACGAGTTGAAAATCACTATTCTCCTATTTGTTTGCGCAGCTGAAATTATAAGCCCCTACACTGATTATCCGTTAAGAAATCCTAATGAAAAAAATTCTGGGAAGCTTATTTTGCTTTCTGAATTCCTCAATTTGGCAAAGGAGTCTACTTCTCTTTCCAGCGTTATGGTCAGTATAGAGGTCAGTTCGAGTACTACCACGTAAAATCTTAAGATTTTATCAATCGGACTGTCACGTCAGACCACTAACTGTTTTGTGTTCTTTAGAATGCAATGTACCTGAGAGAGAAGCAAGGGCTCGATGTAATTAAAGCGGTTCTGGATACACTCGCAGAAACTGGTTACCGCAATGGAACAACCAATACAAAAGTCATGATACAATCAACCAACAGCTCGGTTCTAGTTGATTTCAAGAAGCAAAGCCAGTACGAGACTGTCTACAAAATTCAAGAAACCGTTTGAGATATTCACGACTCTGGTATTGAATATATAAAGAAATTCGCGGAGGCTGTTGTCATCCAAAAATCATCCGTCTTTCCTGACGCTGATGGGTTTGTCACTGGGAAAACAAATGTTGTGGAGAGGCTGCAGAAGTCTGGTCTTACGGTTTATGTGGAACTATTTCAGAATGAGTTTGTATCTCAACCGTATGACTTCTTTTCTGATGCAACCGTTGAGATAAACTCATATATCACTGGAACCGGTATCAATGGAACCATCACCGAGTTCCCTTTTACAGCTGCAAGATACAAAAGTAAGTCGACCAAAATTTGCAACGAATGTCTCACACATCAGTGCCTAACCTTTGTTTCTCTTCTGTAGGGAATCGATGTTTGGGCAAAAAAGAAACTCCACCTTACATGACTCCTTTTAAAACCGGTGGTCTCTTAAAAAATATAAGCCCTACGTCCTTACCTCCAGCCGAAGCTCCAAGATTGGTTATCACAGATGCTGATGTCTTTGAGCCACCACTACCTCCAGTTATACAAAAATCCCCAAACTCGGCCCTCGGAACCTCATCAACCTGTGCACAAGAACCTAGCAGACAAACTCAACTCGCTCTCTCTATGATCCTCTATGTTTTTGCCTCTCTTATGTAATCAACCACCCTTGTCCCTTGATCTCATCTCCTCGCTACCCTTAGAAATATCAATGTATGGCTCAGTCAAATCTCAAGAGTCCCAAGTTCCCAACCATAATATTTGACTAAGCCATACATTAAGTGCCCAATATGGACAATTTTAGAAAACTATGATATTTTTTCCGAATAAAAAGATTTTTGGGTTCATATTTGGGTATTTATTTATTTTATTTTTCCCTGGCGAGTCTTTGGCTATGAATGGTAATACTAGAGGAACAAAGACCATCATTATTAGTGCATACCCAAAATATCTCTTAACACTATTATAACAATAAACATAAGTTAATAAGTTAAGAGATATATATATATTTCCGCATTAATTATTGGTAGAGTTTCTTAAGTGTTCTTAATTTTTTTTTTAAATAAAACATGAAATATCTTACACTAAATGAAAACTGAATCATAATTTGAGATAAAAACATACTAATCAAATCAGCTTTCAATTGTTGATGCATTTGTCTATCACGAATTCTAGTTCAACACCCAAAATTTCGAAAAGATTTGTATGCACATCTCTAGAAAACGTGAGGTTTACATTTGAACTTACATTTCCCTCTCCTTGTTGGAATCCTTATACATCTTCTTGATGAGTGTTATCAGACTCTTGTTGAATCCGAAGGACCCATATATCTACCGTGGATTCTAACGGAGTGAACGAGTTTGTTGGTATGAAGAAGCTCGTATCTGATGGTGTCTTGCTTTTTCAAATTTGTTTCTTCTACAAATGCTGTCCCAAGCTTTGAAGCAAACCCTATCATCTCCATATCTCGCTCTTTCTCCTCTCATGCTCCCTTCTTCATCAATGTACCTCATGCTACAATTCACAAGTTTCCAAGATAATCAGCAACGAAATAACAACAAGAAAAACATGAAAATTACATTCAAACAGTCTGAAAGAAAGAACAACGAATATAAGTTACAGTTATACAATGAAAGCATCAAATTACTGATACTAACCTTTCTTTCAAATCAGTCTCTGCCTCATTATTTTCTACCACATTTCTATCACCTAAGAAGGGCAAAACCACAACAGTAACACACACACAAGAAGGTTACATAATGCATCATGGGAAAAATGAGATCTTTGGAAGATTTAACTGATTAAATGATCATGTAATGTCACTTAGAACACATACAATGCACAGTCTGGTTGGAGGTTCTTAAAAAAATAAAAGAAAATAATTTTGGAAAAAGAATTATGATTTAAAAATAAAAAACCGACCAAATCGTGTCGCGACACGTAGTGAGCTCGTCTCCAAAACCAATTCTAAAACCTCTTCGGGAAGAGACGATTCTGAGAAAATTCATGCTATCATTATTATATTTTTCTCCTATAATTCCATGTCCAGGCTGTGCATTGTATGTGCTCTTAGAGCATCTGCATCATCTTTGTGGAATTAATCCTCTCTGCTGTTGAATTTTTATTTAGAAACAGAGTAAGAAGAGAAGAGACAAGAACAGAGTAAAAGATAGAGTTTATCTCTTCTCTTTCGTGAAGAAGAATATTACGAGGAATGAATATTATTGATCTGAAAGTTGATATTTTACATCAAGTGTTACATTGTCTTATATACTAAGACAAGAACACATCGAAGAGTTGTGTCTCTTCCTCTTGTGTGTGAAACAATATAACCAATAGTTGCAACTTTACTAGACATCGTTTGATACACACATATGCTAACTTAGGACTAAACTCAATTAATTCCAACATCTGCAGCATCTAAAAAAAACAAATTTCCTTTCTCCTCTCTGTTCTCTCTCTTACTCTCGCAACTCGAAATCGAAGGTGATCGATTCATACCTTCGAATGATACGAGGTAACGCACTCTCCGGTCGTTAATCCGGAGAAGCAGACCACAAGTTTTGAGGCGTATTTCGATATGGAAGTCGACAGGTCCGTCACGGTGGTCGGATTTTAAAACGGGTCTCTGCATGTGATCCGATTCTCGGCGAGATTCTACTGAATGGCTGTTAGCGTCGGCGGCGAGATTCTACCGGAAATGCTCGAGAAGATGGTGGAGATCTGCGACGCCACAAAGACGCTTGCTCTCTCTTCCCTCCTCAAGAAGTGGCGGGAGTCGATTTAGTGTCAAAGCTCGAGATTCTACCACATTTCTGTCAAAATTCCTTTCGGAAATAGAGAGGTAAATCTCTTAAAAACCAACTAGGGTTGGACCTGCGCCCTGCACGGATGATATTTTCTTGATTTAATTTTATTTTTAGATATCTTTTTATATAAGTATCATTCTAGAAAAATAGGGTGTTAGACAATAAAAAATATGTCAGTTTACATTAGAAATTTTTTTGAGTGATGTATATTTTTTTAGCCTGGATTGGAACATGACGAAATATTAAGTGACACAGTTGAATCCACATATATATCTTTTAATAAGTTTGAAATAGTTTTATATGGCATATATATTTAATATTTTTGATCAATTTTAAATAACTAAAATAGTTTAACTTATATATTAAGTTATTACATTTTATTATGATTTATTTATTTAGTTCAATTAAAGAACAAAATTAAATCAAGTTAAAAAAATTAAAGTTTGGAAACCTAATAAATCAGTTTTTTTACTATGGTTGATCATTATTTGGATTTTTTTTATAATAGGTTTTTGAACTATCATCCCAAAATATAATCGATATGAGACTTTTAACAATTTTAGAGATTTGCTTCATTTTAAAATTTTCAAATCATAGCATATGCAGAAAAAACTAATTTTGTTTTATGAAATATTTTGATGTAATGATATAATTTATTTTTGAAAAAGTAAAGTTAAAAAAATAATTAAGATAATAAACTTATTTATAATTTTCGTCACTATCAAATAAGGAAATAGAAAAAAAAAAATAATTAATAATTATTTTTCTGATTAAATTAATAATAAATATTTCAGCACTTGCCTAATAAAGAGATGTTATTTTTAGAATATTCTGAGAGTGTGGCAAATTGCGACACCTCAGCATGGCATACTTGAAATTAAGTTGAAAACAAAGGGGATTTTTATAAATGTCTTCTCTTTTAATATATAAAGGATGTTGTTTACATCAGAATAATTACAAACAAAACAATGTCATTCACATATTATAGTTAGAAAATCAAATATGTCTTCATAAACTAAATATAAATTAAAAACAGTTATACTCTTTCCTTAATTGATGGCCACAAAAATTAATAAATAAGGAATTCAATTATATCATATTAATTATCTTCAAATCACTATATTTCTCCTATCATCTTTGTTTAACTTTATTTATTTTAAAAAATTTGAATCATTTATATAAAGTTAGCACAAAACTCCATTTTTTTGTACAATATATGCTATGATTTGAATAATTGAAATCAAAATAAATCACTAAAAAAATTAAAATCCCACATCGAATATGTCATCAAGTGATGAATCAGAAATATATTATACAAAGATGTACATTATGTGCAAGTGTGCAACCATTTGAATAGAAAGCTTCATTTCATACGTACCAAATATAAATGTTTTTCTTTATTCGATTTCATATGATTTTCATTCAAAATGTATAATTAGAACAAATAAATATTTTATTAAATTTGATCATAATTGTAATATATTTTAACTATATAATAAGTTAAATTATTTTAAATAAATTATTTTAAATAAATTATTTTAAATATTTAAATATATTATATTAGATATTTTTTTGAATATTATAAGTTTCATTTTGATAAAATTATAACATTTAACCTGATAAAAAAATTTAAGTTATTACTATGTTAATATATTCTAATAATAATTCTTTCAAAATTTAAAAATAGTATACAATTTAAAATTTTATTATATAATTTGTAATTTTAATAACTGATCAATAATATAAAACTAAAGAAGTATATATTTTTCTGTATATACTGAATATTTAAAGTAAAGTTTAGATGGTTTTAGAAATACATGTTTTCGTCGATTAGTTTATTAAAAGTTTAAAACATAAAAAGTATCTTAATCTTAATTTGATTTAAAATATATAGGTCAAATTAAATGTATTAGTCTGCACTTACATCTTTGAAAATGTAAATGCGCATAAAAGTAAAATAAAATCTTATAATTAGCTTGCAATTACATTACTAATACAAATTCTATTGTTGTTTTTTTTTTTTTTTTTTGTCAACAGCCTCTGTTTCTACAACTCAGAAATCCAAGTTGGAGAACAGAGTTTACATAATACACACTAGTAGGTAGAGCTCGAGCACTCCGTGCTAACTTGTCTGCCTTCGTGTTGTTTGTTCGTGGACCTGCGTGATGGAGAACGAAGAAAAACGTCTTCTGCAAATATCTATTTCTTCCAATAGTACCGCAAAAACTGGCCACTCCTCTGGTTTAGACACCATCTGTACCACGTCAGAGCAATCTGTTTCAAATACCATTACAAGCTTGTTGTGACGTAACATACATTGCATTGCCCATAACAGGGCCTCCACCTCTGTTTGGAGAGAAGAAACTCCCCTCCACAGATTACATGTTCCCAAAGTACTTCCCCTGTCTCCATATTGTAATTGTACCATCCTAATCCCGCTCGAGGGTCCGTTTCTTTCCATGCGCCATCTACCTGGCATCGATCCCCCGAAAACCTGAGTTCACCGTTCTGCCGAAGGCAGCCCTACCACGCCCTGACGTGTCTGAGCTAGTGCCCATGCCGATGCCTCTGCTGCCGCATGATTGATGATCTCATATGGGATCCCAATCCCCGTTAGAGAAAACCTTATCGTTACGGGCTTTCCATATGAACCAAATTAACCAAGGATACATCCTCATCCTATCATCGTCCGGTAAATTCCAGAATAGGTGTGCCATATTCGTGAAGAGACCTTCTGTTGGAAACCGGTTGACAGCTGTTGGGATTGGGGATAAGCCCAAACCTGTAAGGCCGGAGGACATTCAAAACCATATGGTTAATCGTTTGCCGCCATACCACAGCGCATACATTGTGGATCTGTCTGTATACCACGACTCCTTAACGTGCTCCCACCTGATATACACCCCGTTAAGATTTGCCATAGGAAATGTTGAAGTTTTTGGGTGCAAGGAATTTTCCATGCTTGTGCCTGAAGACGACGCACGTCTGGACCAAACTGTATCATGTTGTCAGCATCCATAGCTTCTTGGGCAATCGTATACCCTGATTTACTGTGTATCGCCCTGTCTTCGTATAAACCATCCCCACGAGTCCGGTCTATCCGCTGTGAGGTTGGGATCCCCATTATAAGGGATACATCCGTTCTCAAAAAGTTGTTTTAATAGTGGAAGATTCCACGTTGATTTTCCGGGTGTCATAATATCCCGCACGCGAGGTGCGGGTAAAAATGTATCCCGTTTCCTTTTGCTGACCTCGGGCGAGATGCTGGAATCCAAGGATCATCCCAAACTGAGATAGACGATCCCGAACCAACTCTTTTGATAAGCCCTTTGTTAACCAGAGGTCGAGCCGATACAATACTCTGCCACCCATAGGAAGGAGAGTAGGATTTGATGGGGTCCAAAGGAGTGGCATTCCGGTAATAACGTCCTTTAAAGACCCGTGAAAAAAGCGATTCTGGATTATCCATCAGATGCCAAGTTGTTTTGCCAACAACGCTGTGTTAAAATCCTCAAGAACCCTAAAACCCAAGCCTCCGTCGCTCTTATGACGACAGAGTTTTCTTCCAAGCCAACCAATGCATCCCTCTCGTTTGCCCATTGTTACTCCACCAGAAATTTGATACCGCACTAGATAACTTATTAGTAACTCCTTTAGGCAATCGAAAGCAGGACATCACATGCATAGGCATTGTCGAACCACCGATTTTATAAGAACCTCCTTGCCCCCTTTGGACAACCATTTTGAGTTCCATCCATTTATCTTCTTTTGCTGTCTGTCTATAAGAAAACTGAATATCTTTGTCTTAGCACCCCCTAAGCTTTCTGGTATGCCTAGATATATCTCCACCCCTCCAATTTTCTATTGTTGTTTCTTTATATATATTATTGATTTATTTTTTATTATATTTCGCGCATAACCTAGATTTTGGTTTTTAGGGGTGTCAATCGGGCCAGCTGCCCGCGGGCCAGGCCCATATAGGTCCACAGAGGGGCGGGTATGGACACTTAAATTATTGTCCGCAAAAAAGCGGGCCTTGCGGGCGTGACTCATTTGGGCTTCGGGTTAAATGGGCTTTGCCCGCTACGGGTTTGCGGGTGGGCGGGCATAACCGCAGAAGTCATCATCTTCTTCTCTGCTTTGTGTCTGAAGATCAATTTGGTTCGATTCTTTACATTTTCGTGTCAAAATCAAAACTTTTGATCAATTGCTTCATGTATTTCATGTCTGAAGCGAACATACAGTTCAATTTTTGGATAATTACTTATTATGAAGATGATGAACTGATGATGATGAAGATTTCAGCGCAAAATTGGGATTTCAAGATACATGGCCACATGGGTAAATTGAAGGTTAGTTTTTGAGAGACATGGAATGTATTATTGATCGATTGAGATTGGAAGAAGAAATTCGATACATGCATCTTGAATTTTTTTATGTTGTTCTCTCTTTGTTAATTTAGCTTATTGGTGATCTCAAAAGATCTTAGCTACCCTTGTTCTTCGATGTAATAAGATTACAGTTCGTCTATTTATTCATTTGGATCACTAATGAACAATATCAGAAGTTGACTCTTTTGTGATCAAATTCTACAGGTTGACTAATGAACAATATCAGAAATTGCTCCATACTTTCGTGTTGCTCAACACTTGCGTGTTTATAACTTTTAAGGTGCTGTTTTGCAAAACCTTGATTGTGGTTTCATTGTTGATTTCATATTGTTTTGGTGAGTGTGATCTTTCTTTCCTTTTGAGTCATTGCAGATTTGCAGCAACTCCTACAATTTCATCAGCTATGGTTCAAAAGTAAGGTTTTCACAATTGCTTTTGAGCAGCTTGAATTGTAAACAGTAATCTATTTCTCTTTTTCTTTGTGAGGTCTGATGGGTCAAAAGCGAAAACTAATCAGGCAAAGTGAGTGACAAATCTTGTTGTCTATCTTGTGCATTATGAACATGATCAAATCCTGCAGGTTTATGGTAATTCAAAATTCTCTTCAAAGTTTAACTCTTGTTTAGTTGACAGTTTGACACAGGTCACTGGGCAGTGGAAAAAGAAAAAAGAAAAGTTACTCTTATGGGTCATTCTCAGATTCTGTACATCTGTTCCTTGCGTACAGGTTTCTCCATCAGTTTTACCTCTCTGATTTTAAAATCTTTCTTTATGCTTCTAATTTGCTTATCAAGAGATGTTAAAATCTTTTTTCCTACTACTTACTGTGCCTGTTAAGAGATTCTACTTTGATTTTCTCAAGCAAAGAAGAGAATGAGACGATTCTTGATTTAATTTGACTTAAAGATCCGAGAAGTAAACATTCTTAAAACATAGCGGTTAATTTTAAAATTTTATTTCCATTTTCAATACCCTTTATCACAACTAGAGACTCTATTAGAAGTTTACAAAGTCGTAAACCCTACTATTAATACCCTAATTTGCAACTTGGAACCCTACTCATTTCATAGTTCTAAAGTCTCAGGCTCTCGGCTGATTCAGATTACGTAGAACTTGCTGCAAAAGGCTACTATGTCAGACCCGCCGTTTTTGAACAACCAGGTCAGTATTCTGATCATAGACTCTTTGCATATTGAGATCAATAGATCACGTCATTATATTTGTGTCTAATTGTGATATACATTATCTCAGTCTTATTTAGATGCCCCATCAGACTTTTCTGGATTGCGTCCACTTGGCTTCGAGACAGACTTTTCTGAATCGCGTCCACTTGACTTCGAGTCGCAGAAACTGGCAGACACTCTAGATGCTGAAGAAGAAGATCGGTTAAACAATGAAGGATCACAAGGAGATCCATCAAGTGTTCGGATTAGAAGGTTGATTGATGTTGAAGATGATGATGATGATGATGATGTGGAAATCATGCCTGGGCCGAGACAGAATAATCATGTTGGTGTTAGAGATCGTGGCAAAGGAATAGCATCTCAAAGTCAGAGTAAGAGAAGTATGTTTGGGGCTGCTGTTGGAAAAGGAAAAGCATCACAGGTTAAGAGTAGGAAAAATCTGTTTCTATCTGCACGTGGTAATGGCATTGGCAATGGAAGAGCATCTCAGAATAAGAGTAAGAAAAAAGTGGTTGAGGTTGAAGATGATCAAGCTGGAAAAAGAGTTTCTCCTGAACCGAGAAAGAGAAAAGTGTATGAGGCTGAGTCAAGCTATGTGAATAAGAAAAACAAAGAGGCTCTTGAGAGCGAAGATGAATTAAATGAAGAGGGCGAAGAAGCAGTTCCAAATCAGAAACAGAGAAAGCCGAAAAGACAGTCCTCACCAGCTTGGGAAGATTTCGTGCTTATTACTAAGCCTGACGGGACAGAAAAGGCTCAATGTACACACTGCAAGAATGAATATGCGTATGAGTCCCACAAGACGGGTACTAATACTCTATTACGCCATCAGAGAGTCTGCAATTTGAAACCTAGGAATGGTGATGTAAAACAAATGTTGGTGAATGCAGAGGCAAAACTACAAGCACGAAAGATTGATCAATCTGTTTTTCGTGTGATGGTAGCTAAGTCTATAATTCAGCACGATCTGCCTTTTTCTTACGTGGAGTACGAAAGGGTAAGATCGGTTTGGAAGTACCTGAATGCAGATGTGATTTTCTTCAGTCGTAACACAGCCGCAGACGATGTTTACAAGTTCTATTTAAGTGAGAGTGACAACTTGAAGCGAGAACTAGCTAGTCTTCCAGGCCGGATTAGCTTCACCTCTGATTTGTGGTCGGCAATCACACATGAGGGGTACATGTGCTTGACAGCACACTATGTAGACCGAAACTGGAAGTTGCAGAGCAAGATTCTCTCATTTTTTGCTTTTAAGTCTCCACATACAGGTATGGCATGTGCAATGAAGCTTCTTGAGAAATGGAGTGAATGGGGAGTCCAGGAAAAGGTGTTCTCGATCGCACTAGACAATGCTAGTAGTAATGACTCAATGCAAGACATTCTGAAATCACAGCTTCTTTTGCGTAACGACTTGTTGTGCGGTGGAGAGTTCTTCCATGTTAGGTGTTCAGCTCACATCTTGAATTTGATTGTTCAAGATGGCCTCAAAGTCATTGGCGACTCATTGCGTAAAATCAGGGATAGTATCAAATATGTGACATCTTCCGAGTCTCGTGAGACGGCGTTTAGAAAATGCGTTGAGTCTGTTAGATGTGAATCTAAGCTTGCTTTGGGATTGGATGTTCAAACACGATGGAATTCTACATACAAGATGCTTGCTAGAGCTGTCGATTATCGTGAAGCTTTTTGTTATCTTCAGAAAATGGATGGGAGATATTTCAAGGTCAATCCTTCAGAAGATGAATGGGACCGACTAAGTCGCTTGTCTGAATTTTTACAGCCATTTGATGAGATCACGCAGCTTATGTCAGGTTCAACATATCCAACTTCGAATTTATATTTCATGCAGGTTTGGAAGATCCAAAACTGGCTGAAAAAGAATGAGAATAACAGAGATGAAGTTGTGAGAGAGATGATCAAACCAATGCAAGAGAAGTTTGACAAATATTGGGAAGAAGTGAATGACATTTTCTGCTATAGCAAGTGTCCTCGATCCACGAATAAAGTTTACACTTGTAGAATTCTGTTTTTCGCAGCTTGATGAAGTATCTTTCCAAGGAAAGATGAAGCGCTTGCGTGATAAAATGCGTACTCTTTTTGAGTCCTATGATCCAAAAACGGTCTTGCCATCAACACAGCCTCAGGGAAGTGAAAACCAAAACAGAGATAATGGAATGCTTAAAGGGAACTTCGCCAATTATGATGTAAGTATGCATCGATAGTTTAGTCTTTTCTCTTTTCGATAATTACGCTATCTTATGCATTGGAGTTTCTACTTTCAGTTTTAGTTTGTACCTTTTTGTTAAAGACAGCTTTGAGGTCGTTTTAGTTTTTACTTTCAGTTTTAGTTTCTTTTGCATTGAAGACTTTTTGTTGCTGACAACTTTGAGCTTTCGGTTTCTGTTTTTTTTTCTAATACTTTGTTGTTCACATTGTTTGTTAGGCTTTTGTCTTTTCCTGAAAATATTGAGTCTTATGGTGTATTATTTGATTTCAGGATTTTTTCATGTTTCGCAAGAGTAATGTTGTTGTTAGTGGAAAATCTAAGTTGGAACTGTATCTTGATGAACCACCATTGGACATGACAAGTAATTTGAGTATGGACATACTACATTTCTGGAAAGACAACTCTGAAAAATATGGTCAATTAGCTTCAATGGCAGCTGATCTACTCAGCATTCCTATTACAACAGTGGCTTCAGAATCATCTTTCAGCATTGGATCTCGAGTTTTGAACAAGTACAGAAGTAGACTTCTTCCGAAAAATGTGCAAGCTCTGATCTGCAGTCGTAATTGGTTAAGAGGTTTTGAATCTCATGAAAATGGTAAACAAATATTCTTCTTTTATACTATACGTCTACAAGTACAATTTGAAAACAATGCACTAACTTTTCTTTTTCACTTGACATGTATGTAGAGGAGGATGAAGTTTATAACAGTGATGAAGATATCACTCCGAAAGAAGCAGTTGATGATGATAAAGATGAGTGAAGTCCATAACTGGTATATTCTTATTCTAAAGTTATATCTTCTCTATTCACGCTCTCTTTTGTGCTACCATTAATTTCTGGAATTTGCCTATTTGTCATATTACTTGTGAGAAAACAGTATTGGTTTTCGTAAGTCATATGCTTCAAGAGTTAAATTCATATTTATGCTATTTTAGAAATCTTATGATATAATTAGATTTGGGATTTTGTTGTTGTTGCAGGTCGGGGTGAGGAAAGCTGTTCATGTGATGATCATCAAGTGCTAAAACACTTGCGTATTGGATTCTGATTTTTCTATGTAACAGCGATCGTTTTTGCTTATGGTTCTTGACAGTTTAAAGTTCCAAATTTCGTTTCTTAATCTGGATTGGTGTATTCTGCTTTTTTTCTTACATTGAAGACTTGGTGTTTCTACTTTCAGTTTTAGTTTGGAACTTCATGTTCAAGACAGCTTTGATCTTTCAATTCAAGTTTCAGTTTGTTTAAACACTTTGTTCTTTACATTTATGAGAACACATGTTTTGGAAAATAGGGAGCCCATGATTTCTTTTAAATGGTATCATCTCTGCAACCAACATTAGTCTCTGGGATTTGGTCTCTGGTTGAATGAACCGCAGAGGTTGATATTTCAGTTTCAATGCAGGTTTACACTTTTTAGCTTTCAAAGTAACTACCTTAGTATAATAGTATGTAAGTTTGTCTCAGATTAACACATGTTCCTTTATCTTATTATAAACTATGAACACATGTTTGATCCTCCACCAACACATATTAACAGAGTCACAAACAGAGGAGAACATTTTGTTGCCATTGCTAGTTGCATCGTTGCCATTGCCAGTTGCAAATAAAGCTTTTCTTGGCCCGCGGGCAGGCCCGCAGACCCGCTAAAACATACGGACAGGCTTGGGCCTAGATTTTCTGTCCGCAACCCGCAGCGGGCCGTCCCGCACGGACAAAGCAAAAACGAAAAGCCCGACGGGCATGTCCATATGGACGCGGGCCGGCCCGATTGACACCCCTACTTTTATTGATATATTAACATCAGCTAAAAATGAGAGAAAAGTTTGAAAAATTAGTATGCTGTTTTAGCGGTAGAATCAACCGTAAATCTCACAACTATCAAACTTTGAAAAATTGGTATGCTGTTGCGGTAGAAACTATCATCCCATGCAAAGCGTGGGTTAGTTGTCCTAATATAAACGACGTCTTCTAGTTTATTAGATATTTTTGATTTAATTAAATTATATATTTGCTAAGAAAAGGCTCTAAGAGACCCGAGTTAATCATGCTCTAAAAGCATCTCCATTGGTTTAATTAAATCATTTATTAGGATGTAAGAGTATCCCCATTAGTTGGAACCTCTTAAACAATGTAAGAATGATTACTTTTTAATTATGTGATTTACTTTTATTTTTAAAAGAATACATTTAACCAAAAGTGTGAGATGTGGTCTTAAAGGTTCTCACTTCTCATAGTACCCATCTCACTTGTTTCTCGCATTTTTTCATTTTTTATATTACTAGGGGAGCCACGCTTCAAATTAATATTGTTACATTAATTTTACTAGGGCTTGGCCCGCGTGATGCGCGGATTATGTGTATTACAAAAAGTATTTATTAGTATATCATAATTATTATATTTATTTTATATTTATATATTTATTTATCCTTTTTAAACACTATGCATATAATATAATATCATGTAAAAAACACAATAATGAAATCCAAACCAAATTTGTTATTTTAAGATAGGAAAAATGATGATTTGTTAATACTATTGTTTTGAACAACATGCATATAAGGAACTAACCTTTCCAATCAACTTTTACAACATCCATGTCTATCAGCTAATCGAAATGAAATGTCTCCTTCATATTCGCAAATTTGGTCACTCTTTATATAAGAATGTATAGTTCTCTCATATCATATAAATGAATGATACTATTGTAGATGTAAAATAAAAATATTGTTTGTTTCATACCAGGACTCTTACATATATTCCATCTTCATGTACATCAGCTGCTGGTTGTGTCTCACCCCATCTCCTCAAAACAATTTATTTCACATATGTTTATTAGTTCCATTTGTGGATGCAATTTTTTTTATTTCATAATGTTATGTAATTTCACATACCTTTCATTATTGATGTATGTTGTTAAAAATTTCCTTGTACACAATGTTGGTCACCCCCATTGTCTTCCTCAGATTTGGATTCTCAGGAATTTTTAACTCAGCAGCCCCTTGTTGTTAACATGATATATTATTTCAAGTTAGCTTTTTGCTACGGTTATGGAAAAATCTGACTGAGAATAAATATTGAGTGATTAAAATCTAAGCTTTTTGCTTCTTTCTTTCATTGCATAGTTGATTAATACTGGATGATTGAGAAAGTGTTCTATGGATTTGGTCTTCAGTGTCAATTTAGCAAATATTTTTTATTTTGTTTTTTTTGGGTCAAAGTTGGCAAATATTTGTGCGTAGATTTGAATCAGAAATAATTGTTTACGACAGTTGGTTATAACTAAAGTCACAATTACTTATGCTCTGTTTCAGCTACTAAATCATGTTGCCGAGTGTGATTCAAGTGCTAGTGCAGATTATTTGTGCATATCATGTGATGTACTTGAGTTTCAAAGATCCTCTAACACGCCCGAATTAAGATTTATTCTCGCTCCCATGGAATTCAAACATCCACCTCCTGATATTGCCACCAAAGTGCATTGCTGCTACTTCCTTTTGTTTCTGCTATTGTGGTTTCACTGTGATCTAATAGTTCATTAAGATTTACAGGCAGGTACTCATTCTGAAGGTTTAGAATCTCACAGCCAAGCACTGCAATTTTAGTAAAGTTAATCTTTCTTGGGATGAAAATGAGCCGCAGCACATGAAACATTAAACCAGAAATTCAAACATGATTAAGTCTGTATACTTACTTCTACTCCCATTTTCGTTTAGATTTAGTTAGCTTTTATGATTGATCAATGATTTTAGAGGCTTAAGATTAACTGCAATCTATTAAGCTCATATGTTACATATACACCAATACCAACTTATGTCGGCTAAGGGTTTTAAAATTCGGAAAAACCGTACCTCTTACGATTGTGTATTTCTCATTAGTTTGTTTTGGTCTTTCTATTTTGCGTATAATAGATGAGTTTAGTTAAGAGTCTTAAGACGATGCTCTTGGGTGGAACACAATGGAGTTCACAAAGTGAGAATTTGACAACATAAAGGAAAACTAAAGAATGGATTACAAACATACGCATCTGTTAACCAAGATTTACTTTAACCAATATTAAGAGTTTTCTCTTAACCAAGATTTACTTTAACCGAAAGAAAGAAATTTGTAAGTATATTGTAAGATCAAGGAGTCTTGAGAAGGACTTGTATATTTAAAATGCAAATACTTTAAAAAGCGTTTGATTATTATCAAATTCACACACATGAGAAAGTGATATCAATGTAGAAGCAAAAGAAAGATCATTCAATCACGGTCCTAATCAATCAAAACTAATCATATAAATCACCAATGATCGAGAACCCAAACGGAAGGCAGAAACACAGACCCAAACGGGTAAACCAGAGCTTACCATCTCTCTCTTGAACCTCACTTACGAACTTCATATTCTTCCCTTCACTATCCTCAAGAATCTCCAAGACCTCACCGGTCTCGCCTTGTTCGTATCTATTTATATAAGATATGGTCGATTAAGAATCTTAGGGTTTACTTTTTATTTATCTTTCTAAAATTTATAATTTTTTCCAAAAATATGGCGTGGAATATGGTAGTTAGCCTTTTTATCTAAAAATATTTAAGTCAATAATCAAATTCCTTTTTAATAAAAAAAAAGAAAAATTCGAAGATTTAATAATAGATTTTCATTAAGGGTACTTCGGTAATTCCGCAGCTGAGAGTTAACGTGGTGGCTCCATTCGAAATTCTGACTTGCAAATAATAGTATGATTAGCAGAACAAACCGAAAAATTATGAAGCACTAACGAAACCAAACCGGATTTTAGATATTGAACCAACTTTATCTCTCGACTGATAGAAACGAAAAATGTAGCAACAGCCGCCATTGAAGAAGCCTCGTCTCGGAGTCGGAGAGAGTCATTCATTATCCCGGCCACCAATCCATTGCTTCGGTGTGCGGATTTGACTATCCCATGGCTAAACCCTCATGATATCTCCGCCTTCTCTCAAACCTGCAAAACTTTATCCCTGATTAGCAGACCCCTCATTATCCGGCGATATCTTGACGCTACACTGTCCCTCGATAATTCAATCCCGCATGCGAAATCGGAGAACGTGTCAAGACCTTCTCTTGACTCAGTGAGTGAGCGCGGACGATTAGAGGTGAATCTATTGTCGCCTGAGGTTGGTGGATGGTTGATGCGTGTTGACTGAGCATCCGCGGTTTGTCGGAGAGAGGCTTCGAGACAGAGACAGTGGAGAATTTTTTGCGCCGCGCAGTGGAGATCTATTTAGGAGCATTTGATTTGGCGAGTCTCCCATGGATGGAGAAACCGGAGATGGCAACTCTCATGGTGAGTCGAGGAGGCAGTTGCTTGTGCGATCCGGCGGACAAGAGCTTGTGTCGGCGTTAGGTTTACGAATTACGATTAGGTGAGTGAGAGAAAACCGAATGAGGCAATTTTTGAGTGTTTGGGGTTATTCTGTAAACAAATTAATGTCTAAGGACTGTATGCGAAATATTTTGTCTGATTTTTTTTTAAAAGAGGACGTAACACGTGGCGCTCATATGGAGAGAGTTATTGTAACACCCCCGAACCATCCTAGGCACAGACGTTCCGAGAAGCGCCACAAAATGTCGATGTTCGCCGAATAGGCCATCCCAGACTAAGAACAAATCAGAGCCCAGGTCAGCCCGTTCCACGAACTCGACCCTCTTGACCAAAGCTTAAGGCTTGCCAACCTGTACTTTGGTCAGGAGTTGTGCTAGCCCGGACCAAGCTAATATCATTGGAACATAAGGTCTTTACATAAAACTTTCCTTTATTAAAATATCAGAGTGCTTACAAAATCCGACTCATTTAAAAACATGCGGATCGATCCTTAGTTCCAAAACCAAACAACAAACCATTATTTTACAAAAACATACCACAAAACTATTCTGGCGCCTACTGCCTGCAGCGGTCCGCTCTACTTCACACCTCTACGGTTACCTGAAAAACATTGAACAAAAGGAATGAGTAATCTAATATTACTCAGTGAGTCTAGGACCTCTATACAAGGGGGATTCCCTAATCTCCAAACGCCGCGGGCTTGTCATCCCGCCTCCACCTGCAGGCGCCTACTGCCTGCAGCGGTCCGCTCTACTTCACACCTCTACGGTTACCTGAAAAACATTGAACAAAAGGAATGAGTAATCTAATATTACTCAGTGAGTCTAGGACCTCTATACAAGGGGGATTCCCTAATCTCCAAACGCCGCGGGCTTGTCATCCCGCCTCCACCTGCAATGAGGTTAGCACAACACAACATATGCAATCACATGCATTATTGAGGTCATAGTCTTAAGACTAACCGTACCCCAATCAAACAAGAACAGGTACGATCAACCCAAGACTATAACAACAATCAAACAATCTATATGCAATGCCCATGCAAGCCTAGACAAGTATCTAATACTTGTTTTCTATATGCAATAAGGCGCCTAGGTGCATTAGCCACATTCTCTGCTCACGCCTGTGAAGGTTCACGCTCATCCGGAATCACTCAGAAACTAGATGAACGCCTTCACCCGGGCACTACAGTCCATCGCGGCACCCGGTTCATCCTTCCATCTATTGGCCTTACTGGCGCACCATGCCAATGTCTGGTTGGATCCCATATCGTCATATGGTACCATACTCGGCCAAGGCAGCTGACCAGGTTATCCTCCGAGTCTTCCTCCCTTCATGCACAGCCTCCACGCTGCCAATCCGGTTGGGCTCTGACGTGCGAGAATGCGCTTGACTACACCTTCCTAGACAACATGTGGTTAGACACGCCACATGTTCTCAGTACTTAGCATATGGGCCTTTACGCACCACTATGCCTCATACCACCGGTTCTGCGGCAGAGCTTCCCTTGCCTCGGAAGAGTACCCACACGAACCTTGAAAGATCTGGCGGCTCAGCCGTCCGTGATCTTTCCACATCGGAGTCATACTCAACATATGGGCCTTACGCACCACCATGTTAGTATGCACTCGAGGTTTAGCGGCATAGCCATGCTATAACCCCACAACCGATGCATCTATGAGATTTGGCAGCATAGCCATCCACAATCTCACATCACCTAATGTATAGATATGCATCTACACTAACAAGATCTGACGGCATAACCTTCCCCGAAGGTCACCCATCACAATCTTACACAGAAAAGAGATCTGTTGGCATATCCTTCCCCGAAGGTTACCCAACACAACCTCACACACAAAAGAGATCTGGCGGCCTAACCTTCCCCGAAGGTTACCCGACACAACCTCACAACACAAGAGATTTGACGGCATAACTTCTCTCCCTAGAAGATTACCCATCACAACCTCACAACAATGAAAACCTGCATATAAACACACAAGAGATTTGACGGCATAACTTCTCTCCTAGAAGATTACCCATCACAACCTCATAACACATTATATAAATTTCTGCAGCATAACTCTCCACAATTTTTACTAAACCTTATTGTTTAGAGAGTTATACTACAGAACCAATAACCAATATGAACAGAAAGCATCTCCCATGCTTTGGTGTTTATACAACCTGCATACACAAACATAGATCCAAAAGGCTATAACTATAACACCAAGACTCACCACTTTAAGAAGACTTCAAGACCCTCCTAGATTTCCTTAAGCTTTGATCTTGACCTACTCTAATCTTCCACTAACTTCACTTAATTAAGAAAACTTTCTTAATTACTCTCTAATCACTTTTCAGGTGCTCTCTAGCTTTAGGAATGGAACGGTTTGGACTTGGAGCTGGAGGAGCGTATTTATAGGAGTTCAGGAGGCTGCCTGGCTTCTTGGGACGTCTCCAGTCATGCGCAGACACATGGAGACCTAGGCCTAGCATAGCTTTGCTTGGTGGCGACCTACACTGCCTCAGAACGCGACATCCAGGCGGTCTAGGCTAGGTAGCTTTGATTGGTGGCCTCTAGGGCGTCTCAGGACATGACACACGTCATTCCTATCCCCTCTCAATGCTCATCAATAGGCCGACTTCCCCTAAGCATGTGGTGTAGTCGTGCCATTGGATATAACCCATCTTATCCATTAAGATGTTGGGTGCTTCTGTCTGATTGGTCAGCTCTTGATCCAATCCGTTTCTGCATCTCTCCACTTGCTTCTCATCCACTCCTGAAGCTTATACTCTCTCTCAGTGGTTGGTGTTGCATCCTGATTCGTCCAAGTCAATTTCGTCTCCATTGAGCACTTCTGTGTCTCCGTCTGATTGGTTTGGACAATCCTTGTCTTTCATGAGCAGCTGGGTGTCTCTCCCTGATAGCATTAGGTCTTCTTGGAGTTTATCCACGCCCTCTCTCCTCTTTAGCATCTGGTGTCATTGCCCAATTGGTTTAGGCTTGCTTCGTCTTCATTCAGTAGCTGGATGTTGCTACATGATTGGCCCGTCTTAGAAACTGCTGTGTATCTCCATTTGATTCGTCCATTTTTTGGATAAGATCATCCAATAAGAATGCTTATCCACGGCCTCACTCTCTCTAGCAGGTAGTGTTGACGCATGATTGGTCCAACACAATTTCATCCCATTTCAATAGCTCAATGTCTCTACTTGATTGGCTGAATGGTTTTGGCTCCATTGTAGTAGCTGCATGTCTTCTCCATATTGGTTATGATCATTCTTATCTTCTACAAGTATCTGGTGTCACCACTTGATTGGCATAGAACAAGATTATTCCAATGTACGTTTCCTCGTCCAGAGGGTTTCGTATGTTTCCTGTCCGGAGGGTTTCGTCCCCGTCGTGCTTGAGAATTAAAATCTCCTATTTTAATCCTTCTCTCATTTCCATGTTTCTGAGCTTCCACATAGTTGCTTGGAAATGTGCAGAATACCTCCATCCCGAACATTTACGCTTCTTGCAGTCGTTGCGGGATAGATCTTGGCCGTCCGTCCCATCTCTCAATCTGCTCGTCCGATTTGCATTCTGCTTCGACCAAACTTCTTAGAATGGTCTCTTATGTCGTCCAAACTCTTCTCTTCTTGATTTGGAGAACTTTGATATTTCGTCGTCCTGTTGACTCTTCCCATGTTCGTACAATGATCGTCTCACCTAGACAATCTTGCTGTATCTTCACTTCTGCTCGATCGTTCTTGATCCTGTCTTGATCCAAGTATTCGTTGTGATCTCTGGATTAGATCCAACGTCTTTGTCTTCCCATCCCAGAGTGTTGATCTTCCCATCCCAGCCTTTGGGATGGTTTAGGTCTTGATACGGGGTATCACAGTTATCCTCTCGTTATAATATAGATTGTTTTTCACAATTTTAATTTTTTTCTGGTGTATTATTGTTTAAATATATTATACATATAATAATTAAATATAATTAGGGTTAGGCAAAATTCTCGTCAATCTTGTCCCATCTCGTTCCATTTTGTTAATTTTCATCATGTCTATCTTTTCCATCCCATTCGTCATGTCTGTCCCGTCCCGTCTAACCCCATCATATCTCATTGGTTTCTTCTCGTCCGATTCCCTAAATATAATTAAGGGTAGGCAAAATTTCCGTCTAGTCTCATCCCGTCACATTATGTTATTTTTCATCTTATCCCGTTCTTTCCCGTCCCGTTAGTCCTGTCCGCTCCGTCCAATCACATCCTATCCTATTATGTTCCTTTCCGTTTTGTACTATCTATGTCACGTCCCTAAATATAATTAGGGGTATGCCAAGGTTCCGTCTTTCTGTCCCATTATGTCCCTTTTCATCCTGTCTCGTCCAATTCCGTTTCTTTCATCACGTCTTATCTAACATGTCTCTCTCGTCCTGTCCAATCACATCATATCACAATTTGTTACTTTCCGTCTTGTCCTATCTCTTATCTCTTCATGTTTGTTTTTATTCTTTCCGTGTTGTCCCTAAATATATTTAGGGGTAGGCGAGATATTCGTCCATTTCCGTTTTTTTATCTTCCGTTTCGTCACTTAATAATAAAAAGTAGGCAAAGTTTCCCTCTTCTTGCATTCAGTGTTTTTTCGTTTCGTTCTGCCAATCTTGTCTCATTTTGTCTCATAATACTTAAAAGAATGTTCTTTCTATAATATTTTGACATCAACGTAAATTATATAATCTGATAAAGATAAAACTACTAAATAATAATTTTTATAGATTTAAACATAATTTTTTTAAATGACTTTTCATATTCGTATTTAATGAATGATAATTATTATGAAAATTAAAAAAAAAAATCAAATTGTTTGCGTTGACGTGTCATGATTATACTCTTCTTCTTCTATTGACGTGGTAACACGAGAAGAGCTTCAACTTTATATAGCTCAGATATTCTTTGAGAACCCCTTGATGGTTAACAAGAGAAAGTCAAAGTCAGTTTTGGGTTTCTCAGGTAAATAGTATTATTTTCAGGTTTGTTCTATAATTGAATGACAAATTGTGCAGTCACATGTGGTATAAATTCTCACTTCTTTGCCCATTCTTGAAGGTATGAATTAACCAAAACTGTTGACTTTTCTAGACTCCTAAATTTTCCTTGGGACTTGTCCTCTTGAGAGTATTTAAGAATGAAGACAAAACAGTTGCAACCGATAAGAGGTTGTATGGTATAGGTATATAGACAAGTCCCATTCATTCCCACTGAAAGTTTGATTCCATGATTTTCCTCTCTCTTTCTCTCTTTTTCTCTCTCGTTCTGCCTTTTTTAGAAAAACTACTTCTTATGCTCCTCTCAGACTATACGCACTATTCATAAAGTCAAACAAATCATGTACCATCAACCCACTTCTTGTCTGTTCTTTTTTTTCCTCTTTTCCTTATTCTACCATCTCCCTTGTGCTTCGAGTAAACATGACCTTGGATGGTGTGAGGCTCTGTTCCAGTGTGGGGACATTGCCGCAAGTTTCCCCTTCTGGGGAGGAAATCGTCCCAAACCTTGCGGTCATTCGTCGATGGAGCTTCATTGCAATAGCAGAAACAGCACCTCCTTAAACATCTCAGGCCTTGAGTACAACGTTTTCCAGATAAATCAAACATCTAATAGTCTTAGTCTTAGACTTGCCAGAACAGACTTTCTAGGTTCTTTTTGCTCCGCTACATTCAATTCCACAACCTTGCCTCCAGAAATCTATGAGGTTTGGCCAATGTACAAGAACCTCACCATTTTCTATCTCTGCAACCCTCGTCTTCATTACCTTTCGAGTTATGTATGTCCTGGAAGAGGTGTTATCTCAGCGTATCAAAACCCTAAGTATCATAGCTCCTGCCAAAGTTTCACCGTTAACAACGTTCCTACGACATTCTTTCCAGAAGAAAAAGAGTTGAATTTGACACATTTGGAAAGTGTTCTCAGAAAAGGATTTGAGGTGACGGTCAAGACTGATGAGATACAATGTGAAGAATGTTCATCCCGTAAGTTTCACTTTGTTACATTTTGTACTTACTTTTTTTTTCTCTTCAACAAAAAACCAAAGATTGATTCATTTACATCCACTCTTACCAAACCAAAACTTATACCAAAAAACAGAGAACACAAATGATCAATCTGCTTCCAATAAATGATCAATCTGCCTTGTTCATCTAACTTAACAATCTCTAATAAATATTTGTGATTAAATTCCATCTTTTGTGATTCATCAGCTATTGAGCATTACAAACGCTGCAATCAACAATTTAGCTGTGGCAATCGGGGTGGTCTCTTGTACCCTTTTTGGATACCTGGCAGAGAAGACTGCGGCCATCCCGACTTCAAGCTCGACTGTAGCAGAGGATTTGCAGAGCTAAGTATCTCCTCCGTGTTGTTCAGAATCTTACAGGCAAACTATAAGTCTGGTATCGTAAGATTCGCCAGCTTGGATTATATCAACAATCTTTGTGGCCGAAACCCATTAAATGTGCAATACATCCCGAGCGTCCTTCCATTTGCTCCGGACACCGAGCTGTTCACAATTTATGTTGGATGCCCGAAAATTACATATTATGATAATAAATATAGTGTTGGTGCTTATGTTAGAGAGCTTTTTTGTGAGGATAACAAAAAAGCAACAAAAACCTACTATGTGTGGAGAAAAATGTCGTCTACTTTAGTCGCGGGAAAGAATGACCCTATATATGACTACTTGAGGAGATCTTGCGAAAAAGAAGCCAATATTCCTGCCTCTCGATTGGCGTTGTACACACTAGGTCAAACGGTGCTTAAAGACGAAGAGGGTAATCTAACAAAGGTTCTTGAAGAGGGTTTCGAGCTTGAACTCAATCGAGACTGTTCAATGTGCATGGAATCTAAGGGTGCTTGTGGATATAATAAGACTTCAAGAGGTTTCGTCTGCTACTGTAATGATGGGACGCAGGGAAATGATTGTGTCTCCGGAAAGACAAGTCATGGTAAACCATATTGTATTCTTTGAGTTACGTTTGTTCTTTACTTTTCTTCTGCTTTGAGATCAAGTTTGGTATCTAACTAACAAATTTTACTTGTTCAATTGTTTTACAGGGTTGTTATTCAAAGCAATTCGCATAGGTTAGTTTCCTTGCCATAGAGATTTAAATTCAGTTCCGAGATTAGAAAATAAGCTAATATTATTTTATTTTATTTTTTAACTCAAAAATATTTTATGTGTGTTTTCTAGTTCCGGGTTCAGTAGCAGGCGTGATTGCGTTCCTGGTCTTATTACTATTGTTTCTACGTTTTATCCGCAAGAGAAAAACACGACTAAAGCAACAGAACCTGAGGGCCCTTATTCCACTCAAACACTATACTTATGCACAAGTGAAAAGAATGACAAAGTCATTTGCAGAAGTGGTTGGGAGAGGCGGATTTGGAATTGTTTACAGAGGAAACCTTTGTGATGGCTGTATGGTTGCAGTAAAAGTCTTGAAAGACTCAAAAGGTAATGGTGAAGACTTCACAAATGAAGTTGCCAGCATGAGCCAAACCTCTCATCTCAACATTGTTTCCTTGCTTGGATTCTGCTCTGAAGGTTCCAAAAGAGCAATCATATATGAATTTATGGAAAACGGGTCACTTGATTAGTTCATATCAGGGAAGACCACAGTGAAACTGGATTGGATGGCACTGTATGGGATTGCGCTAGGCGTTGCTCGAGGTCTAGAGTACTTGCACCATGGCTGCAAAACAAGAATTGTTCACTTCGACATAAAACCACAAAATGTACTATTAGATGACAATTTTTGCCCCAAAGTTTCGGATTTTGGCCTTGCTAAGCTTTGTGCGAAGAAAGAGAGCGCCTTGTCATTGATGGACACAAGAGGTACAGTAGGGTACATTGCACCAGAGATGATCTCTAGGGCTTATGGGAGCGTGTTTCACAAGTCAGATGTGTATAGCTATGGAATGTTGGTTCTGGAGATGATTGGTGCAAGAAAGAAAGAAAGTTTTGACCAAAACTCTGCATCAAATGCAAGCTCAATGTACTTTCCGGACTGGATCTACAAAGATCTTGAAAAGGAAGACAGTGGAAGACTTATTACCAATGACAGAATCAGCAGGAACGAAGAAGAGGAGACATTAAAGAAGATGACATTGGTGGGTCTGTGGTGTATTCAGTCTTCCCCATCAAACCGCCCACCGATGAACAGAGTGGTGGAGATGATGGAAGGAAGTCTTGAATCTCTTGAAGTGCCTCCGAAGCCTGTCTTGCAGAAAATTTCAACAGCGACGCTTTCTGAATCTTTTTGGATTTCTGAGGAGAGTTCAACCGCTTCTGAGGTATGATATGTGTATTCTCTACCAATTTAAAGGTGGAACCTTCAAGTATTTGAAAAGAAAATCGCCGAGGAAGCCAATACTCTAGAGGAGACATTGTAAACAATTATGTATGTAAATTTTATTTTCATAACAAATAGAACACATGTATGCAAGAACACAATTCAAAACTTGCTATGTAATTTCATGGCAGTGATACAAACAAAAACGTAGTATGTTTATTAATAGAAACCTTTCAACACACGCAACAAAAATTCCAAACTATTATGAATAGTTTAAACGATCGGATAATCTTTTGAGAAAACAGAATTTGAAAATATTGACTTGAAGTAGTCACTACTAAATATTTATAATAAGTTTAACACTTTGATTGTGCTTAATGGATACGGTATGAATTTCATATTGAAATGTATGTAGGAAGAAGACCAAGCTTATCATTAACCTGGTAAAAACACATAATCAAGTTTGTTGATCACTGTTCAATGAAGACCACTTCTTTCATCTCCACATTTGGCGTCCAGTTTTTTTCTTGGCCAACCTACACTACAAGGCATGCCGTCTGCCTCTGAGATGTGGTACTGGTCCACGTCCGACGCTGTTGCCAAACACCTCTTATCCTTTCTGGGGAGTAAGAATGTTTCAACTAATGCGGCCAAACAGAGTTTCAACTCTCTTGCAAGAACAACCAAATCTCTGACCTATATATCCCAAAAACCTTTCTCTTCGAGTAGTGTATTTTGTTGTAGAGACTTTATTCGAGAGTGGGTGTCCATATCTGACTATGAAATTCACCGGCTGGCCCTGAGTGGGATAAGCGGTCGAGTAAGACATCCAATTAACGGAGGCATATTTTTGTTAAAAAAATTCTTAAAAGGTATATGTATCATATATAATGTTTTAACAAGGGTATATTTTATTTACTTAAAAAAAAATTAAATGGATATATATACTACTAGGGGTGACCCGCGCTTCGCGCGGGAATTGAAATTGTTGTGTTGATTTTATTATTTTTCATAAATTTAATTTAATTCTATGATTTATTATTATTTTAAAAATGTCATACACATATTAATCAAATATAATTAGGGTTACTCAAAAATTTCCGAAAATTAAATATAATTAAGTTTACGCAAAAATTTTGAACCATCATTTCTCATTCCTCCCATTTTGTTCCTTTTATCATGTCCGTTCTTTCCCGTCCCATTCGCCATGTCCGTATCGTCACGTGCAATCCCATCATGTCTGAGACTGTTCCATCCCGTTTTGTCCAGTCTCATCCCGTTCTTTCCGTTTTTTTCCGTCATGTCCCTAAATATAATTAGGGATATGCTAAATTCACTTTTTTCCGTTCCATTATGTTTCTTTTCATCCCGTCCTTTCCGTCATATCCATCCCGTCTAGTCCCTCATTATGTTTTTTCCTGTCTTGTCTTGTCCCATCTTGGTCTTTTTGTTTCTTCTTGTCCCGTCTCTAAATATAATAAGAGGTAGGCAAAATTTACCTCCTATCCCGTTCTATTTCCCATCTCGTTCCTCCCTGTCCTATTTCCCTCCCCGTTCCTCCTCGTTCTGTTTTTTCCCGTCTCGTATTGCCCCATCCCTTTCTTCCCGTCTCGTTCTGCCTTGTCGGGTATAATTTTGGCCTCGTTATGTCCCGTCCTGTTTATTCCTTCTCGTTTCCGCCTTGTCCCATTTTGCACCGTCTCATTCATTCTCATCTCATTTTTCCTCATCATGTACATTTCCTTTCCGTCTCGTTCCTCCCCGTCCTATTCATTCACATACCGTTTTGCCTTGTCTCGTTCATTTCTTTCCATTCTGCCTTATCTTGTTTCTTCATGTCTTGTTCCACCATGTCCCTTTCTTTTCTATCCCATTTTGCCTCGTCAAATTCATTTTCGACTCGTCTTGTTTCTTCCCGTCTCGTTATCATACAGTTTTGCGTCATTCCGTTCATTTTTTATTATTATTATTATTGTTAAATTATTAAAATCTATTTGATAAAACTAAAATTATTAAATTAGAATTTATTTAGATCAATATATAAAATATTTTCTTATACAAAATGACTTTTCAAATTCTATTATGATTAAGTGATAGATGTAATAAATTATTAGTCTTAAAAGAGAATTGGAAGAGCATTGTTTAAAAGAGAGTTTGCTGACGTGGCGCTCCCAGAAGAGACCCCAACTGTGTTTTATATATATAGATGTACAAAATAGTTTAATGAATGATTTTGCATGTCATAATCCAAGGAGAACTATATATTTAAGCCCTAAGAAATCAGTGTTTTTTAAATATTTTTGCAAACTATTTACAAATTGAGAATCGTTTATTTAGAACTGGTTTATTTTATGAAGTTTAAAGGGTTTTTCTTATGTTTTTACTGTTTTGTGATCTTGGAAAAAAAATTGAAAGACATACTTTTTAGATTCGAGTAGGGTATTTAAATTCATTCACTCGCGACATGTCCCTCTCATATTATTATTGCTCTTTTGGAACCTTCATAACAAAATCCGAGAAGGGTCATAATGTTGACATGACATGTTTTGCTCATACTCGCAAGTTTATTAATAAAGTCTTCACCACTACTACGCTTAGTGTCTTTCAAGACCTTCACTGCAACCTTGCTGCCATCACCAAGGTTTCCGCTATAGACAATCCCAAATTCTCCTTTCCCATCATGTGTGAATGACTTTGTGATTTTCTTTACTTGTGCATAACTATATTGTTTCAGTGGTATAAGTGCTTCAAGGTTTTGATCTTTCTGACAAAATGTTTTCACCTTCCATAGACTTAGTGTTATGATGACAATTCCAAATCCTGCTAACATTGCACCTAAACAAACAAGAAACCTAGTGAGTTGCGAACTCTCTGCATGTCAACCAAGATCAACACCCTTTGAGTATCTCTGACAAGGAAACTAACCCATGGCAATCTTAATGCGCCAGTTGATGCCAATTTCATCTATGACAAAAATTATGAGGATCATTAGTTTGATACAAATTTTATTTCTCGTCACATGGAAAGACAAGACAAGTTTTGTACATACTTTTGTGGCACGTTTTGTGGTGAGCTCCATAAACAGAGCTTAGCACCGGAACAGCTCCAACCTTTGTGTGTTCCCCGTCTCTTATAGTGTCCGATGGTTGAAAGGTGTAATAGGTTACCGAACTCTTGTTGCTTCCTTCGCAAGTAAACAAAGAGGGTTCCACTGTCAACCGATAATCTGGACAATTGAATAGATCGGTGTTCTCACCCGTAAGATCTAGCTTAAAACTGATTTCCCCCGGAGAAGTTTAGAGTATCTGGGCACTTTCCCAAGAATAAACTCTCTTCAGCAACTGTTATAGTTTGGCTCTTCAAATCAAAAGAGTTGGCTTGAAGAGAAAGGTTTCCGAGTTCTAGGGTTAGGTAATTGTCGTTCTTGCAAGAAAGTTGGAATTCTCTTAGGCCACAAAAACTGGGTTTACCGATGGCGTCTCCCCAGAAAGGATATGTGACGTTTGGCAACACCATCGGACCAAGACCACATCTAAGAGGCAGACGGAGACACTCCTCATACAAGCACGACGGTAACGCCGCTACAAAAACTGTGAGTCTGTGACGGCCAAAGCGAAGAAGGAAGAAGTCGTCTTCATGACCAAGAAACACGATTATGTGTTCACCAAGTTAATGAGAAGCTTGTTCTTACTTTTAAAAACCTAAATTTCGAGATATATATATCTTTTCTTTCTTTTCTGTATTTGTTAGAAAAAAACTCAATAAACTAATTCATTCAACGGATTGTAAACCTTACACCATTGGCACAGCAACAGTTATAATGAGACAATCGTCAATATTTTCTCCAATTTCAATTAGTTATAGAATGAAATTCATATACCAACTATTTCAGTAATCACAAATATTGTTAGTTTGTTACTGTATTTTAATAGATGAGCAAAAAAAGAAAATTATACCAACTATTTAATAAGGCAGTGGACAATACAGAGAGTCGCGAGCATTTTTAATCAAGTGGCTTTATTAGTTGACTAGAAAGACTCCTCTCTTCGTTAAGTTATTTTCAAGCCAAAAGACAAAAATGAGATAGAGAAACATTGATCATTTCGTTTTCTAATCAATTTTTTACTAGAAAAAAAAAATATATATGGAGTTATATGCTATCATGGAAATTTATGGAGGCCTATAAATTTCTAGAAATGTAAATGTATTTCTATCTTCTTTATGGAATAACATTTACAACTACACCAAATGCAGTTTGCTCACAAACTAAAAGCTTGCCATTTTCAGTTTATGAATCACATCATACCTCAAAGGGGCTCAATATCTCCTCTGAAATCCAAGAAGATTCAGGAAGAATAACTGCTGGAATATGCTGCAAAACAGGTTTAGGAGGGACGTCAAGAGAATCTGTGCTTCCTTCCATCATCTCCACAACTCTGTTCATTGGTGGGCTGTCTGATGGGGAAGACTGAATACACCACAAACCCACCAATTTCATCTTCCTCACTAGGTCTTCTTCTTCGCTCTTGATACCATTCTCGATAATCCTTTTATTGTATCCCTTCTCAAGATCCTTATAGATCCATTCAGGAAAGTACATTGAGCTTGTGTTTGACGTAGAGTCATTTGCATCTGTTTGGTTCCTTCCTCCTATCATCTCAAGAACCAACATTCCATAGCTATACACATATGACTTGTGGACTTGTGGGAGACTCTACCGTACATTCTTGAAAACACTTCTGGTGCAATGTACCTTATCGCTCCTCTTGTATCCAATAGTGATGTTGATGTGCCTTGAATCTGACTATGTATGCATACTGTTTGAGTAGGCAGTGATGCGTACATACAGTCTGTGTGATGCTACACACTGAAGCTGCAGTCTGCGTGATGTTACAAGTTGGAATTTACGTAACACTGTAGAGAAGGCGCATACGGGCCGCACAGTGGTTAGTTAAAAATGTCTACATGGGCTTCAGTGTGATGTCTACATGGGCATCAATGTGCAAGCCCAACTCACATACTATTAGGGTTTCTAGGTCTTTCTTATAAGTAACCTTGTTATCCGAATGTTGATGTATCCTGAAACTTTCTGCCTCCATCAATAATTCAGTCTCCTTTGCCCGTGGATGTAGCCAACACATCGTTGGTGAACCACTTTAATTCTGTGTCGTGTTCTTTACTTTTACTGTTTCTTCTCTCATCCGTTATAACAAGTGACAATACGCTTTCTTTGGCGAGGCCAAAGTCGAAAACCTTGTGGGAAAGCTTGTCATCTAGTAGGACATTTTGTGGTTTTATATCGAAATGCACAATCCTTTCTTTGGACCCATTGTGTAAGTACTCTTGGCCTCGATCAACCCCTAGTGCGATCCCATACAGGGAAATCCAGTCAAGATCTGATGACTTTTTGGCTAGCGATAAACTTATCAAGAGACCCATTTTCCGAAAATTCATATATAACAAAAAGGGTATACATGGGCATCAATGTTGACATGAGATGTTTTGCTCATACTCACAACTTTATTAATAAAGTTTTCCCCATTTCCTTTTGTATCTTTCAAGACATTGACTGCAACATTGCAGCCATCACAAAGATTTCCTCTATAGACACTCCCAAATCATCCCCCTAGAATTTCATGAGTGAACGTGTAACATCCCAATTTGTGGTGTATGTGGAGATGTTTAAGTGAATTGGTTTTACTACCTATGTCACCAAAGTGATCAACAAACTAGATTATGTGTTTACCAGGTCAACGATAAGCTTGGTCTTTCTTGCTTCCTACATTTCAATATGAAACTCATACCGTATTCATTAGGCTCAATCGAAGAGTAGAATATTGACGTATTCAAGTTAGTGACAAAACAAAAAAAAAGACTTATTCAAGTCAATATATTCAAATTCTGTTTTCTCAAAAAACTCTCCGACCGTTTTAACTATTCATAGGTTCAAAATTTTGTTCCGTGTGTTGAAAGGTTTCTATTAACAAACATACTTCGTTTTTTTATCACTGCCATGAAATTACATTGCAAGTTTTAAATTGTGTTCTAGCATACATGTGTTCCATTTGTTATGAAAATAAAATTTACATATATACAAAATTGTTTACAATGTCTCCTCTAGAATACTGACTTCCTCGGCGATTTTCTTTTCAAATACTTGAAGGTTCCAGCTTTAAATTTGTAGATAATATACATATCATACCTCAGAAGCGGCTAAACTCTCCTCAGAAATCCAAAAAGATTTAGAAAGCGGCGCTGTTGGAATTTGCTGCAAGACCGGCCTTGGAGGCACTTCAAGAGCTTCAAGACTTCCTTCCATCATCTCCACCACTCTGTTCATTGGTGGGCGGTTTGATGGGGAAGACTGAATACACCACAGACCCACCAGTGTCATCTTCTTTAATGTCTCATCTTCTTCGTTGCTGCTGATTCCATCATTGGTAATAAGTCTTCCACTGTCTTCCTTTTCAAGATCTTTGTAGATCCAGTCCGGAAAGTACATTGAGCTTGCATTTGATGCAGAGTTTTGGTCAAAACTTTCTTTCTTTCTTGCACCAATCATCTCCAGAACCAACATTCCATAGCTATACACATCTGACTTGTGAGACACGCTCCCATAAGCCCTAGAGATCATCTCTGGTGCAATGTACCCTACTGTACCTCTTGTCTTGTGTCCATCAATGACAAGGCGCTCTCTTTCTTCGCACAAAGCTTAGCAAGGCCAAAGTCCGAAACCTTGGGGCAAAATGTTTCATCTAAGAGTACATTATGTGGTTTTATGTCGAAGTGAACAATTCTTCTTTTGCAGCCATGGTGCAAGTACTCTAGACCACGAGCAACTCCTAGTGCAATTCCATACACTGCCATCCAATCCAGTTTCACTGTGGTCTTCCCTGATAAGAACTTATCAAGTGACCCATTTTCCAAAAATTCATATATAATTGCTCTTTTGGAACCTTCAGAGCAGAATCCAAGCAAGGAAACAATGTTGAGATGAGAGGTTTGGCTCATGCTGGCAACTTCATTGGTGAAGTCTTCACCATTACCCTTTGAATCTTTCAAGACCTTCACTGCAACCATATGGCCATCAGACAGGGTTCCTTTATAAACAATTCCAAATCCGCCTCTCCCAACCACTTCCACAAATGACTTTGTCATTCTTTTCACTTGTGCATAACTGCGTGGATTCAGGTTCTTTCGCTTTAGTCATGGAATCATGGAATCATGAGAGAGCGAGAGAGAGAAAAAGAGAGAAAGAGAGAGAGGTAAATCATGGAATCAAACTTTCAGTGGAAATGAAAGGGACTTGTCCATAAACCTATACCGTACCATCTCTTAGAGCATGATCAAAAGGAGAAGGGGTTTTTACCAATATTTTAATTATAATTTTAGCTAAGAACCCTCTATTTGATTAAAGGTTTTTGTCCTCCAATGGTAAAACTAAAACCTGATAAATGGTTGTTAATGAAATAAAAATTAAGAGAAGAAAGATAATAATATGAGAAGAGAGAAGTGTTAACACACGTATATAGTAGTTGTCACAATCACAATACAATGACAATACCACATTTGTCTTGAGAAACCAACAAAACAATTGGAGGAAAAACTAAAAAAGATGGACCAAAGCTAACGATAAATTAAAAAAAAATAATCCTAAAAATATCTCAAAGCAAGTTACTGTGTTTTCACAAGTGACACAACACGTCTTTCTGTCTCACATGGTGCAAACATGAATACAAAAGTCTTTGTCACTTTTGGTGTTTGTTTGTGCCGACATGAATACCTCCGAAAAATCACCTGCACACACAGAAAACACATTAAATATTCATTGATGATCATCACCTTGACCTTTTAGTACATACGAAAACACATAAGATGCCTCATGAAAATATAATTGATGATCATCACGTTGGTATCAATATCATGCGGTTTCATTTCAAAGCAAACTATGGAATGATAAAGTTACATATATCTATCTACCTACTTATGTTATTATTCCAATCAATCTGAAGTCAAGAAAAAAATAAAGGCAAAGACAGACACCAAACAAAATTTTACAACAGCAGCCACTTAAAACAGAAATATAAGTAGTTACCTCAGGTAATTTGTTTATAGGACCTCAGACGCTGCATCAACTCCAGCTACTTCTTCTTGCCAAGCGATGTCCTACACCACAAATTAATTCTTATAAATCGCCAAAAAAATATCAGAATCACTCTGTATACAGAAATTCATGTGTAGTAAAAGATCACCATACATCAGGAGAACTTTCCAGCATGAACATGCATACATCAGGAAAAGATTCCGGCATGAAAATTCATGTGTAGTAAAAGATCATTCATCACTTAAAACAGCCACACCACCTGGTTGTTGACAGCCAATTAGATACAAATAACCAGCCTCCCGCCTGAACGTATATGTAACAATGTCAGTCATCATCGTTTTTATTCGGAAAATAGATCATAGTTTTAAAGGGCAATTCTCACATCTACCATCAAAATGTTTTTTAATTTCTCTCATAGCATCGCTAGTTTTTTTTCATCTCATACCATTTTTTCCGTTAATAAAAATAACTTTAAATCATCAAAACCAAACCCTAAACCATCAAAACTAACCCCAAACTTTCAAAACTAAACCCTAAATACTAAACCATAAACAATAAATTCTAAACCCAAACCCAAATATTTAAATTATAAACCAGTATAAAAATGGTATGAGAGGGAAAAAAAACTAATGATGCTATGAGAAGATAATTAAAAAAACATTTTCATGCTATATGATGGATTTTCTCTTTCTAAAATTGTCCATATTGGAGAAGTGCCCAAAATATTATGGTTGGGAGTCTTGGGACTGTTAAGATTTGACTGAGCCATACACTGATATTTCTACGAGGGTAGAGAGGAGATGAGATCAAGGGTGGTTGATTACATAAGAGAGGCAAAAACAGAGAGGATAAAAGAGAGAGCGAGTTGAGTTTGTCTGCTAGGTTCTTGTGCACAGGTTGATGAGGTTCTGACGGCCGACTTTGGGGATTTTTGTACAACTGGAGGTAGTGGTGGCTCAAAGACATCAGCATCTGTGATAACCAATCTTGGAGCTTCGGCTGGAGGTAAGGACGTAGGGCTGATATTTTTTAAGAGACCACCGGTTTTGACAGGGGTCATGTAAGGTGGAGTTTGTTTTTGGCCCAAACATCGATTCCCTACAGAAGAGAAACAAAGGTTAGGCATTGATGTGTGTGAGACATTCGTTTCAAATTTTGGGCGACTTACTTTTGTATCTTGCAGCTGTAAAAGGGAACTCGGTAATGGTTCCATTGATACCGATTCCAGTGATATATGAGTTGATCTCAATGGTTGCATCAGAAAAGAAGTCATATGGTTGAGATGCAAACTCATTCTGAAATAGTTCCACATAAACCGAAAGACGAGACTTCTGCAGCCTCTCCACAACATTGGTTTTCCGAGTAACAAACCTATCAGCTTCAGGAAAAACAGATTGTTTTTGGATGACGACAGCGTCAGCGAATTTCTTTATGTATTCAATACCGGAGTCCTGAATATCGCGAACCGTTTCTTGAATTTTGTATACAGTCTGGTACTGGTTTTGCTTCTTGAAATCAACTAGAACCGAGCTGTTGGTTGATTGTATCATGACTTTTGTATTGGTTGTTCCATTGCGGTAACCAGTTTCTGCGAGTGTATCCAGAACCGCTTTAATTACATCGAGCCCTTGCTTCTCTCTCAGGTACATTGCATTCTAAAGAACACAAAACAGTTAGTGGTTTGGCCATTTGCCGGCTCAAAAAGTCTATGTGCAAAGTTAAAAAATAGGCTCTTAACATATACTCCATCTGCTTATCCAGATATGAAAACACATCCAGATATATCCAAAAAAATTGCAGATACATTATGCCAAAACTACTTATAATATGGGACAGAGGGATTAATTTTTTGTAATATATAACCATGTAACTAGTACCAAAATATTAAAAATAACATTTATCAAAGATAAACACCAAACAAAAGTACTTTGCGTTTGTGAACCATAAGAAAAAGTTTTGGAGTTATGGTTCTAAAAAACAAAGTTACACACATATAAAGAGAAAACAGAGTTCTTCGTTCATCCTTCCTTTTTCCTAGCATTTTTCTTAGAAACTGAAGAGACAAGACTATTGGCCAAGAGGAAATATAAAACAATTTTGAAAAAAAATAATAATAATAATTATTTCTGTTTTTAGGCTTCTATCTAAAATTTCGTTCTATTTATAGGCCCATTTTGTGTCACAAAACAACAAACTTTCTATAGCTAAACTAAAAATAAATAAATAAAATAATAATTATGGGCCCTATATCTACGGGTCTCGGTGCGTTGCACCGATTGGCCCACATACTAAGCCGGCACTGATGTAACAGTGATTGATAAAATCTTAAGATTTTACGTGGTAGTACTCGAACTGACCTCTATACTGACCATAACGCTGGAAAGAGAAGTAGACTCCTTTGCCAAATTGAGGAATTCAGAAAGCAAAATAAGCTTCCCAGAATTTTTTTCATTAGGATTTCTTAACGGATAATCAGTGTAGGGGCTTATAATTTCAGCTGCGCAAACAAATAGGAGAATAGTGATTTTCAACTCGTAAGTTTGGAGAATTAAAAATTGTTAAGAAAACATATAAATTGTCATTTATACTTACTCTCTTAAGGTTAAGTAGGAGTAGAAACAAAATCTCTATTTAGGCTAGTTACTATAAATAGTAGGAACAAGAGTTTATAAAAGCCAAGTGGAAAATTTGAAGAGAAACTTACGAGTCAAGTTCCGAATCTCAGACCATGTGAGACTAAAAGTGTATATTCTAGCAACAGAGCTAATCTCAGGGATAGTTACTGAACGGTCTCTAAGAGGAGTTTGGGCGACCGTTGTGGTGCCTTCGAGGTCTATCGAACTTGAGCAGAAGGGTTTACCGTCGCTGGACATTTGCACTGAGCAATCGATAACATCGGCACCATCTTTGATTGCCTTCTCATACGCCAGGTTTGTACATCCAGGATAGTCCGCACTCGCACCATTTTTTGATATAACAAGAAAATCCACTGAGACATGAACCATTTGGTAAATGAAAAAAAAGTCAATTCCTATTAGTAAGAACAGAAGAAGAAGAAAATGCAAATTAACTCTTATTACCTTGTTTTGTAGCGTTACTGCCAATGTGGGAGAAGCAGTCTGAGCAAAATTTGAAAAGCAAACGTTTGATTTTTTAGTATTTTCAGCAATGTTTTAAGGAGAAAGAAGAGATGTTGCTTACCAACAGATGCAGATGCAGTAATGGGAAAAGCAGAGAGCACACCATCAACAGAGAAATCACCATTGTCTATAAAAGATAAATACTCAGACACTGGGTCAAAACTGTAGTTATATGCAATATCAACATCATTTGCAAAGCCCAACACATATACTTTTAATCCTGCTTTGTGAGCATCTTGAGCTAAGGATGTAGGAGGAAGCAAGTACTGATTGTCATCAAGTGGTAATATGTAAGACTTGGGGACAAGAATCCCTGAAGCAAACATCTTGACAAAAGTTAAGTTACGCAAGATAGAACCGTAGGTTTGGTTTGTTGTCGGCTCGATTTCTTCTTTCTCAAGAAACTGGAACACGAAACTTGGTCCAGCATGCCCGAAATGGCCAGCAATTTTCCTAAAGAAATTCATCTCAGGGGAAGAGATGTAGTCAATGGAAACAATTCTTGAAGTTGATATCAAAAAACTGCTCATGTTCAGATTCTGCTGCGCGTAGAAAGCGTCATGCTGAACATTTAACCAAAAACCATCTGGTTTCAGCATGGTGGCTACCTTTTGAACCACCGAAATCTCAACATTTCCATTAAACATGTCTGACCGAGTCCATATGCCTGGGTTCACTAAAACAGGTGAAAACAAAAAGAAAAGACATATTTGTGAGAAATTACAAGAAAAACCTTCAAATCGTTTTTTCACATAACAAGTATCAAGAAGTGTCTTTTTTTAGTGAGTCATTAATACTTACAAGAAATTTCCTTGACATCTCTCAGTGTGAAATCAATGGTGAACCAACCCTGAGTAGGGATTCCATTAACCGGGTAAATTTTTTGGCGTTTTGGGTAAACACTTTCAACATTTGAACCGTTGCTCATTGTTAAATCAGGGAAGCAAATGCCTTGGCCATCTTTGGTTAACTGAACATCACACCATAGAACAACACCAGCTGCACTTGTCCGCATTGCAAAAGTATAAGCATCAATACTCGAATCAGGAAACAATCCAGAAAACCCACCACGAGCAATCACAAGAGGAGCATCACCTTAAATCAAGAAAAAAAACAAAGTAAAAGAACATAAGAATCAAGAAGTGATTTTACTAAAAGAAGACATGGGACTTCTATATTTCCCCAAACGAAAAAAAAACTTTTCACAATTGTTATTCTGAATATTAAGATCCTCAAATGGTGAAATCAAAGTGAAATAAACTATCTATGATGATATTCCAACCTCGTCTACTACACATATGGATAAATTACTACCTTCTCTCGTTTTTCTCATATTTTCTGGGAAAATCATGTGTAAAGAAAGAAACACATAATGCAATAGTACTCTCACCACTGAGAGTCTGCCATGGACTTTTAGGTCTTTGAGAATGAATTTGAGCAGCAAACAGCTGAATAAGAACAACACCACAGAGTAAAACCGTCGAAGCTCGCATTGTCGGATTACCTCTCCGGCAGTTCATTGGTTCTTCTTCCTTCTTGAAGACCGAGTTAGATTCGAGACAATCTTCAATATTTTCTCTAATTTCAACTCTAAGACATTAGTTATAGAATGATGTTCAGCTTTTTGTGGGTGAAAATTCATATACTAACTATTTCAGCAATCACAAATATTGTTACTTGATAAAGTAATAATCACTATAAGATAATAAATTTCTCGGGCCAATGTAAAAATAAGCAAAATGATAAGATAATAATATATTGAAACTCTTATATAAAAATATGGTCACAGTTATAAGTTAACCTAATAATTATATAAAAATATACATTTTATATGCTTAAGAAAATTATTAAACTATAAAGTTAAGCTTATCTCTAACTTTTTATTATATAAAAAACTCATAATGCAATTCTTCTATGCATGTAATTTCTTTAAATATGTTATAAACACATTATTTTCAACTTCATTAGTAGCTAAAAAAAATTCAAATTTTTTTAATTTTTATCATGTATAAAAATTTATATAAACTAATAATATACTCCCTTCATTTCAAATTAGTTGTCGTTTTGACAAAATGTATCTGCAATTATTTGGATGTATTAAACTCAAAATACATCCAGATACATCCAAATAATTAATAATTGCAGATACATTTTGTCAAAACGACAACTAATTTGAAACGGAGGGAATATGATTTATTACGATATCCAACAGATTTAGATTATAATTTCAAGTTTATGTATGTCATATTAATAGATAAATTATTTTAAATTCTTAATACACTATCATAAGGAGAATAATTTCGAAGATTATCAATTAAACAAATTTTTTTATAAATTAATAAATATTGAATTTATTCATAAAGTGATACCTTTATAAGATAATAAATTTTCAAAGTCCCAACATTATTAATTTATAGAGGTTTTACATTTTAAATTTTTAATAGATGAGAAAACAAAATTGTACCAAGCCTTTTGTTTGTTTGTTGGCAGTAAGATGCTGAAATGCTATTCATTTGTTACCAAAAAAATAAAATTAAGATGCACCATTTGGATGCAAAATCAATAATATCACCAATATCTAGATGTTTTGAATGTCAAAAAAAATAGAGTTTGGATGCAACATTGTATCTCAAAACAAAAAGACTAAAACATCAAAATTATAAAATCATGGTTTTCCGCTAAAATCGTAAAATTACGTTTTTCCGCCAAAACCATAGAATCACGTTTTTCTACCAAACTATAAAATTGCCTTTTTCCGCAAAAATCGCAAATTCGCGTCTTTCCACCAAAACCGTAAAATTATGTTTTCCCACCAAAACCGTAAAATCAAGTTTTCCCACCAAAACCGTAAAATAGCGTATTTCCACCAAAAGGTCCAAAACAGTAAAATCAGATTTTTCCACCAAAACCGTAAAATCACGTTTTCCACCATACCGTAATATCGTGTTTTTCACCAAAAATTTAAGTCACAGTTTCTGCCAAAATCGTAAGATGTGTCTTTTGCCGAAACCGTAAATCTCGTTTTTGGTAAAACCGTAAAATCGGCTTTTCTTGCCAAAATCGTAAAATAACATTTTATGCCAAAATAGGTTTCACAAAAATAGTAAAATCGTGTTTTTCACCAATATTGTAAATTCCGAGTTTTCTCGCGAAATGTATATTTTTATTTTTATTTTTAAAGTTCTTTATTATATAAGTAATGTAAGTATAAATAAAGATTTGAATTTATAAACATATTTTTTATCAATTGATATATTTTGCATATAGAGTTTTTAACAAATTAACCAACAAACAATTTTACATCCAAATGCAACTTTTAAATGCAAAAGCTGATTTTAAAATGAACAATATCTAAATCCCAGATGCTGTATCTGGATATGGCATTGGACAAATACAGAAAGACGCACGAGCTTTTTTATCAACTGGCTTTTATTAGTTGACTTGATCGACTCTCTCTTTGTTAAGTTATTTTTAAGTAAAAACACAAAAGTTACAGAGAAATATTGGTCATTTCCTTTTCTAATCAAATGGCTTTATTAGTTTTTTTGGTTACCATCGTTAAAATATTTTGTTGAAACTTTCTCTGTTTCATATTAAATGTTATTTTGATACTTTTCACATAAATTAAGAAAATATTTCAATATTCAATATTATCCATGTTTGACTCTTAAAATTTTATAGTGATCGATTAATGTTTTTATTTAATTAGGAATTAATAGATAAAGTAATGAAAAAAGTGCATTGAAATCAGAAAATGATATTTATTTTGTAACAAAAAAATTCTTCTAAAATGACATTTACTATGAAACAGAGAGAGTATAATCAAATTCCTCAGAAGTTTCTAGGAGGCAAAACATGGGAACAAAAATCTTCAATGGAAACAAAAAAAATAATAATAAAATTGTTGAATTTTTAAGTCCGACATGTCCCCTCTCATATATAATTGCTCTTTTGGAACCTTCATAACAAAATCCAAGAAGGGTCACAGTATTGACATGAGATGTTTTGCTCATACTCGCAACTTTATTAATAAAGTCTTCACCACTATTACGCTTAGTGTCTTTCAAGACCTTCGCTGCAACCTTGCGGCCATCACCAAGGTTTCCGCTATATACAATCCCAAATTCTCCTTTCCCATCATGTGAGAATGACTTTGTGATTTTCTTGACATGTGCATAACTATATCCTTTCAGTGGTATAAGTGCTTCAAAGTTTTGATCTTTCTGACAAAAATGTTCTCACCTTCCATAGACTTAGTGTTGTGATAACAATTCCAAATCCTGCTAACATTGCACCTAAACAAACAAGAAACCTAGTGAGTTGCGAACTCTCTACATGTCAACCAAGATCAACACACTTTGAGTATCTCAGACAAGGAAACTATGTAAGCATACTTTTACATGAACCCTAAGACCTTCAAACATCCAGAGTAATCACATGATAGAATCATAAGAGTTTATAGATGACTTACCTCCAGCCATTGTAGAGAAGAGATGGAGTTATTGAATTTGAGATAGGTGATTAGGTTTCTCTCCCCTTGCCTATGAACTTTATGTGTCTCTTTTAGGATGCCTTTACAATGGACTAAAGGCATTAATATATAGGTGGAGAGAGGACCTAATTCCTCTTTAGGGTTTTCTTAGAATTAATCTCAACCGTCCATCAAAGTAGAGATAAAAAGGAAATACTCCATTATATTTAAGTTAATTAATTACCCAATATGTTATGGAATAGCAATAGCCCAATAGGAAAACAGATTAATATAAGACCATATAATAGGAAGATAAATTTATCTTACAAACTAACCCATGACAATCTTTCTTTATGCGCCAGTTGATGCCAACTTCATCTATAATAAAATGATTAGGATCATTAGTTTGATATGAATTTTATTTCTCGTCACATGGAAAAAGACAAGAGAAGTCTTGTACATACTTTTGTGGCACGTATTGTGGTGACTGGTGAGGTTTCTCTTGGCAAAGACACCGGAAAGTCGCAGAACCTGAAACTGAACCGCAGATACCGCCAGATATTAAACAATCTAGGCATGAATCACTGGCTCCGATGGTGTAACTTAAACTGAATCCTTTTTTCAGAGCTTCAAGCAATCTTAGCTATTCTTGTATAAGATCTCCATAAACAGAGCTTAGCACCGGAACAGCTCCAACCTTTGTGCATTCCCCGTCTCCAAAAGTTTCCGGTGGTCCAAAAGCTCCAACCTGAGGTAACTACATATGTTTCTGATTTAAGTAGCTGCTGTTGTAAATATTTGTTTGGTGTCTGTCTGTCTCTACATTGCACTTGTTCTTTATATTAGAGAATACATAAAGCCCAAGATTACAAGCCCATTAGCCCATGTGTCTAGGGTTTCTTACAAGTGCATTAGTATAAATATTGTTCTTATGTTATTGTGTTATGTAACTTTGAGAGTTGTTCATAGCAACTCTCCTCCTCTTTAATCTCTTATGATATAAACGAAATCATTAGACTCTTGGTGACAATCTAAAGTTTATTCGTTCTTCTTTACATTTGCATTAGAACAATAAAGCTCATTCATGAGCTACTTCTATTTCATCTCAATAAAGCTCATTTGAGCATGTTTTGCATTTCCTTAGACTTTATGCTATATTTCGATTATTCAAATAGACATAGCCTATTTATTTGCCTTTATTTCTATCTTGACTTCAGATCAGATTGTTTGGAATAATAACATAAGTAGGTAGATATAGGTATGTAACATTATCATTCCATAGTTTGCTTTGCAATGAAACCGCATGATACTGATACCAATGTGATGATCATCAATGATATTTTCATGAGGCATCTTATGTGTTTTCGTATGTAATAAAAGGTCAAGGTGATGATCATCAATGAATATTTTCATATGTGTTTTCTGTGTGTGCAGGTGATTTTCGGAGGTATTCATGTCGGCACAAACAAACACCAAAAGTGATAAAGACTTTTGTACTCATGTTGCAACCATGTGAGACAGAAAGACGTGTTGTATACTTGTAGCACTTGTGAAAGCACAGTAACTTGCTTTGAGATATTTTTAGGATTATTTTTTTTAATTCATCTTGCGCTTTGGTCCATCTTTCTTTTGTTTTTCCTCCAATTGTTTTGTTGGTTTCTCAAGACAAATGTGGTCATATCATTGTATTGTGATTGTGACAACTACTGTTATTGAGATATGTAGAGATTAATTGGGTATAAGGCATTAATCTCTAGAGAGTGTGCAAGATAAGTCTTGCATGTGAAATTGGAAGAAACCTTGAACAATATATAAGGGACTGAAATTGGTTTTAGATTGGATGTCAAAGAATCTTAACATGGTATCAGAGTCTGGTCTGCACACTCTCGTTGACTCGGCTCAGAATGGGCCCAAACCCTCGACCCTAGGATTAATAGTCTGCATGGCCATAAGGCCTTAAATCTCTAGAGAGTGCAAGATAAGTCTCACAATAGATGCCAAGAAAACTTAACAACTATGTGTTAACACTTGTCTCTTCTCATATTAATATATTTCTTCTCTTAATTTTTTATTTTATTAACAACCATTTATGAGTTTTAGTTTTACCATTGGAGGACAAAAACCTTTAATCAAAGAGAGGGTTCTTCGCTAAAATTTATAATTAAAATATTGGTAAAAACTCCTTCAAGGGTTCTCCCTTTGATGATGCTCTAAGAGAAGGTACGGTATAGGTTTATGGACAAGTCCCTTTCATTTCCACTGAAAGTTTGATTCCATAATTTACCTCTCTCTCTATCCCTTTCTAGAAAAACTACTTCTTAACAAATCATGTACCAACAACCCACTTCTCGTCTGTTCTTGTTTTTCCTCTTTTCCTTATTCTACCATCTCCCTTGTGCTTCGAGTAAACAAGAACGTGGATGGTGTGAGGCTCTGTTCCAGTGTGGGGACATCGCCGCAAGTTTCCCCTTTTGGGGAGGAAATCGTCCCAAACCTTGCGGTCATGCGTCACTGGAGCTTCATTGCAACAGCAGAAACATCACCTCTTTAAACATCTCAGGCCTTGAGTACAACGTTTCCCATATAAATCAAACATCTGATAGTCTTAGTCTCAGACTTGCCAGAACAGACCTTCTAGGCTCTTTTTGCTCAGCTACATTCAAATCCACAACACTGCCTTCAGAGATCTCTGAGGTTTCCCCAATGTACAAGAGCCTCACCATTTTCCATCTTTGCAACCCTAGCCTTCATTACCTTTCGACTTATACATGTCCTGGAAGAGGTATTATCTCAGCGTATCAAAATCCTAAGTATCATAGCTCCTGCCAAGGAAGTTTCACCGTGAACGTTCCTACGACATTCTATCCAGAAGAAAAAGAGTTGAATTTGACTCATTTGGAAAGTGTTCTCAGAAAAGGATTTGAGGTGGCGGTCATAACTGATGATATACCATGTGAAGAATGTTCATCCTCTAGTAAGTTTCACTTTGTTACATTTTGTTCTTACTTACCAAACCAAAACTTATACCCTAATAAATATTTGTGTGATGTGATTCCATCAGCTTTTGAGCATTACAAACGGTGCAATCAACCATTTAGATGTGGCAATCGGGGCGGTCTCTTGTACCCTTTTTGGATACCTGGCAGACAAGACTGCGGCCATCCTGACTTCATGCTCGACTGTAGCAGAGGATTTGCAGAGCTAAGTATCTCCTCCGTGTTGTTCAGAATCTTACAGGCAAACTATAAGTCTGGTATCGTAAGATTCGCCAGCTTGGATTATATCAACAATCTTTGTGGCCGAAACCCATTAAATGTGCAATACATCCCGAGCGTCCTTCCATTTGCTCCGGACACGGACTTTCTAAAAATTCATGTTGGATGCCAAGACATGGGATATGCTCTTTCTTATTATAAAAATGGTTTTGACATTAGAAGGCTTGATTGTGGATCTAGTCTTGGTTATGATGTTAATGCAACAGAAAACTACTATGTGTGGAAAAACATGTCTTTTACTTTAGTCAATCTCAAGGATATTGACTCTGTATCTTCCTACTTCAGGGATAAGTGCGAAAAAGAAGTCAATATACCTGCCTCTGGATTGGCGTTCAACACACATGGTCAAGATAATCTAACAAAGGTTCTTGAAGAGGGTTTCGAGCTTCAACTTAATCGAGAGTGTTCAATTTGCATGAAATCTAAGGGTGCTTGTGGATATAATAAGTCTTCAAGAGGTTTCGTCTGCTACTGTAATGATGGGACGCATGGAAATGATTGTGTCTCTGGAAAGACAAGACATGGTAAACCATTGTCTTCTTTGAGGTTATTTTTCTTCTGCTTTGATGAGATCAAGTTTGGTTTCTAACTAAAACGATTTTTTACTTGTTCGATGGTTTTACAGGGTTTTTACTCAAAGCAACTCGCATAGGTTAGTTCCAACTGTTTTTGATTCTTTGATTAGAAATAGAAGCTATTAACTCAAAACATTTTTCTTCCTTTTTCTAGTTCCGGGATCAGTAGCAGGCGTGATTGTGATCTTGGTCTTATTACTATTGCTTCTCCGTTTTCTACGGAAGAGAGAAACACGACTGAGGTGGGCCCTTATTCCACTCAAACACTATTCTTATGCACAAGTGAAAAGAATGACAAAGTCATTTGCGGAAGTGGTTGGGAGAGGCGGATTTGGAATTGTTTATAAAGGAACCCTTTGTGATGGCCGTATGGTTGCAGTGAAGGTCTTGAAAGATTCAAAAGGTAATGGTGAAGACTTCACAAATGAAGTTGCCAGCATTAGCCAAACCTCTCATCTCAACATTGTTTCATTGCTTGGATTCTGCTCTCAAGGTTCCAAAAGAGCAATCATATATGAATTTTTGGAAAATGGGTCACTTGATAAGTTCTTATCAGGGAAGACGACAGTGAAACTGGATTGGATGGCACTGTATCGGATTGCTCTAGGAGTTGCTCGTGGTCTAGAGTACTTGCACCATGGCTGCAAAACAAGAATTGTTCACTTCGACATAAAACCACAGAATGTACTCTTAGATGAGAATTTTTGCCCCAAAGTTTCGGACTTTGGCCTTGCTAAGCTTTGTGCGAAGAAAGAGAGCGCCTTGTCATTGATGGACACAAGAGGTACAGTAGGGTACATTGCACCAGAGATGATCTCTAGGGCTTATGGGAGCGTGTCTTCACAAGTCAGATGTGTATAGCTATGGAATGTTGGTTCTGGAGATGATTGGTGCAAGAAAGAAAGAAAGTTTGACCAAAACTCTGCATCAAATGCAAGCTCAATGTACTTTCCGGACTGGATCTACAAAGATCTTGAAAAGGAAGACAGTGGAAGACTTATTACCAATGATGGAATCAGCAGCAACGAAGAAGATGAGACATTAAAGAAGATGACACTGGTGGGTCTGTGGTGTATTCAGTCTTCCCCATCAAACCGCCCACCAATGAACAGAGTGGTGGAGATGATGGAAGGAAGTCTTGAATCTCTTGAAGTGCCTCCGAAGCCTGTCTTGCAGCAAATTTCAACAGCGCCGCTTTCTGAATCTTTTTGGATTTCTGAGGAGAGTTCAACCGCTTCTGAGGTATGATATGTGTATTCTACAAATTTAAAGGTGGAACCTTCAAGTATTTGAAAAGAAAATCGCCGAGGAAGCCAATACTCTAGAGGAGACATTGTAAACAAGTTATGTATGTAAATTTTATTTTCATAACAAATAGAACACATGTATGCAAGAACACAATTCAAAACTTGCAATGTAATTTCATGGCAGTGATACAAAAAAAGAGTATGTTTGTTAATAGAAACCTTTCAACACACGCAACAAAATTTTGAAACTATGAATAGTTAAAAAGATGGGAGATTTTTTTGAGAAAACAGAATTTTACACTACCTCCTACAGTCGAGAAGATTGACCTATTCATTTGTTAGTCTTCTCAGATGGGTAGATTCTCTCTCATGAATTACTTGCAGAAGAATCAACGAGGATATGTTAACATATCACGCCTTAAGAACGTCAGATTCTTTAAGGAATTTCCCAAAGATTCGAGAAGTTCCATTGCTTAGGTCTGTTGGAGATGATCTTATGCGGTCGATTCTAACATTGGAGGAAGCTTTGGTTAAGGGGTTTGATGGTAAATCTTGTAGCGTATCATACGGATTTAGTGACGGATTAAATATTCTAACGCTGCGTATGCTTAATTAGTGACGGATTAAATATTCTTAGTCAAAAATTTAGGTGTCAACATCAACTGTAAACTTTCTTCTAGTCATAAATCGAAGCAAGAGTGAAGAAATTTATGCTTCTTTGTATTGTAGATTCATAAGATCATGTAGAGTTCCAAGGTAGAGGAGAGAAACCATTAGCAAAAGCTTTTAACAATGTCATTTTCAAAGATGGGTGATCTAACTCTTCTACAGCTTGATAATTTGACTACTCATATTTTGCACGCGAGTTTAAATGTAATACTTCTTTTTTTCTAATGAACGTGAGTTTAAATATTACTCCTTATACACTTAATCACAACTAACATCAGAAAACGATTATATGTTTTCTTTTTTTTTTATATAAAAGAAAACAATTACATGTACTATACATATTCGGACTTCGAGTTGAGTTTTGGACCTAAGGTCGTGAGTATGTGAATCTAAAACTTTAAAATAATTGTAAAGATATTTGCACAAATTGAGATGCTTTAGAGGATAGATAAAAAGACCTTGTCAAACAAAAAGTCGGCATAACGGCAGAAATAATTAGTCATGAAAGGTTTGTCTAGAATGTGAACACCTTTCTTCTCTACTTAAAATTCCTTAGAGAAAGAGACAAAGGCCATGAATGTTTGCTGGTTTTTAGATTTTGAATTTTGGTTTTTGGATTTTAGTTTCTGATTTAAGATTTTAGTTTTTGTTTTTGCTGTAGATTCAGTTTTTTAGAAACTTGAATGGACTTATTCAGTTTTTGGTTTCTGTGTACTTTTTTTTCATAAAAAATAAAACTATGAATTTATTAATAAGAATATACAATACAAGGTGGTTGTCTCGCACCTTGTGCGGGTACAATATTTTTTAAATACATTAATTTATTAAAGATTTTAATAATAGAAATAGTAGAATTTTTGATTATATACATTTTGTTTTCGTCAACTTCTTATTTTTGTAATTCCGATGTGTCTTTTGTTGTCTTCTCTTTCTCGTTCTTCTATGTAATCTTCTTCATTCGTTTAGAGAGATACCAAATATTTCTCACTTCTTATTTTTTTATCTTTTATTCTTCTCCAATTATCTCACCTTCTTCTTTTTCTTTTAATTTTATATTGTTTTCATCATTTTTTATTCTTCTTCTTCCAGTTTTTGTTATTCAATCTTTTTTTATATCTTCATATCTTCCAGCTCTCTATTCTTCCTTTTCTTTCTAATTTTCTTTACATTCTTCTTTTGGTTTTTCTTCTTCAAGTCCGGAAACGGTATACCTCTTCCTCAAGACCTTATCATACGTAAAAAGTTTCTTGTAGGTGCCTGATTCAATAAAGTTACCAGTTAGGATTTAATATGAACTATGAAACTGATAATATGGATACTTTTTTTAAAAAAAGTTATGAAACTAATAACATGGATACTGAAAAAAAAAAACAGAAAACGTTATACTCTCGCCATTAGAATAGAATTAGGGTTTCATGAATATTAAGTTGATATATAACAGAGAAGATGTTCATAAAGAAGTAAAGATTTTCATACCCTCTATTTTTGGGGAAAAATACTTCTGGCTTGGGACCATATCTGAACTTTTCGATTCCATCAGCTTACAAATAAAAAAAATTCTGCTACAAAAGTGAGAGAGGAAGAGGTTAGAAGCGGATCAATAGATGATATTGACATAAAATAACAAATAACCAGTTCATAAAAAGTTTTATTAGAACTAAGATCGAACTATAACAATTAAGGTACATGTAAAGAAGAAATATGAGACCTAAGAACTTAAATTACGTATTGAAAGACAAATTGTAAATCGTAATGAGAATTAGGTTGTTTGTCCAAGTTCGTATCTGTTTATATAATATAGGGTCAGTTAAGAATCTTAGGGTTTACTTAATATTTATCTACCTAAAATTTATTAATCTTACTAAAATTTATAGTATCTGCCAAAAATAAGGCGGCGAATATGGTAGTTAACATATTTATCTAAAAATGTTAAAAGTTAATAATCAAATTCCTTTTTAATAAAAAAAGAAAAATTCGAAGATATCTTCCATATATGTGGCGTGAAAATATGTTAGTTATATGGTATATATCCAAAAATAATTTAGGAAGAAAGCAAAATTCGTTATCCATCGTCTAATAAAATAAATTCGTTTTTAAATAAGATAATAAGCAAATTGAAAGATTTATTCAAAATTTTCATTAAGGGTAATTATGTAATTCCAAGGCTAAGAGTTAACATGGTGGCTCCATTCACGAAAATTGATTTGCAAATACTAATATGGAAAATAATTGTCTCGGTAGTTTTTGGGGGAAAAACTAAGAAAATAGAGATTCTAGATTTTGTGAAGAAAATGGTAAAACTGTGAAAAAACCAGTTTTCTTAAAAATTAGGGAATCTATTTTGTTATAATCATGATTGGTAAAAAAAATGGTTTTTTCAAAAACAAAAACTAAAATCTAAAGTAGAATCTGCAAACAATCAAGGCCAAAAACAAATCAAAACTAAAGTAAAAGAAACCAAATATTGAGACAAAATCTTGATTAAAGTGTGGATTAGGTAAGAGATTCACTGCAAGAAGCCAAATAAGACTTTGCAAAGTAACAGGTTCTGATATATTATTTTAAGTGCAAGTTTCGACATTCCTCATATTATGTAGACAAAAACAACTTAAACCATAAACTTTCAAAAATAAAAGGTTTGGGAAACAATATGTCACAACAAAAGTATTTAAGCTTTTAGCTTAAATCTGGCAATAACGTCTCCAGTTCTTTCAGAGCTTCTTCGACAGCATAGATCACCATCTTCTTTATCTATTTAATCAACATTGAAGAAACCACCAGTCAGTTAAAGATAAACAATAGTATTCAAGATTTGACTTTCTAAGAAAAAAAGAATCACCTCAAGTTTGTCTTCTCTGGCTTTATGGTTCTTAGGAAGTTGTCGAAACTCTTCAGTCAAACGGAGACACTCATGTATGTTCTCTGGTGATACAAAATCAACAGCTACCTTTGTGCAAGACTGTTCCAATTCCGTTATACAAGTTAAAACAACAATGAGAAAGAAAAATTAGTTAATAAAACAGAAAATCATTCAAAAACAACCTTGAGATTCCGAACTTGATGAGGACAGCCCGCAGGAATAAAAACCGCTTCTCCTAGCTTTTGCATAAATGTCCATGGCTCAATCCCTTGCATTCAAACCAACCAGAAAAACAACAAAAAACAAATGAATAAAATGTGGATAATAAATAACTCAGGAAGTGACAGTTATTACAGTTACAAGCACCATACCATATTCCGCTTTGAGTCTTCTTTTGTGCTCCACGGTTAAGAAACAGGATTGATCATGTATCGGATGATAAATCTAACCAAAGAATCCTCAAAAACCATCAGTATACAATAATCAACATCTAGACTCAGAAATGAAAACGTTTCACAGACTATTTTATTACCTTTGTAACAGGAGAGCAAAAAGTATGTCTGAATTCTTTGCAATGCTTTCTCAGATACTCTTCAAGCTTTGGAACATCTTCTCTTCTAAATATGTCCCAAAGCGCACTTCCTGTCTCATCATGAACCCCATTTTCATCACTCACAATCTCTTCCTTGTCAAAACCATTTTGCTCATGAAGCTCTTTCTCATTCTGTTGCTTGTGTTTCTGTTTCAGAGCTTCCATTGCAGTCATTTGCTCCTCAGTTATCGTTACTTCAGCCGTATGCATCAGAATATTAACCTACAAACATTATAATCTAATCAAAACCACAATTTCATTTAACATTGTGAAAACACGTGTAAGCAATTGAGAAAGCTTACTGCATCAGACATATCACAGTGAAGCTTAGTCACAGAATCGCCTCTCCCAAGCTCATCTGCAACTCCGTAAGCAATGTAAGTTTTCGGACCAAGATCTGGTTTAAGAACTCCATCAGGAAGCTTGGCAGCAATGTTGAGAATCCCTGATCTAGGATCGCTGTATTCTTGGAACGGTAACGCCGAGATAAACTCATCGCAGTGACGAGGCAAAAGGTTTTCAAACTTATCCGAAGGAGGCCAATCTTTCAGCTTCAGCATCTCAGGCCAGAAGTTACCGTACCTTCTTCCTTTACTGTATCCTTCAAAGAAGTCCTGAGTTTTGATCTCCACCTCGCAGTTAGCTAAACAATCGATTGCTTTGACTTCAGACATGTTAGAGGAGCTAGTTGCAGCTGAATCAACGTTTTCGGACAGCAACGCGCGCCACATGACACTTGGCTCCCAGCTTAGACCAGCTGTGTTGTTGAGAGTGTTTCGAACAATCATTGGCTCGCCTTTAGACCAATGCTCTTGGAAGTGAAGAAGCTCCTCTAGCTTCAGGACATCAAAAGAATCAGGAGAGTAGAGGAAGTTGTCACTTGATCCTTTCCTCGAAGCTACTTTCCTCATCATACTATTACTACTCATCTCCAAATCAGAAGAACATCTGCAATATGACATCATTGGATCGACACTATGAGTTGCTAAGAAAGTCTCTGCCTTTTGCTCCAAATCTGACATCAGAGTAAACGGTAGGATGCGTTTAAGCTCCAAAACAGAATCACCGCAACCGCCTAGCTCTTTTGGCGCACATGTTATGCTTCCATTTCCATCAGCATTCCACTTGATGGACTGGTTGTTATTAGCTTCATCATCCACGGGAGCAGAAGCAGAGCTCGGTTCTGCATCTTCGCCGTGCATATATCGGCTTCTTCTGTTCACGAACTGTGACTTGATTTCCGGTCGTTCTGAAAGCCACCCTCCACGGAGCTCTTGGCAACAGTTGAGACAAAGTTCGTAAGAGCACTTTGGACATCTTCGATGCAAGTCAACAATTGAGGTTGCACAATGGTTACTACACAACACACAAATATATATTTTTCAGTAATATATCAAAATAGAGCTGTTCAACACGTAACAAAGGATGATACTTACCAAAAGACGCGCTCTTCATTTGAGCATAGAGTCTCGGAGATGTCAACTTGAGAAGTCAGTAACCCTATAGAACAAAACAATAAGTAATCTTGCAGCAATTTTGGTACTAGAAGATAAAGATCCATATATACAGTACCTTGAATCTTTGCCTCGGTTATAATTTCTTGATCTTGCGCTTTGCGTAACATTTTCAAGAAAGGAAGCATCGATCCAATCAAGTACCGGAGATGATAGAATCTTTGGTAATTACTGAGCTTCCTCTTTGATGTCTGTAACACAAACAGATTTACATGTATCAATCTTGCGATCCTCTCAATACAAAACACCACACATTTTCTTTAAGAATACAACCATACCTCGATTAATCCACTAGACTGCAAACATATGCAACAGTTGCAAATTCTGCGGCAGAAAGGACATTGCTCAATGATATCCTCATGGGACAAATGAGGATACCTGTAACAATCCGCAAAGAAGAATGTTGTGTTTGAGGATAATGATGAAAGCTACATTTTGTTATGAGACAGAAGAAAAAATTGTAATGAACCAACTAACCATTTCTTGATGCATGGAAAACAATACAGCCTCTCTTCACAATATGTGCAAATGAAAAGGTATCTTCTTTCCCCTTTAGAGCATTGATGGCAAATTGCAAGGTCTCCCAAATCTGCCTGTGTAAGGAAAAACATGAAAAAGGAAAACATGAATTTCAGACAAAAGCTCAGTAAATTTTCACATTATCCAAGAACAAGTGTTACCTTTAAACTCCTTGTCATGCTTCTGCAGTAATTAAACTTGTCGTTTTTCAGACGAGAATCTGACAAATCTGACTCAGACTCTGAACATGAACCGTTATCAACATCTGTCTCATCTTCATACAACCGAATATCCGAACGGTTCCTGCTTCGTGTCTTGACGAAAGGAACTAGTTGCAGTTCTTGTTCCCTTTCCTCTTCTTCTTTCCTTTTCACAGAGCTTCTCTGCTTCGCTTTCTCTTCATCATTACCATTTCCTTCATTGCATAAATCACGTTTCTTTGAGGCTCTCGTCTTTCTTGGAGGTTTGGTTTTACCTTCTTTAACTTCATCAGCTTTAGACCGTTTCCGTTTTTTATTAGAAACCAGCTTCGGAAATGTCACACTGCTCTCTTCTTCTATCTCTGAAGCACTGCTATTACTTGTTGGCTTCACCGAATCCTTCTTCTCTGGCCAAGAATCTTCCGTTTTACTCTCCATTACACCATTATGCTTGACATTAACTCCATTAGCAGCAACTAAACCCTCCATTTTCTCAAATCTCACCTACCTAATCCTGGTAGCGAAAAGAGAGAGAGGAAACTGAAGGGGTTTTGAGTTCTCGACACAGATAAAGAGAGAGGAAAGTGAAAAGGTTTCTTCTCCTAAATAACAGTAAATGCTACACATACACGGCAAAAGAGTGGTTCCATTGGTTTTGCGGGAGAAAAAGTTCGGGAGAAAAACAAAAAAGATTAATTACAAATCTTTCTGACAAAAAGTTCGAAAAGCTTTGGTTAGGCGGCAACGTTTGGGTAGGGAAGAGTGTAACTTTTTTTATTATCAAGCAAACAAAAGAGTTAACTAGAAAGAAAGAAAAAAAAACGCAGTTATTGATGGAGTGCATGTTTTGCAAACGAGGTAGGTTTTGTCTGTTTATATTTTCAAGATTTTATTGGCCCATCGGTTTTGACATATAGAATAAATACAGATTATGATATGCATGTAGAACAAAATTTTTGTTCGGTTTTCAGATCTATATACATATCAATTTTTTTCTCCTACCATTTTTAGACCTTTATTAAAATTAGTAATTAGGTATTAAATACAGATTAAATACAGATTGATGTCATGTATTTATTCTGTAACAGATTTGAATTTCCATTCAAGACCTATATTTAGCGGGGGATTAGGTGGAGGAAACTAGAAGAACCCTAGCCAGATATTTTTTGCAAGCTAAAATTTTTATTACGAAAATAAAATCACTCGGTAATACGCTATCTTCTGCAGGCGGCTTCACTTCAACCCATGCAATCATCTCTGGAGAAAATATATTCTCTCTGTATCCATGCATTTTAATGCACTGTCTCCCTCTCCACTCAACTTGCCCGAATAAATAATAGAGATATTACAAAATATCTGGCCAGCCGATTTCGTATACACATTCGGTTGTTCAATGTCTTTTCCGTAGAAGGTTATCTTTGTATTTTCGCAACAAACGACAGTCACACCGAATAACTAATTTAGAACTATGAACTATCCTTAGGTAGTTCCTTTATTTTCGGCACTCAGCCAACTAACCCAAAAAGAAAAGAGAAAAAGAAATAACTGAAGTCTAAAAAAGGAAAATCGTCTACGTGGAAACCCTAGAGAGATAAAGTTCCTCCTTCTCTCTTGTAAACCGCCGCCGCCTCTTCCTTGCTCACCGGCTCCGGTGGCTTTCTCTGGAGTCGGCTATTGTCCTTTCTCTTTGGTTTTAATCTGGCTTTTCTTTGTGTTTCTCGGTTCTGTCTTGTGTGGTGAAGAGGGGTATGTCGCTGTTGCAGTCTTTTGGTTCAGATCTGTGCAGATCTATGTGGTTTCGATGAGAGAGGTGCCGGATCTGGTAGATCTACGGTCCAGTTTGGGCGACAACAGTCTCCTTCTCGGTAGATTATGGTCTAGATCTGTCGCCACATGGGAGTCTCTGTTCCTGGGTTTGGTGGTTTGGATCTCGAATTGCAGGTTCTCTTCTTCTTCTCTTCTCTGAGGTTGGTGTGGTTGCTAGCTGGTTCGTTTCTTCGGATTGGTTAGGCTTGGCTCGATTTCTGGTTCTTGAAGGTTTCTATCTAGGCGTTCCATCTGGTGTCATCTGCCGTCGTCGCATCCGAAAGTTTGTATCTTGTCGGGTCATGAATCTTTGTTACTTGTTTCTGAGAGCTTCTCTCTCTTCGTTCCAGGAGGAAGTGCATCTTCGTTGGTTGGCCGTGGGCATCTGCGTTTTTGTCGTCTATGGGATCTTTTGAAGTTTTGTGAAGTGTCCTGTAGTTTTGGTTTCACCACTAGGTTTGGGTTCAATTTGTTCTTCCTCTGTTTTTATTGCAAGTTGCGGATCTCTTTGAGCTTTTTACCTTTGTTCCCAAGGATTTCAACTTTTTCCGTCGGTTTGGCTTCTCTTGTTTGGGTAAAGTTTCCCTTGTTTGGGCTTTAGATTTCTCGTTGTATGTTATATTTCGATCAATAAAATCTTCAGATGACAAAAGAAAATAAAAATAAAAATAATTGAAGTCTAATCTCCTCAAGAGTATCCTCAATACCAAAAATGATATGGGCTTTAACAAATATGGCTTTAACAAACATGGATTAATAACGAGTGACAAAAAAAAGAGATCCATCTGGAAGAAAAAATATACCGATTGTTAATCTAGTTTAGGTTCTAAATTTCAACAATTGCGTTGAGAAGAATAATTCTTAGTCCAAATTGTAGGTGTCAATATCAGCCGTAAACTATCTCTTAGTCATAAATCGAAGCGGCAGTGAATTCACGAGTTTCAAGGTAGAGGAGAGAAACCATAAGCATAAAGGTTAAACAATGTCACTTTTTTCAAAGATGGGTAATCTAATTCTTCTACAGACATCATCTTGATAATTTGAGTATTCATATTTTGTACGTGAGTTTAAATAACTTTTTTTGCTAATGAATGTGAGTTTTATTTTATATAAAGTTTTGCTAATGAACGTGAGTTTAAATAGAACTCGCTATACACTTTATCAGAACTAACATCAAAGAATAGTTACATGTACTATACATATTCTGATAATCTGATTTCGAGTTGAGTTTTGGACCTAAGGTCGTGAGTACGTACGTGAATCTAAAATTTTAAAATAATTGTAAAATATCTGTACAAATTGAGATGCTATAGAGGGTAGATAAAAAGAGCTTGTCAGACAAAAAGTCGGCATAATGGCAGAAATAATTAAGAGTCATGAAAGGTTTCTCTAGAATGTGAACACCTTTCTTCGCTACTTAAAATTCCTGAGAGAAAGAGACAAAAACAAATCAAATTTAAAAGTAATGAAACCAAATATTGAGACAAAATCTTGATTAAAGTGAGGATTAGGTAAGAGATTCACTGCAAGAAGCCAAATAAGACTTTGCAAAGTAACAGGTTATAATATTTTGTAGTAAAAACAACTGCAAAACAGAAACTTAAAAAAAAAACTTATTATCTGGATTTGAAATGAAGAAAAGAGTATTGGGTTAACACCAACTTCGTTAGGTTCTCAAGACTTATATGTTTTGGTTTGAAGAATCTGGAACTGATATTGTACTTGTAAAATAGTAAATGTTGGAACAAAAAATAGCAATGAAGTTGGAACAGAATCTGGAAGCTTACTGAGCAAGTTGACGTAACCTTGTAAGTTTGTAACCTAACATTATCACTTATAAGTTATAACTTGTGGAAAGGGATAAGAGTTTAGAGGAATATTGGAAATATATTCATATTTTAAGATAAATTAAAGTTGTCATTTAGAAAATAAGATAGATACACATGATCTTGAAATAAACTAGGGTTATCATTTATAAGAGTGCACTGATACACATCAGGTCCGCATGACCAACGTATTAATCATTCGCAACCACCAAAAAAAGTTTATTTGAATATACTCTGGTTTCATCTATGCTAAATCAAAACCAATACACAAAGTAAATCGCCATGAATTCCCGACGGTATAAGTGTTTCCTACCGGTATCTTTGTTATTTGATACATGCAATAATTTGACGTGATGGTAGTTATAATCTCTTGTTTTGTATAAGGTAGTTCAGGTAAATCAGTCAATTGTATTGTTGGTGTAAAGGAAAAATAATGACTTAGGTTAATTGAAATTGTCAACGAAACACAAACTCGCAAAGTATGAAGAAGACAAGATGGTGACAAGTTAAAGCTTCCAAATATCTTAAAAGCAAAGGTCATGCATGAGTTCAGGGGGGTAAGGAAGTAGAGGCTTTAGTTAATTAATCAGCTTGTTCTATAAAATTTTAAAATGGTTAATCAAAGTATAAAGCAATGATAGAAATTATAAAAGTTTAATGATCAAATCAGGGTTGTAGTTAGTAAGATTTGGGAAGATCTTGCCATGTCTAAACAAATACTTAATTTCAACGTCAATCACGCCAACACTTATACTTGATGTTAATCTATTGTCATTAAAGTATTTTTTGGTGGGGCCTCAATTATAACCTGATTAATCATACATAAATGCGTTGATCATTATATTAAGAGAGCAGATCAAAGATCTATTCAACAAATTTGTTATCTTATAATTATTTCCTCAATATAAAAAAATTAGATGATAAAAGAAAATTCCTTTATGTCCAATCAACTAATTGAACGGTTCAAACTTCAGCCCCGTGACATGGTTGGACTTAAAAAATGATAAGATTAGGAATATGCTTAGCTATAATAAACCTAAACAAATACGATAATGCATTACGAGGTATGTAGACCTACATAGTTTTTATATTATAGTTATGTGTGTATTAACATACATGTACGTATGAAAGCAGAAAAGTCGGAAACTAAAGCATCAAACAAATCCAAACCATTGTTAAAATATGTGGGAAACATGCCATAAGCACTGCATAACAAAGTGAGTGGACCAACCTAGACTCCATAATTATTTCACTTGTTGATTATAAATATAAATTAATCAAATCTTAATTATAAATATATGCACATGCAAACTCAGGTTTGATCCCCATTTTAAGTCTTTAATCTCCTCTTTCCATTTACAAAAAGACTTCTCTCTCTCTTATTTGTACATATATATGGCGACCGATGCAACTTCTTTGAAACTCTTCGGTATAAATCTTCTTGACACTACGTCGGATCCAAACCGATCATCGGAAGCAAGATCCGGACCCGGATCCGAGTCACGGAAATACGAGTGTCAATACTGTTGTAGGGAGTTTGCAAACTCTCAAGCTCTTGGTGGTCACCAAAACGCTCACAAGAAAGAGCGTCAGCTTCTTAAACGCGCACAGATGCTAGCCACTCGAGGCTTGCCACGTCATCACAACTTTCACACTCACACGAATCCGCTTCTCTCCGCCTTCGCGCCGCTGCCTCACCTCCTTTCTCCGCCGCATATGATGATGTCGCCTTCTTCCTCGGCTTCTAAGTGGCTATACGGTGAGCACGTGTCGTCACAAAACGCCGTTGGTCCCATGTATTTTCACGGTGGATCCGGGAGAAGGGGATTTTATGGCGGAGGGATGGAGTCTATGGCTGGAGAAGTTAGAACGCACGGTGGATCTTTGCCGGAGATGAGGAGGTTCGCCGGAGAGAATGACCGTGGTAGTGGAGTTAAGTTAGAAAATGGTATTGGGCTTGATCTCCATTTAAGTCTTGGGCCATGATTATTTCTTTCGGCCCAGACTAAATTTGTATAAATATTACTTGGTTTCATATTTAATACTATAGAGTTATTTTTCTCTCTTTTTTTACTTAATCTCAGTTGAAATTGATGATTTTGTTTCTTCTTTTTAATTTACCAAATCTCATGTTCTATGTATGCGTTTGTTTTCACTTTTTATTTGTTCTTCTTGTAGAAAATGCAATGTGAATTTTCTTCTTCTTACTTTACCAACTATATCTCATGTTCTATGTATGTCAATTTTCTTTGGTTATCATTAATTAGTCATTGCAGAATATAGGTATAATACTATAATGTTGAAAGAAGTTGAATAACTAGTTTACAAGATGCACACCAAGATGATTTCAATTTCCAATAGAGGTTGTTTTGCAGAAAATCAAGTATTTTTACCACTCTTCAAGAATGTGTTAGGTTCCAAACGGAGCTCGATCTTTAATTGAATTCCAACGTACGAATTAACCGCTAATTAACCTTTATTTATCAAATCTCAGGAACATAGTCTAATCATGAAGGTAGTAGTAAGCTCTAGATTTGCGTAAGAATTTGTATATAATGGTAGAGACTAGCTAGAAAACAGAAATGTAAGTGAAGAAAATATGATACATAGACAAATATTGAAACATAAACTCATTCACCCAATCTAAGGCATTTGAGAATTAACTATCAAGTTACAGGAAAGTCTTAAACAATTGTGAATGACTCACATGTTGCAGAAGAAGGAATGGAAAAATACATTTTTTTTTGTAGCAGTCATCGAGGCTTTGAAGCAATGATATAAACCGTGACATTTCTATGAAATTATTGGATCAACGTGAACAACATTAGCTGACTCAAATGAACAATGGAGAAACCACAGCCCAAAAGAGAAATCAAAGACCATCTCTTTTGGAAAACTATAGCACAACGCATAACCTATAGAGAGGCTCAACCTAAGTGGTTTTTCTGAATATTATCCTTCCAAATATTCGACCTAGCAAAAAAAAAAACCTTGATTGCGTACTAAAGAGTGTTTACAAAAAATTATTAACTAGATCAAACAGATTTCATAAAAATATAGATTAAGTCCACCGATTTTCGAACTAATCAATGATTTTTGTAATTAATCGTATAAAATCGGTCAAATAACGTGTGACTAAATAGTGTCACTGATTAGTGAAAATTGCCATGATCATCTCCCGTGGAGCGATTAACCGAACGATTAATCAGAAAATCGGGGATTTTTAGAATCTACATAGCGTATTGCATATTATGTTACTTGTTAAACAAGTTATTGCTCGCCGTGTTGTTGTTGATCTTTTGTTCGGTCTCACTGTTGTTAGTCATTTAAATATTAATTTGTTGCATTATGACATTACTTGGTCACGTGACATTGAACTCTCGTTGCATGTATTACTTGATCTCACCTAGTTTATGTACTAAAATAGAGATGAAGTCACGGTTGGTTTGAACCAACGACTTGGTCGATGATGTTATTGTGTTGTAGCCATGTGAGCATGTTTTGGGGTAGACATAAATAAACCTGACACCTTTGGTTATGGTATCGGTCTAATGTTGGTAGTGGCGGTTATGCTCCAGAGCATAAACCATGGTGCATTGATGAGTGACTGACCGACAATATATCCAAGTAGCCAACGTTTAACTCCTTAGGGATAGTAACCGCGGATGACATATGGGCATTGCGTATTACCGGTTGTGTGCGTTATTGTGAGTATAACCATTTGTAACACCCGATCTCGGAATGTACAACCACCCACATTGTAATCACGACAACACACACAACTGGTAGCCTGCAATGCCCATATGTCAACCGCGGTTACTACCCTGGCTACGCTGCCTCTTTATCAAATATAATGCTGGTCTAGTCACTCGTCAGTACACTGTGGCTTATGCCCCCGCACATAACCGACACGACCGACTTTATTTATGTCTACTCCGAAGACATGACCACATAGCTACAACACAATAACATCAATCATCATTGACCAAGTCAATGGTCTAAACCGACCGTGACCTCATCTTTGTTTCAATACAACGATACAACATGTTCACATAAACGGTTTAGTTCCTAAACATTTAACATAAACTAGGGGAGATCAAGTAACACATTACAAGCGACCAGTAATGAGATTATCCAGCAATGAAAATTCAATATCACATGACCAAGTAATATTGAGGCCGAACAAAAGATCAACAACAGTTAGTATGACTTATTTACCAAGCAACAGACCAATGGACATTAACATGTATGAACCAAGTTTCTTTCACAAGATTAATATGCAAAACAATATAAGCATGTTTAAACTTAGCTACGGATATCCATAAATAGTGAGAGCACAATAAGGAAGCATAAATCCATCCTCACCTCGGATACGGCGGATTAGCAAAGGAGGATCGCGTTGGCGGCGCACACGCCCTTGTCAAGGAAAGTAGGTGGGACGTGGCGGAGGCGGCACACCAGCGACCAAGCTAAGGCGGCGAGGGTTTCATTGTCTACCGGCGGCACACCGAGAAGCTTAGCCATAGCATGGTTAATGGCTTGTGGAGTTTGCTCTTCAAAACCGGGGGAATGGAAGGTGGCGACGTCGGAGGAGAAGAGACATCGTCTTCATGCGGAGAAGACATGCTCGATGGAGAAGAAATAGCTTATGAGAGAGAGGAAAAAGGTTGAGAGCCGAGAGAGGTCTCTCTTATTTATACCAAACAAAGACTTGGAGAGAAAGGCTAGAGATAGATCCAAATCTCACTAAAAGATCTCTTCAACAAGGTAATCAATACCTCGAATGGAATAAACTTAGCAGAAGGGAAAGTAACATTTAACTCTTTCCATTGATTTAGGAAAGGATAATCACAAGGGAATCAAGAGAAATTTGTAATGGGCTCTTCTAGAAGAATGTTTAGTCTCTTAAATCCACTTAAGAGCTCAAGAACCGAACTTAAACCGAGTCCAATGACCCGGGATGTCACAAAGATTCTATCGGCAACTTTGTTAGCAAAAAGAAAACTATATATGTCACTAAAACTATAACCGTATAAGACTAGGTCCAGTCGTATTAAAATAAAATAAAAAAAATCAACATCATAAACATATTATTCAAACTCCTTTTTTCTTATTAACTTCTTTCTAAACAAAATGTATGGTTGATTAATATCCGAAGATAAATCAAAGACCACTTAGATGGAAACTATCTCGACGTAGAAGACTAGAAGCAGTCAACAAGTGGCATTGAAGAAACTCAGAAGGAAACTTTAGGACTGATACTGGATATTATATTGTGTGTAATATCTGATTCAAAAGTGCATTGTGAATCTTCTCGTTTTAAAATATATCAACCATATAGATTTTCTTCAAACTTAACTTTTGACAGTAATAATAAAAAAGCAGGACACTGAACACCATCAAATTGAATCACCATACTTCTCATTTCATGCAAGGTGTGGTATTTGAGTAAACTTAACTTCACACAAAGTTTTGTCACTTAACTTTCTTACCAAATTTCAATAATACTTTACAGATAAACAAGGTGTGGTTACCCAAGAATCAGATATATAAATATGTGTATCATAGTATCAGTAGTATAATTAACTTCTAGATCGTTCGTGATCTTTAAACATTATTAGTTTGTGTTACCAAATGATGAAAAAACGTAACAAAAAATTATTATCGTCGCTTAAGAATTTAATGACCGTTTGATCGAAGATCTGCTAGGCCCCACATAAAAATTAAGACCGTTATAAGTGAAAAAGGAAAAAGGGTAAAAGCGTCAACGCAACAAAATATTGAAGAATCTCTCTTCTCTTTCAATCAGACCGTTACGTTCACAATTTAACAAATCCCCAAAAAAAAGCAAAAATCTCTCAGACGAAGAAGACGACACACTGCGAAAAATCAAAAACCTTTGAATTCGAGATTTGACTGATCTGTAACAATGGAGGATACGATTTCAAACCCTAGTATGGAGCCTCAGCTATTCTCTGTTGATCCAATTTCTCTCTTACTCTCTCAAAACTCCGATTTCAATCTCTACGGGTTCGAGAGAGGACCCAGATATGGCGAATACGCGAAATTACGAGAATCGAAGCTTCGATTGAAACGAGAGTACGAGAAGATTCTCAAGGAAGAAGAAGAGAGGTTTTTCGGCGGAGATCAGGCGAGGAAGAAGCCGGCGACGAGACAAACGAGATTCGGTTTTAAAGGAGAAGATGAAATTAGGGTTTTTTCGCCGGAGAAGAAGAGTAATCAGACGAGATTTGGATTTAACTACAATCCGGCGGCGAATCCGATTCCGAATCCGCGGAGACTCTCATCTTCGGTGGCCCAATCTGTGCCTGATTTCTCCGCCATGATTCGTAAGGAAAATCGCCGGCCGGCTAATTCGAATTTGCTTCCCCGAAGAGTAGAACTCACTCCGCCGCCGACGAAGAGCAAAAACGCCTCCGTTTTCGCCGGATCTTCCACGAGAGGAAGCATATCGGCGAGTGCGGGAGACAAGAAGAGCAAAGCGATGATGGGGATGGCGCGTAAGAGCTACGCGAATGTCGAAGATCTCAAAAAAATCTCCATGGTCGCAGCTTCCGCCATCAACGGCGTCGCCGGCGGTGATAGAAGGAAATCAATCGGCGGAGGAAGAAAATCCATCGGCGGCGGTGGTCGGACTATTCTGGGTCACAGACAAGTTTACTGATTTCTTCCATTTTCTTCGTCCCAATGTAACATTCATGGCTCAAAGATTTGATTTTTTTTTTCTTTCTCTACGATTTGATTTGACTTTTTAGGGTTTTGATTGATAAAGATTGATCCTTTTTCTGGTTTTGATTGATAAAGATTGGTCCTTTTTCTGGTTTTTGATTTGGTTTGATTGATAGAGTTGTGATAGGACCAAAAAACTTGCTTAGTTAATAATATTCGAACAGACATTTGATCATAATCTTTGAATTACACAAACACATTATCTTCGTTCTAAAAGAGATCCATTGCTAATTCTCCGAGCAAAAACATAAAGATCTCATAAGCAATCTCTGATCCAACACCAAACAAATGAGCTTCAAGATCAAACCATTTCTCCATCTCAATACTCACAACTTCATCAACACCAATCCGAGCCAACTTAGCCCACTTTGGAACATCCTCAATCACACCTTGAATCAACCCATCAGCTTCCACACTCAAAGGCTGCTTCAACAACAATCCGCAAGAACTGTTTCTCTCTTCCAAGTGTTCGATCATAGCATCAACCAAGAACCCTCCGGTGACTCCAGGGAGGTTCACAAGATTATCAGAACGCGCCGTGTAGATCATGAGCTCGTCGAAGAGCTCTGGTCCGATGAGGTAGTTGTTCTCTTGTGTAGGACTAGTACCAACCAATAGCTCGGTGTTGATGATGACTTCTCTTGCAACGTTGAATCTCTGCTGTGTTAGTATGAGTCCTGTGTTGCTCAAACATCGCAGGACGTTGAAGACATGGCTTACAAGACTAGCGATCGCTTGATAGTTACCACCACCACCATCTTCAAGAACGTCCCAATCAGGCTCTAGAGGAAGCAGCCTCACATGTCCTGGAACTACAAGATCATCACAGAAGTTTCAAGAATGACGTTTTTTAAGGAGATTAAGTACTGATTTAAGCATTATGTAGTACCTGAGATGTTGTCAAAGCTATTGGAAAAGCAGCTCTCGTTAGAGAAAGATGCATCAAGAACAGAACCAGGGCTAGTGTAATCACTATTCCACAACTCTGTTTTGCCTTTCCTCTGCAAGATTCAAGAAACATAACGAATCAAGAAGATTGAGAAATAGTAGAAAAATGTGAAGTCTTGGTGGATTATATAAACATACCCGGTAAGCTGTTTCTGTGTAACGTTGCTCCAAAGCTAAAGAAGAAAGTAACTCATGGAGAATCAAAGACGCTGATGACTGATTTAGCAACGCACTTCCTCTTGTTATGGCTTCATCTTCTTCTTGAGCAGCAAGTTTTTTCAACTTCTGCTGAATCAAACCCAGAGTAGCTGCGTCAAGTGGTAGTCTTTTCTGATTTGGACGGCGTTGAGGTTCTTTGGATTCTCTATAACTTCTATGAGGAAGAGAACCAAGTTTCAATGGAGTTTCATTGCTACAATCACAAGAGCATTCACCATCTACTCTTCTTGACACTGGTGGACTCATAGAGCTACTTCCACTTCCACAAGCTAGCCTTCTCTTCCTTGGTGGAGTAGTCGTAGTGCTTAATCCTGATCTATTACAAGACTCCTCAGCTCTACTCTGAGACTTTCTCAAATCAGAGTTCTCAAATCTAGCCAAGTGATGATGATTCCTCCTCGTTAAGCCTCTATTCATTGCTATAAAGTCCTTCTCTTTACACTTGATAACATTCGCAGGTGAAGTAGAAGACGAAGAACAAACTCTTTTGCTCTGTAACATGTAAGCTCTAGCTTCCGGAGGAAACCTCTCATCCTTCTGAACACGGTGTAAAGCCTTCTTCTCCATCTGATTCGTTGTTCTTGGAGGTTCTTGATTTCTCCAAAACACATTTCTTTTACTCCTTTCAAAAGGCGTTGATTCGATGTTCTTTCCAATCTCTTCAGCTACTGGAACAGAGCCAAGAACATCAACAAAGCTACCACAAGCTTTACAAGAAGCAGCAGCAGCAACAATTTCCACTGGCTCTTTCCCGGCGTTTTCGCAACTTCTAATCCCGGAAGAACCGGGATGATAAGCGATCTTTCGCTGCTTCCCCGGTTCAAGAATCCTAGTAGCAGCATCAATCAACCTAGAGCTACTTGTACGTCTATGAAGAAGCCTAGGGCTTTGAACAGGAGAAGCTAGCTTCTTCTGATGCTGATGATGATGTTGATGACTATTGTACTGATGATGTTTCTTTACTCTAGTCAAAACGTTCTTAATCTGCAATGCATCAGATCCAAGCTTCTTCACAACAACACGCCTATCACACGTTCCTGTTGTTCTCTGCATCTTCTGTGGCCTTGACTTATCAAAACCATTATCATCTTCTTCGTCTTCTTCATCAATGAGATTGCATTTCGTCTTCTTCTTCTTCGCTTTGTCTCTGTGATTAGATGGCATTGATTCAAGACCCATTAAACGTGCTACTAAACTAGGAGATCTCATTTCATGCTTTACGACTTCACCACGGTTTACGAAACTTCCTCTGTTCTCATCATCAATCTTCAAAAAACAGAAAAAGCATGAATTTTTAAGCTCGTTGTTACTCAAATCAAACTAAAGGTTTCAACTTTGACTTCAAAGTGAGAAATAATCACCAGATTAAGCTTAGATTTGAGCATTTTCTCATTCCCTCCAAATCTCTTAGAAGCTTGTTTCCCTGAGAAATGCAAATAAGAATCTCATTCAACAGAAACAGAGTCAGAAACAGAGAGAGTGACTGAGACTAACCATTAAGAAGTGATTTGCGAGAAAAGAGCTTCCTTTTGGCGAAACGCCGGTTCCAATCGAAGAGCTGGAAGAAAACGCCGACACAACCGCCGAGTCGATTTGGCCGTTTCTCAGTTATGGCCGCACACGGCGCCGTTTTATCCACCGTCTCTTGTAACTCTCCCGTCATTAGATTACTATCACGAAACCCTAACAACCCACAATTGCAGAGAGATTGCAGAAACTACAGAGAGAAGAAAAAATGTCTCCTTTAGAGACACATTGCATCAAATTTCATAACTTTTTAATCAACAGAGAAGAAGATCAAGCAAAAGAGAGAATGAGACCCAGAGAATAAGAAAAAAGAAAAACACTCTCTTTCTTTGAATTGTGATTCTGAAAAAGATAAAAAGTCTCTCTCTTTCTCTCTCTCTTAGCTTTGTGAAATTTTGGAGCTAGTGAAGAAGAAGAAGAATCTCTTTAAGAAAAGCAGAGAAGAAGACGAGTGTACATTATCATTATCGATAGCATAGTTACGAGAATTGGGAAAGAAAGGAGACAGTTGGAAATCAAGAAAACGACAATGGTACAGTGGAAGAAGAAGAGAGACTGTGATGATGATAACTCAATTTTTTATTACAAAAAGGAAAAAATGAATCTAAAGCTTAAAAAGAAGATGAAAAGTCTGTGTCAAAACATTTGGGACTCAACGGGTAATATTCGGAATTTGGAGTTAAAAAAGTGAAAGGAGACAAAAGCTAAACGATGAGTGACGAAGTGATTGAAAGAGAGATGAGAGATTAATTAAAAAAGAAAAATATTTCTTCTTTGACTGTGATTCTCTCTGCTGTCACTGGCGGTGAAAGGGGCTCGAGAGAGATTGTTTGCAGCTTTTTTTGTGTGTTTGCAGAAGAAGAGAAGAGGGAGAGAGAGAGAGCATGCGCACACAAAAGGTTTAGTAGCTGATAGATAGAAATAGACTAGAGAAAGATAAAAGAAATTGTCGAGGAGAAAATGAAGATTTAATTGTTTTTCTTTGTGTACTAATTGAGATTTGAGAGTGATAATCGAATAAGGTTTTTGATTTTGGGATATTTTAGAAGCGTAAATTGTGGTTGTGGGAATCGAAGAACATGACAATGAGGTTAAAGGTTCGAGGTTCTTGTTTCTCTTTTTTGACGAATCCATTTTCATCCGTAGTCCATTTCTCAGTTCCAGCTCTTGCATCGGTTTCTGTTCTCAAATACTCAAAACAGAAAAATAGATTTTTTACTAGTACTGGATTTTTTAAGAACACTTTGGTATAAGAATTTTTAATAGCATTATATTTATGAAAATTACATTATAGCTTTTTGAAAAATAATCGAAATTAATTTAACGTTGGTTTTCTTTTTTTTTCTTTTTTTTTAAAAGAAGGAAGCTAGGATAATTGACCTATCTATAAAAATTTTGGAATGATCTTCATCAAATTCTATTAGAAAAATGTTTGAAAATATTTAAATCAGTGAAATTTATTTGAAACTAACAAAAAATACTAATACATGAAAACAGATTATTAACGACAATCTTTTATGATCATACTATCAATAAAATTACAATAAATAGATAACATCACCAGTTTTACTTCTAACTGATAGAGTTATTTTTTTCTTGTTTTTAAAATAAAATTTTATATATCAAAATCATAATTTTACTGAATTGAGTTTTCGAAATAGGGACATCCACTAAGAAAGACTCAATTTATTTGAAACTAACAAAAATTAATATTACATAAAAACATACTCCCTTTCTCTATCCCATATTATAAGCTGATGGGGAAAATGGGACAACTGCTTATAATATGGGACATAAAGAGTATTATTAACGACAAGTTTTTATGCCTTTAGGGTTTAGATTTGGAAAAATCAGTACGTTGCTTGCATATAATTTGTCATAGGATTGGTTGTGGTAACCATTTATGCTGGAGATGTTTGGGCGACAAATGCATCTCATCATGGCTATTTTTTCTGCAGCGAAATTGAACAACCTCCCTCCGATGATGTGTTAAGATGCGAGCAGGAAATAACTCATCTTGTTCATGTAAGGCTCTCTCTAGAAGCCATGAAGACTTATGCTGAGAGTAGCACAGAAAGAAAGGAATCAGCCCCCACTAAATATTTTGCCTCTATCGATCAGATGCTCCACATTGTCCAAGCTCTTAAGAATCTGCATATCCATTACCTCTACAACTGGCGTTTCACTCGCCTTAACCTTCTCTAGTGCAAACTTCACTAGAAACTGAACTTGTAGATCACATGGCGTTACTTGAGATGACTCGTCTATGTTCCGTTTAATTATTCCATACTCCGGGGCTTCAAAGGTTATCAACAACCTTGGATACTTTCCTCCAATGGTGGTATGCTGAATATGAAAATGTCTTGGGAAGTCGACGACTTTGTCTTCAATTAGCTGCTAGTGGTTTTAGGTACTTCTCTCACCTATCTTTCCATACATTTTGGTTCTTTGAATTGGATGAAGTGAATATGTGTTGTTAGATCCCGATATGAACATGTTTCTGATCATAATTCTCTGGATTGGAACTCTAATCGATATGAAATCATATTTTGGCTATTGCCTGAGAATGTTCTTAGATTCATGTTCATGGATTTATTTTCATTACTACATTGTTTAGTTTGGATCGGAGTTACGAAAAAATAATAATAATTAATTACAGTTAAAATAGATTTTTTTTTGGGCGAATAATTACAGTTAATAGATAACATCACCGGTTTTACTACTAATTGATCGAATTATATTTTTCTTGTTTTTAAAATAATTTTTTACATCAAAATTATAATTTCACTGAATTGAGTTTTAGAAATAGGGACATCCACGAAGAAAAACCCAATACAAATGTGACCTAACTTCTAAGCCAAATAAAACGCTAAATACAAATGCTAACGCAAACGCTAAACGTTAGCCCTAGGTTGACAAATCTAGCTCATTATTTCTTGTTGGAAAATGCCCAAAAAAAAAATAGCAGAACTTACTTATATATTTGTAGAAACTATTTGGAAATTTGGAGAAACATATCAACAATTAAAGTTCTTTATTCTTTACACGTTTTCTATTACGCTTTTAGCAAAAGAAAAAAAAAGTTTTCTACTATAACATAAAAAAATAAAAAAGGTATTTTGTACAAAAAGGCTATTTTTACCAACGTGCTTTTTATCTTATCTTATACACTAACTTTATCATAAGATAAGGTACCTTTACGTACTATTTTTACCAAGTCGGTATCCAATAGGATAAACTCTGTATTTGGGTTAGAATGTCGTTAAATATTCACTAACTTTTATCAAGAACTAGGAGTTTCTGTTGCACTAATTATCAGTAGTAATCAAGATCTTCGTTACTTTTAATCTCTTGTAGTTTAGTTCCCAGGAAAAATATAGTGAGTCAGTTCTCAAAAAAAAAAAAAATATATATATATATATAGTGAGTGTATATATACTACATAGGTATATATTTTTTGAAACTTTTTAGAGTGTAATAAGACAGAAGAAAAAGCAGAGTTGCGTCTTTGTCTGTGTCTGACGAGTCTGAGAGATATGTCACGGACAAATAACTCATACACGCTAGGAATCTCTAGCACACCCCCACACTTCTATTCAAACACAGTACCAATTATTTTCTTGTTGTGACATATATACACATACATTCAATATTCAAATATATTTTGTTTGGCTATAAATTGAATATTGTAAGTGAAACTACTGTTTGAAACTCCAGACGATTCTATAGAAAAAAAAAAAGAAGCGGTTTCAAATTTTGTCAAAATGAAAAAGGAAAAAAATAGTGAAGCAAATTTTACTATTTGGGAAAAGTACATTTTGACCAACATGAAAAAACAATGATTCCCGGTGTTTTCTAAAGAACTCTGCCGTTTGATTGAACATCATGGTGAAAATGAAAATTAAACAGTTCATGCTGATTTCTTTTTCTTTTTTTCCTCTTTTTCCTTTGACGCAACAGTTTATGTCATTACTTTTATTGTATAAATGATATATTTAGTTTTTGTTCATACTCTCATGTTTCTGACTTCCATTTGCTTATACTTTTATTGTATAAATGATATATTTAGTTTTTTTTCATAATCTCATGTTTCTGACTTCCATTTGCATATGCTCAATGTTATTCCATTTGCATATGCTTTTAGAGGAGAAATTAGCACATTTCCCTGAGCCCGTCATCATTAGTAAAGTCACAAAGCCCAATCCGATTTTAGGCCTAACATCTTCAAGAAAAAGGCAAGACTTGAAGAGAAAGGCACAATCCATGGAGAAATGTAAATAAATCTTCATGCCGACTTAAAGAATGGAGAAAGATCCAAAAACAAGAGGGATTTTCCATATCGCAAAAGAGGAAGTTTTCCATCTCGCCTGAAGGAGAATATTCATCATTCGGCCGACTTATCAACACTATATATTGAAGACCCCCCATTGGGAGAGGGATCCGAAATCATCTAGAATCACTAGGCTTTCACATTAGCTTTTACTCTATCCTCTTGTTCATCATCATAATCTCGCTAGGCTTGTTAGCGAGATTGCTCTCTTGTAATCTTCTTGATAATCTAAGAGTCGAATTAAGCGTTCCAGTTTCCTAAACTCACATCTTAGATAGCCCGTCTTGACGAGTGCTATCTCGGATTCAACAATTGGCGCCCACCGTGGGGCTGGAAACGCTTCTCGCTATTCATCTCGAAGATATCTAGATTTTCACGAACTAGCAACGATGGCGAACTCGAAAGAGAACACTCCCACCGGGAGCCCGTCTCCCTCAGAAGAAAACTTAAGCGACAGTCTACCAGCACGATAGACAAGTCGCTACCCGCTGAAGGTAGGGACAAGCCTGTCCCTACAAGAAACCCATCTTTCTCGCCACAGAGATCCGTCTCGCCGCGAAGATCGACTTCGCCGCAACGATCTCCTCCGCCAAGAAAGGACGAGAGCCCCCTCCGTCCGCACCACGCCGCTCGAGAAAATCTTCCTCGAGCGACAAACCCCGCAGCTCGAAGAAATCCTCCTCGAGCGAGAAGATCCTCAAACTCATGGAGAATCTCGTCAAGCCACTCGCCGACGGTTTCGAGTCAATGCGAGCACAGCAGAAAAAGACTCAGGAACAGGTGGAAGCCCTAGCACGAGAAGACGATGAAGATCCGTCAAGTCCCACCTGACGGAACAACCCCCCGTCCGCGCACTTCAGGCGACTTACCACCAAGAGCTCGAACGGGTGAATCGTCGCCTCGACGAGGTCGATTCGAAAGTTCATCGCGCCACCAGCTCAGCTCCGGAATTGACGAAAGCACTCGCCGACACCCGAAGAAGCCCGCTCACCCGCAGGCTCCGCCAGATTGAGCTACACGAAAGAGTTCGACTCAAAATCGACTCTTACACCGGCGAAGAAGACCCCAAGAAGTGGCTAACCGCGTTCAACCTCGCCATGAGGAGGGAGAAATACAAATCTTACGATGAAAGGGAGGCCAACTACTGTCAAGTATTCGTCGAGCACATGGCGAAAGATGCCTTGACCTGGTTCTCTAACCTCCCCGCCGAGTCGATCGATAACTTCGACGACCTAACCAATGCTTTTCTGAAGCATTACTCCATGCACATGACCCGAATCACTCGGAACATGTTCACCACAACGCAAACCCAAGGCGAACCATTGCGCAGCTTTATGGAAAGGTTCAAACAAGCAGCTCGCGACACTGGCGACATGCCCGATAGCGTCCCGCTAGAAGCACTCCGCAACGGCCTCTGGTACGACTCCAAGTTCAAGGAGGATTTGTCACTAAAACCCCCTGCGACTCTGGAGGACGCGTTCCACCGCTCTCGGAACTACATCTTCCTCGAGGAAGACCAGCGCTTCTACGCCGAGAAACATGGAGATAGGAGGGCAACCTCGACGAAACCCAGAGAGGAACCCATGGAGGCACGAAAAAGATATAATCCAAAAAGATCACTCCTAACGGCGTTCGCAGCAGCCGACAACGAGCCCGAGCAGGAACCGCATCACATCAAGAAACGGGCAACAGATGTCGCGACGCCGATCTCGACGACTCTGACACGTTTTGCCGCCTCCACGGAACCGGTGACCACTCTACACAAAACTGCCGACGCCTAACTCGCGATCTCCTTCGGAGATACCAGCACGGGGAGCTACCACCGATAAAAGGGGACCGCTCTCGTCACAGACGAAAGCCGGCACAACCCGTAATCCCGGAAAACACGCCGGATGACGTAACGAACTACTCCGACGAATCAGGGCAAGAGATTAACATGATAATGAGCAACCCCATCCATCGCGATTCCATCTCGACGATCACGGAAGCATGAATACGCAGCGGTGGAGCACGATCGCAACCCGACCCGCGAAGAAATCCCCACTATCATCTTCACGGATCAAGATACGGCGGGGCTGGATACCCCTCACGTCGACCCACTCGTGGTCAGCTTGCACATCAGTGACTCCAGCGTAGCAAGAATCCTGATCGATACCGGGAGCACGGTGAATCTAATCTACAAAGAGACCCTCAACCGCATGGAAATCAGCAGAGACCAGATCAAGCGTTCGTTGTACTCCCTCACCGGGTTCACCTCCGAACACGTCTCCAGTGAAGGCACGATCCGCCTACCTATCCACGTCGGCGGAACAACCAAAGCCGCCGAATTCTTCGTCATCGATAAACCAGCCATTTACAACGCCATTTTGGGCACCCCATGGCTCCACGAGATGAAGGCCGTCGTCTCGACCTTTCACCAATGTGTGAAATTCCCGGCACAATCAGGAATTTACACACTGAGAGGGAATCAGGGGGCAGCAAGGTCATGCTTCCTCTATGAGCGACGGCTCCGCCTAGCAGCAACATGCACCGCAAACGAGGAAATGGATCCACGCCTTCCATACCACCAGAGACCAAAGCCGGCCCTCGTCGACGAGGTGAATATCGACGAATCGTCCGGAAAGGTGCGTTGGCATCGGTGGCGACCTCGACGAGATAAAAGAGCAACTGGTCACATTGCTCAAACAGAACGTGCACCTTTTCGCATGGTCAATGGCAGATATGAAAGGGATCGACCCGGCAATCACATCCCACGAGCTAAACGTGGACTCTACCTACAAACCCATGAGACAGAAAAGACGCAAGCTCGGCGCCGATAAAGCTCAAGCAGTCAATGAAGAAGTGGAAAAAGCTACTTAGAGCCGGATCGATCACTGAAGTAAAATACCCCGAATGGCTAGCAAATCCAGTCGTCGTCAAAAAGAAAAACGGAAAGTGGAGAGTCTGCGTCGATTTCACAGACCTGAATAAAGCATGCCCAAAGGATAGCTTCCCTTTACCGCATATCGATCGCCTCGTCGAGGCCACGGCAGGGAATGAATTACTATCCTTCATGGACGCCTTTTCAGGATACAATCAGATCTTCATGCATCCCGATGATCGCGAGAAGACGGCATTCATTACCGATCGTGGCACCTATTGCTATAAAGTGATGCCTTCGGCCTCAACGATTAGTGAACAAAATGTTCGCGGACCAGCTCGGTAGAAGCATGGAAGTCTATATCGACGACATGCTAGTCAAATCTGCCAAGGCACGATCACGTCAAGCACCTCAGCGAATGTTTCCGAATCTTAGAAGTACGGGATGAAGCTGAACCCCGCAAAATGCACATTCGCCGTTACCTCGGGAGAATTCCTCGGTATGTTGTGACCCAACGCGGGATAGAGGCAAACCCGAAGCAGATCTCGGCGATCCTCGACCTCCCATCGCCGACATCCTCCAAAGAAATCCAAAGACTCACCGGACGTATCGCCGCATTGAACAGATTCATCTCGCGCTCAACCGACAAGTGTCTCCCCTTCTACCAATTGCTTCGATCAAACAAGAAGTTCGAGTGGGACAAAAAATGCGAAGACGCTTTCAAACAATTGAAAGAGTATCTCACTACCCCACCAATTCTCGCAAAACCCGAAGAAGGCGAAGACCCTACTCTTATATATCGCAATATCAAGCACGGCGGTAAGCGGAGTCCTCGTCCGAGAAGATCGAGGAGAGCAGCAGCCAGTCTTCTATGTCAGCAAAACCCTCAATGATGCCGAGACGCGATACCCAACCCTAGAAAAGTTGGCACTCGCAGTAGTCATATCGGCACGAAAACTCAGGCCATATTTTCAATCACACTCCATCGTCGTCTTTACCAGCCAACCACTACGCCAAATCCTTCACGGCCCCAACCAATCCGGAAGAATGGCAGATGGGCAATCGAACTATCGGAATACGATATTGAGTTCAAAAGCCGGACGAGCGCCAAGTCACAAGTCTAGCCGACTTCATCGTAGAAATCCCACCAGAGCTCGCAACTCAAGAGGACGAGCAAATCCTCAAATGGACACTGCATGTCGACGGATCGTCCTCCAGGCAAGGAGCAGGCGTCGGCATCCGCCTCGTCTCCCCGACAGGCGAGATTCTCGAGCAATCGATCAAACTCGGTTTCCCAGCGTCCAACAACGAAGCCGAATATGAAGCGATTATTGCCGGACTTCGTCTCGCCGAAGCAGTCGGAGCAGAACACGTTCGTGCGTTCTGCGACTCTCAGCTCGTCGCTAAACAATTCAGCGGTGACTACGACACGAAAGACGATCGCATGGATGCGTATCTCAAACAAGACGCAAAGATCCCCCGTTCCGAGAATTCCGAAGCCGACGCACTCGCAGCCTTGGCGTCAAAAACCGAATCAGCACTGCGACGGGTCATCCCGGTCGAAACCATCGACGAACCAAGCATCAAACTCCCCAAGGGAACCGTCGTCATGGCAATCTCGCAAGAAGAAGAAGAAGACGAAAACCTCACTGATGACGAGTCAGCAGAACACAAATCATGGCAGGATGAAATCAGAAATTACCTCATCAACGACGCCGTGCCAGAGGAGCGATGGGCGGCCCGCCGCCTCCGACGAAAAGCAGCTTACTACTTCTTACGCAACAACGAGCTTTTTCGCTGGAGCGCAAACAAAGTCATCCTGCGATGCTGCGACGAAGCACAAGCTAAGAGCATCATGGTCGAGACCCACGAGGGAGCATCAGGAAACCACGCCGGCGGAAGATCACTCGCTTTAAAAATTAAGAAGATCGGATACTTCTGGCCAACGATGATCGGCGATTGCATAAACGTCGCCGCCAAATGCGTCCCCTGCCAAAGATACGCACCGGCGATCAACGCCCCAACGCAAGCACTTCAAGCTGCGATCCCGGCATATCCCTTTATGCGCTGGGGAATGGATATCGTCGGCCCCATGCCACGCTCACGGCAATGCGCTTACCTCTTGGTCGTCACCGACTACTTTACTAAGTGGGTAGAAGCAAAAGCGTACAAAAACCCAACGGCTCATGACGTAAGAAACTTTGTGTGGCAGTATATCATATGCCGTCACGGTCTTCCTTATGAGATCGTCACGGACAACGGAGGACAATTCGTCGCAGCAACTTTCCGAGAATTTTGCGCATCGTGGAACATCAAGATCACTTACTCCACGCCAAGATATCCTCAAGCTAATGGACAAGCCGAGTCCACAAACAAAACTATTGTTGATGGATTGAAAAAAAGGCTTGAAGGCTACCAAGGAGCTTGGGCGGACGAATTGGATGGAGTGCTCTGGTCGCATCGAACCACCCCAGAACCGCATCCGGGGAAACCCCATTCTCTTTGTCGCACGGTTGCGAAGCACTAGCACCGGCAGAACTGCACGTAGCCAGCTTACGACGATCGTTAATGCCCCTCAACCCGGCATTGAATGACGACTCACTCCTGCATAGTTTAGACCACGCCGAAGAGCTACGGGATCGCGCCCTCCTGCGTATGCAAAACTACCAACAACAAGCAACCAGATATTACGACAGGAAGGTGCGAAACCGGCGCTTCGAGCTCTACGACCTTGTATCTAAGAAGGTCCACGACTTTACCAAACCCGAGCACGCAGGCAAATTCGGGTTCCATTGGGAAGGACCGTTTCGCATCACCAAGATCATCAAACCCGGGGTCTACGAGCTGGACGATTGTCACGGAAACCCATTGCCTCGTCCATGGAACTCCATGAACCTACGCAGGTTCTACACCTAGACGCGTCGCACCGCACACAAATGAACATTTGTAATGAACTACGACTGGCTTGATCCCGGCATGGGTACGTAGGCAGTCTTTCTCGATAAAGGCACACTATAAATTAATAAAAATAAATAGCTCTTTTATTTTTATGCAAGCACTTCTTATCGAACCTCTTCGGAAGGGTTCCCGTCTCGGCAAGGACCCAGAAGTAACGACTTCTGCCCTCAACCGGTAACTGAGTTCCTACCGAAGACATCGGCAACGCAAGCACCGCACGCAAAGCATAATTCCGAAATAACGCAACACACCGACGTTCTGGCCCAACGCTCGGATGCACTTAAACGCAGCACCCGTGGACTGATCACCCACAAAAGACGAGAGCACGCACCTCGCACGACACCAGCCATACGGGCAAGAAAAAACCGCTATCGTTACACGCATCGGACTTAAAAGTCGTAGGCATAAATCGAGCCCCTAGACCTCGTCGCCAAAACATGTGATCTACCGAATCACAGCACCTCAGACCTAATACGCATGGTCGGTGTCTCGAATGAGAATCGTGACAGACTACGAAAGCTTCGAAGAACATCACGACGCATCCGCACCGTCAAACGAAAGCACTCGTTCGACACACTTGAGATTAACAAGCCATCTCGGCATAGGTAAGCCGTTTACCCGATGACGATCGAATAAACTAGCCTACCCCAACCGATTGAAGGCGCATTGTTTCTCATTAAAAGACATGGCCTAAAGCTGGGTTCTTTCATCGCGCTGTGAAATTATCAACTATGTCTAAGCCAATTTGTTTCGCAAACAAAGCAGCAAATAAAACACCACATAACGTCCAAAACTAAACCCAAAGTTTAAGGATAAAAGCCCTCCCGGGCAATTGTCGCGATAAAAGCAATGGGAAACTATCAAAAGAGAAAAAAGAAAGACAATTTCGACTTCCCTACTTCGATTGATGACGCGATGGGGATCCCGGAAACGCCAGCTCAGCTAGGGTAGGCCTGAAAGTTCGATATATTGACCCATATTGATCAAAATTCCGTGGAACAATCCATGCGCTATCAAAGCAAAATTCAGCAAGACGAAAACGAAGATCTAACCTTAGGGCGGAGCATAGTCATCAGCTTCAACTTCGTCATCCTCAACCAAATCTCCGGCGGCCTTACTCTCCCGCAACCGGGCCGCAAGCATCTTCTCCACCGCATCAAAGTCCTGCTCGACCCCCTTTATTTTCCTGACATAGGAAAGAAGAGCCTCGTCGACTTGAATCCTAATCACCGCCTTCTCCACTGCATCCCGCTGACTGACGTATCTACCTATACGGTCCAACCTCGGAGTATACCAATTATGCATTGATTCGTACACCTGAGCAGCCGTCAACTCAGCCCACTTCGTCCGAGACTTGCGAAGACGAGCCATCTCGGCAATCGAGTTTTCCATGTCCCGCAGGCTTTATCCTCCAGTTGCGTAATTTTGTCCCGAAGTTGATTATTTTCAACCTCAAGGCCAGACACCTTCGCAACCTCGCCTTTGAGAGCTTCTATCTTCTTTTCAAAAGCATCTTTTCTTCTCGAAACCTAACTGCAGCCACGTCACCCATCAAAGTTATCAAACAAATCGGCTTTAATTTGATCAACTCCGCTCCGAGCACCCTTGAGCGTTCCGTCATAAAGTTGAATCAACGCAGCAAACTTCCCTCCGGCTCTAATAAGATTATTAGAAGCCTCATCGAAAGCACCCTTGAACTCAAGCTCACCACGCGGAACCCCCCAGCATGGCTTAGGTTTGCAACCCCAAACCATCTCTCCACTAAAGTCCCATTATCCATTAAAGGAGCACCACCTTTCCACTTAAAGGAGACAGCATCGGAGTCTATCCCGACGGAATCCGTCACCCCGTCACCTCCAGACTCCAGGATACTCATATCCCCGCCCTGACCAGTAGAAGCCGCGACAGTCCGAGAAGAGAAATCGCCACTGGTGACACCCCCAAGAGACCCCAGTGACTGAGGAAGATCACCTAGCTCGCAGGAATCTGACCTCATCCGCTTGGATAAAGGATCAGAAATCAGGATATCATCATCCACCAAAGCCGGAGCCCTTTTCCTTAAGCCTGTCTTCCTAGCAACACCCGGCAACTTATCTGGAAGACATCAGGGAGCGCGATTTAAGAGCCGGACCAGGCGTAAAAATTCAAAGGCGATGATCAAACACTCACCAGGGAGAGGAATCGCTATAGCAATAGCCTTTCCTTTCTTTTCCTTCTTCTTCCTTTCGGTCTCGGCAAACGCATCCGCCCAAGTCTCTCTACTCAAGTCGCGTAAAGTTCTAAACTTCTCCTTTAGAGTAGTATTTACTTTCCTTGGGACAATCCTTCCTGCATATCAGATAATGGGGGCGTAAGTTAGCATACGAAGCAACCGTTAAAAATAAGGAAGAATTCACAACCACTTTACCCGGCTCCTGGACCCATTCTTGTTAAGACGTGACTAGGATCGAAATCCCCGACCGAAGCACGGTCGACCTTGACAAAAAAGTAGTAGCGCGTCCAGTGGTGAATCTTCGTTCGATGATCACCAAAAACGATGTCATGTTTCATCGATGTGTGGAAACGCTTGAAACCTCCTTCCTTAACCCCAGCACGAAGATCAGTTATACGCTCAAAGAGCTCCCTGTCTAGCTTCATCCCGGCTGCCTTCGCCAGAGCGGCCGAGAAGACCATATGCCGCACTACACCATGGGTCAGCTGACTCAACGCTACACCCCGCTCATACGCATACTCGAGAAGTAACGGGAGGACCGGAAAACGTATTCCAAACTCCGTGAGGAAGCATTCGTAGAGGCAAAACCATCCAGGTGGAGCGTCCATCGGCCTTTGGTCAGGTAAGGGAACGAGAATCTTGACCGCGTCACTGATTCCCACCCTCTCCCGCAAAGCGATGACTATATCTTCGGTCATCCCCGATCGACCATCCCGAGCCAGAGATCTTGACGATGATCTCCACGGCATCTCAATCTTTTGAGGGATACCATCGAGCCTAGCGCAATCAGGGACTTTCTCCTCACCGAGCTCAGGATCGGATCCCGTATCCTCGTGGAATTCCCTCGCAAGAACGGTCGCCGCATTCCCCGTTTAGAACCTGGATTCCCCTTTAACGGATGAGTTCATCGCCTTCGCCAAACCCACCGTCTCGCAAATCTCCTTCGGGACAGCATTATGCTCAAGGGCCGACGTCGACATCGATGAACTGGTCTCGATTTGCACCATCGAAAGCGCGAAAGAATAAGGTAGAAGGAAGGAAATGCAAGTCAGGGCAGCGAAGAGATATTCGCTCTCCCTCGAAGGGCACTTGGTGAAATCGGTATCACGAAAAAGGAATAAGCACCCTAGGAAATCCTAATCGTTTCCTTAAATAAGAATTCCATGATTCTTCAGAAGAGAAGGCTTCTCCGAGACTTTTTCCTGTTCCCGCCCAAACGATTTCCCAAAAACTCGAACCGGATCATGGGCCGATTAAAACCCATTACTGATTTCTACGAAAGAATTAGATGACGTCAACGTACTCTTTTTCCTTTTTATGGTTTTTGTCCCAATTGGGTTTTTCCGTACCAAGGTTTTAATGAGGCGGCACGAATCTACATTCAGCATGCACCTAGGCACTAAGATCCGATTGAAGTGATGTATTTTACTAATGATTCTCAAGCTCGTCCTCTATTCATGAAGCTCGCCGAGATCAAACTACATTTGACCTGCCGAGCTGGCGGGGGGACTTATTGTTAGAGGAGAAATTAGCACATTTCCCTGAGCCCGTCATCATTAGTAAAGTACAAAGCCCAATCCGATTTTAGGCCTAACATCTTCAAGAAAAAGGCAAGACTTGAAGAGAAAGGCACAATCCATGGAGAAATGTAAATAAATCTTCATGCCGACTTAAAGAATGGAAGAAAGATCCAAAAACAAGAGGGATTTTCCATATCGCAAAAGAGGAAGTTTTCCATCTCGCCTGAAGGAGAATACTCGCCATTCGGCCGACTTATCAACATATATATTGAAGACCCCCCATGGGAGAGGGATCCGAAATCATCTAGAATCACTAGGCTTTCACATTAGCTTTACTCTATCCTCTTGTTCACCATCATAATCTCGCTAGGCTTGTTAGCGAGATTGCTCTCTTGTAATCTTCTTGATGTTGATTCTAATTCATCCTCATTTATATTGTCTCGGTAAGTGAGTGGGTCGTCTCGCTCTCTGTAGTGACCACTGAAGTGTGCGCTCTCTCTGACCATACTTTAGGTAGTTTCATTAAGTACTGCTTTTGACTCTTCCCGATGTTCAGCGCTACTTGGTTCTCGCTGTCTCCTCTTGGATTGAGACCGTTTCACTCATGTTTTTCCTCATAGTCATGTATAGAACCTATTAATCCATGTTTGGGTAAGTATGGGTCCGTCTCGTTCATCATATACACTAAAAGTAAGTTCCCACCATTTGGAGGCACAAAGCTACATTTCGGACTCCTTACCTCTTCCGGTTCCCAAATTTGGTCCATTTGATGTTCCTCCCTTGGATTGAGACCGTTTCACTCATGTTTCTCCTCATAGTCATGTATAGAACCTATTAATCCATGTTTGGGTAAGTATGGGTCCGTCTCGTTCATCATATACACTAAAAGTAAGTTCCCACCATTTGGAGGCACAAAGCTACATTTCGGACTCCTTACCTCTTCCGGTTCCCAAATTTGGTCCATTTGATGTTCCTCCCTTGGATTGAGACCGTTTCACTCATGTTTCTCCTCATAGTCATGTATAGAACCTATTAATCCATGTTTGGGTAAGTATGGGTCCGTCTCGTTCATCATATACACTAAAAGTAAGTTCCCACCATTTGGAGGCACAAAGCTACATTTCGGACTCCTTACCTCTTATGGTTCCCAAATTTGGTCCATTTGATGTTCCTCCCTTGGATTGAGACCGTTTCACTCATGTTTCTCCTCATAGTCATGTATAGAACCTATTAATCCATGTTTGGGTAAGTATGGGTCCGTCTCGTTCATCATATACACTAAAAGTAAGTTCCCACCATTTGGAGGCACAAAGCTACATTTCGGACTCCTTACCTCTTCCGGTTCCCAAACTTTGTCCACTTGATGTTCCTCCCTTGGATTGAGACCGTTTCACTCATGTTTCTCCTCATAGTCATGTATAGAACCTATTAATCCATGTTTGGGTAAGTATGGGTCCGTCTCGTTCATCATATACACTAAAAGTAAGTTCCCACCATTTGGAGGGCAAAGCTACATTTCGGACTCCTTACCTCTTCCGGTTCCCAAATTTGGTCCATTTGATGTTCCTCCCTTGGATTGAGACCGTTTCACTCATGTTTCTCATAGTCATGTATAGAACCTATTAATCCATGTTTGGGTAAGTATGGGTCCGTCTCGTTAT